GCCCAAATTTTCAGCCGGCATAATAAACACTGGCCGAAACTATTAACAAATTCTCCAAATTTGGCTACGCATTCTACCATAATTCTCTATCGAGTTTTTTAAACGGCACTATATATCTTCCATCTTTGACCCATTATCCAAAGAAATCTCAAACAAAAACCATTAATATTACTTCTACAAGAGAAAATAAAATAAAAGAACTATTCTTTTCAGCAATCTCCAAACAATTAAACCGATCCCCATAAGCACACACAAAAACCCATGCACGGCAACCCACAAAATTGAAAATAAAAGTAAAAAGCAGCGAAATTTAGACCTGCAAGTTTCACCAACTCTGGGATCAGTGTCACCCAAAGCCTCGATCTGGATCTTCAAGCCCTCCTCATAGCACTCAATGGACCGGTCCACCTGTCCCAGCATCGAGTACGTGTCCCCCAGCTGCATGTGCCCCGAGAACGCCGCGAGCGCGTGATCCGAACCTCTCTGGACATCGGGTACCCGAATCGCCCGGTCCAGAACCGGAACTGCTTCCTCGAACCGGCCTAAGCTACAGTATATAGCCGCCAGCACGTGCAAGCTCATCGCTAGGTCCAGGCTGGGCTCGCCTTCGACGGCGCACCGCTCGAACGACTTGGCGGCCCGGACCGCATAGTCCAAAGCCTTGTTCGGGCCTTCGCCGGAGGCAATGGTGTCTCGAGCCAGCTTGAGGAGAAACGGGCCGAGATCCGGGTTGTCGAGTGAGGCATCGGCGAGAATCGGGTCGGGGGAAGCGGGTTGGGGCTTCTTAGATCGGGTGGGTGAGGGTTTGGATCGGGAGGGGGATGGCGGTTTTTTAGGGTGGGGCGAGGGGGTTTTGGAAATTGGGGCGGGTTCGGATCTTTGGGGCTGGGGTTGGGGATCCGGGACTGAGATTCGGAGCGGGGTGGAGTCGGGCGGGGTTTTGACGGAGACCAAACCCGGCATCTTCGTTGAACAAGAAGAAGAAGAGAGCTTGTGAATTGTAGAGAGAGATAGAGAAGGAGAGGTTTGGGTTTGATGAATAAAACAGAGAAACAGAGAGTGTGTTTTGGGTTAATGATGTAATTAAGTCAAGTTAATTAAAGGATTAGAACTTGCTACCATGCTCAACAAACTGATTAGTGTGGAGTGGATTTAATTATCTGAGACCGACGACTGTGGAGGAGAGAGAAAGTCACAGGAAGAGAGAGAGAGAGAGAGAGAGAAGAGAGTTGAAGATGCAGATCAGATGTCTCTCTAGACTGTGCTGGCAAAGTGTGATGGAGGTGGTGGTGGTTGGTTTCAGTTTTTTTTTGCGCGGGGTAAAATAGTAACTTCCACATCGGCTTTGTCCCACCGTTGGCAGCTTCTTACTGGAGGCAAGCGAATTAAATGATTGTACCGTTGTAGCAGACGCGTGGCGCTGCGTTACTGGTGTAAGGCCATGCTATTTTTTTTACTTTTCTTAATTTATAAGGGACATGCTATTTATATTGTGATCTTTATAATACAAGTAGAATCATGCCAGCTTAATTTGCAGTTATAATTTACTCTTTTAACTTTTGCGACTTTAAAAGTATCTCCAACGGTCTAAACAATTTTGAAATTTTAAAATAGGTGAGTCACGTCAGAAAAACTCTATTCAACAACTTATTCAACCTCAGTCATCAAACCTACATCTTTCTCTCTCTCTTTAGTATTGGTATGTTGACTTTCGCCCTTTAAACATTTAATTTTACTTTGAAAAAACAAAACCTACCTTGAAAATGTTAAAAACATGCATTTTTTTTTCTTTTTATATAATAAATACATAAACATTTTTCACATGTTTTCATTCTTTTCCATGATATTGCATTAATTGAATTGAAAAGTCCATTGGAGCAAAAATTATTCATGTAGCAAATAAGGCTATTCAAATTACCACGTAGATCAACAAACTTCAATTTGAAGTGTTTTATTTGTTACTATTGTTGGAGATGTTCTTAGAGCATCCACAATCATGCTCTCCATTTTCAATTAAATTTTCGCTAAAAACATATAAAAGTTATTAGTAAATTTAGGTCTTAGCCAAAAAAAAATTTTCACTTTTGGAAAAAGCCAAAACTTTTTAAAAAAAAGACAGAAAAATCTCTCAACTTTCAAATCAAAGACATGCAAATATAAAGGATTCCTTAGGAAATCCAAAAATAAATAAGGGTAATTTTGTCTATTTTTGCTTATTTTACAAACTTTCTCTCTCCTTTGTGTTTTTCCAAAGTCTCCCAAAGTTATTTTATGAACTCTCTATAAAATTTAAACTTCAATCGTGTTCTATAGTTTAGGAAGTCATAAATGCTATAACTCTTTTTTGATTGGTCCATCTTTATTAAAAAAAATAAAAAATAGTTAGCATTAAATAAATGTTTGAAATACTCATTAAATAAATGTAGCATTAAATTATAGGGAGCCACTAGGAGTCATTTCTCTTTCTTAATATTTAAGAGCTCCTTGAGATCTCCCTATTTTAGGAGGTGGATAGGGAGCATGGTTGGAGTTGTATTTTTACAATTCATCCCTAAAATTTGTCTAAGGAGGTGGTTTAAGAAACTCATTGTGGATGCTCTTAGAACATCCACAATGATGCTCTCTATTTCTTAGCTAAAATTTAGCTAAAAATTTAAGAAAGCTATTTTAGGAGCTCTCTAAAAAATTTCAACTCCAACTATACTCCCTAATTTGGAGAGTCATAAATTATATAACTCTTTTTTGATTGGTTCATCTCTATTAAAAAATAAAATAAAAAATAATTAGCATTAAATAAAGGTTTGAAATACTCATTAAATAAAGCAGCATTAAATTATAGGGAGTCACTAAGAGTCCTTTCTCTCTCCTCAGATTTAGGAGCTTCTTGAGGACTCCCTATTTTAGGAGGTGTATAGGGAGCATGGTTGGAGTTGCATTTTTACTATTCCTCCCTAAAATTTGTCTAAGGAGATGGTTTAGGGAGGTTATTGTGGATGCTCTTAGAGCATCCACAATGATGCTCTCTATTTCTTATCTAAAATTTAGCTAAAAATTTAAGAAAGCTATTTTAGGAGCTCTCTAAAAAATTTCAACTCCAACCATACTCCATAATTTGGAGAGTTATAAATGCTATAACTCTTTTTTGATTGGTCCATCTCTATTAAAAAATAAAATAAAAAATAGTTAGCATTAAATAAAGGTTTGAAATACTCAATAAATAAATGTAGCATTAAATTATAGGGAGTCACTAGGAGTCCTTTCTCTCTCCTCAGATTTAGGAGCTCATTGAGGTCTCTCTATTTTAGGAGGTGGATATGGAGCATGGTTGGAGTTATATTTTTACAATTCCTCCATAAAGTTTGTCTAAGGAGGTGGTTTAAGGAACCCATTGTGGATGCTCTTAATCTTAGATAGCAATAGTTTTTTGAACTACAACCTAGCTTATCAATTTTCTCCTGGAATTTGATTGTTTAGATTTTGTAATCGTCAAATTATATATGACCATTTCCGTGTTATTGATTCTTTCCATCAACTTCCTCCGATTTGTCTGTTAGATAGGAGCAAATTATAGAATAATGTGCATTAAGCCATTAAGAAGGTTTTGTTGTTGGTGCTGCTGGAGGCAAAATCATAGAGCTCAATAGCTTACTTATCACGAAGTTGTACACTTTACTACTTTGAGTACTTGAAAATTGACCTAATGTAATAAGAGAAGGTTAATAATTAGATTAGATTAAAAGTGAAGTGAAAATACAAGGTGTGCCCTCAAAACTCACAAAGCTTAATTTCCAGGTAAGAGAGAAAAGACAACAAAAGTAAAATGAGGCATGTCCTTCAGTTTCACCCAACCATCTTTTCTTCGTTTTTCCTTTGGAATGGAATGCCTTGCACTTTCGGTTCAATTTCTTCACCTATGTGCACCTACATGCAGTCTCCTATTTTTATTTTCTATTATTAGATGGACTCTCTCTCTCTCTCTCTCTCCTCTCTCTCTCTCTCTCTCTCTCTCTCTCATGCTGATTTTGCAGAAGTACATATGTATGTTGAGACTGATAAAAAAAAGACCATAAATGGAACAACTGGACTTTACTTATTTTATATATCCGTTTTGACTACATGCAAAATGCAGGAAAAAAGTAACAAAGAAGCAGCTGTAACATGCAAGGAAAGTTCAAGGAAGACTGAAGGAAAATGAACCAGTTGGAAAGGAGCCTGAAATCATATGTGCTTTCCTTCTCACTGGCAGAGTTGCAGAGAGGGAGCAAAGAAGAACAATTATTTGTAATATATTGTCCTTTATCTTTTGTTTATTCCTTTTGCCCTGGTTTTAATTCTTGAAGAGAATACAGCTCTTGCATATTTATGTGAAAGGGTCTGCTATATTCATGTTCTGCAGGGAACTGGATACTCCTTTCCTTACCAAAATGCTAAGCATGAAGTTAAATTTAAATTTCTTATGAATTTCACCCAATCTTGGATTTGCTTAAAAACGTACATATTCATCATCATCATATATTTTAGTCTTGTGTTGAATGAACAAGATTAATTTCCTTAGTTTTGTGACTTTAATTAACTGTCTCCTCTCTTCTGGTTGAAGAGGAAGCTCACAGCATGACCTTATCTTTGTCTTTGATATTCATGGTTGCTCACTGTCTTAGCATCTTATAACCTGCAATTACTTACAACCCCAAAAACATATGTTTTGTTCATACGCATTCTAGGTTTAATGAAGATAAGCATATATATATATATAGAGGACTTGCACTGCATAAATAGAGGTTTCACATCTCCAACATATATATATTTCTAAGATTTAATTCCAGAAAGACATTCATGGTATTCACAGTTTTCACACCGAAAATATAAACACTCTCTCTTTCTCTCTCTCGCTCACTCATGATCAGAAACACATCACATCATCACTCTCTCTTGAGGTTTTCACAAGAGTTCTCACAAGAGTTCATAGCTAGGCGGCCAAGTAGGTGATCACATCCAGATATTCAACGACCTCTACCTCCACCTTTACGTGGTTCATGCCCTGGATTGGCCCCTGGCTCCTGATAATCCAGCATTGCATCAAGTGCAAGAAGCAGCTTTCTCCCTTTCATCATCTCAATAATATTCACCTACATATATAGATCAATAATTATTTAATTCATCTAAAATCACTAGGAAACTTCTACATAGTTTGTATATAGCTTTACCTCATGACCACTTGAGTAGGTGAGCTCTATGCCATCCTTGAAGCTGTCAGCTCTGCCTGTAAATCAAAAAAGAAGAAGAGGGTTTGGTTCATTTTTCCTACCTCAGCTGCAGAAAAACTGGAACTAAAGAGATTTGCATGCCCAAACCACTTCTTACCTGAAATTGGCAAATCAAAGAGCAGGAAGAGGATGATGAAAATTTTGACTTGAGGAAGCATCTTGGCTAGGTTTTTTTTAAAATTTTCTTTCCCTAGCTTACTGCTGTTGTATGAGTTTCAGTGTTTGGAGGAGAAGCCCTATGGCCTGCTTTTTATGGTGAGTGGGAGGAAATGGAGCCAAAAGAGGAAGTCATGATGAGCCTTGCACAAAAGCCTTGTGACATGATTACGAAAATTACAATACCCCATTAATATTATCCCCCACCTCAAAGTCAACTGCACTTAAATTCCTTAACATCAAAAGCTTTTGTATCTCCTTTTATGTGTCACAAGAACAAGCATTAAGTGTGGAAATGTGACAGACAAATACAACGTAGCTTGTGGGTTTTGTTCACCTTTTAGAATTCACTTCCCTTTTGATCTATCTAACTATTCAATCAATTCATGCCTTTAATTTGTGGGTCACTTTCAGATGTTAGGTATCACTCCATTTATAGTTTCCTTATAGCAGTTTATAAGTTCTATTTGCCCAAAAATTCGAGAAGAGCTTACGTGTAACGGGAACAAAATCATTTTGAAAGCATCTGTTAGGTTAAAAAGTGTTAAAACAGAGGGGCTTTAGAAAGAAATGCTAGCTGTGAACTTCAGTGTTATTGATCTCTGTGAAAATAGAAGTTACAGGTTTTCTTGTTCTGTCAGAATTTTTTATTCTAACTTTATTTTTTTTAAAATTTTGCTGGAGCCTGTAGGATTGACACACCACTGGAATTTGCTTAAACTTAAAAATTCACATCTTTCATGAGCATGAGCCCTCTGGGGGTGGCACAAAAGTTCACATCTAGTACAATGACCCAGTACTAAGATAAGATTAATCATAATTTAATTAGTTGAGTTGGCTCCTGACACCTGTTTTGCTGTATAAAATAAAATCACTTCCATAAGGGTTTCATGTTGATAATGCTGGCCCTTGCAAAGCAATTTTTTTAAAGTTGTAAAAATGATGAAGATTCCAATCCCATGTTGGCTTGCACAACTTGAGCTTGTCGGCTAACATCATAACAAAGGCCTACTTCCCAAACACAACAGCTTTCCTGGAAAAAAAAATAAAACCCCAGATGCTCAATTTCCCAAGAAACAGAAAATTAGATGTCCTTTGGCCTTGCCTTTCTCCTTATTATAATTTATTTTGTATTTTCTTCTCATGCATACAATGGCATCCATTTTATTGTCCCAGTTAAGAATAGAACACTTGAATGTATTCACTGCTCCAATCAAATTTTCACTGTTTCTAATTTTGTCAAATTTCTTTTACAGCTTAGCTTTAATTGCTTTTCTATCCAACAGTGGTTTCTCCTTTTGTTTTTTTGGCCATGGAATTCTTATAACGCGTCGGAAATGTCACCATTTTGCTTGCAGAAATTCTGTGATGCATATGAATGGTGGTCATCAAATCATTATATCCCAGAACTTTCTCAAGAGTTGACTTTCTGAGTTTTGACAGCTTCATATTGAAGAAAACTATAGTCCCATTACTAGGCTTAGTGCCTTCCCAGCACAATTTCTGCTAATTAGTAATTATTATTCACTGTGCCTTCACCATGAAATCTATGTGGTTGGCAAGAGCAAGATGACTCTTGCTTTGCTGTTACCACCTTTCATATAAGCTTTATAATTATACCAGCAGCTCAACATATGTCAAAGCTGCTAAATCACACAATTCTCTTACCTCTATACTCAGGGGGTTAAAATTTGAGTTGTTAGGTGCAAGGGGCTGAACCCTTTGTGTTCTATTCTCCCCTCCCCCAATATCGTTTGCATCGAAGAAAACAAAACAAAACAAATCAAAGATGTTTGGTTGGATAACCTCATAATTGATTTACCTTTCATGTCGGTTGGCATCTTAGCAATGAGCTAATTGGTGTTTTGCAGCAAGTCATATCTTTGTTTCATTAATGGCAGACATAATGTAATTGCAGTGGAATTTATCAAGACTCAAGGGGATATAAGAACATAGGTCAATAATCTTTGGAAGAAAATAATAGCAATACAATTGGTCTCACCATGTCAATCCTTTCTGTCACAACCAATAACCCATTTTTACATGGTGATTGGCATTGAACATATATGATTTGTGTTACTCTATCCACTTAGGAAATTATACATTTCTTCTAAATTTTTTAACCTTTTTATTTATTCCATAGTGCTTATGATATAATGATCGGATAGCCTTTCACATCCTTATAGGCAGAGCACCATTTATTGATTGCTGTGACATTAGAGTAAGAAAATGGAAGGACAGATTTTCACTAATTACCACCACCTGGCCTCCCTTTTTCATGCCTTGGGTTTGGTATTGGCTTTTCATAGTCCAACATAGCATGAGCTGCAATGAGCTCTCTCATCTCCATGTCACCAATGACCTTCAACACAAAAACATAACACAAATTAGCAGAAACCCCACAAAAAAGAAGGAAAAAGGAAGAAGCAAACAAAAAAAAAATGTAAATTTACTACAAAGATATTATTTTTTTCATGCATGTAAAATTAATGTAACCGAGTTACCTCGCTTGGTGGATTTGCAGGATTTATAACATGTCTAAAGCCCTTCACTCTGCTGCCTGCAGGAAATACAAATGTATAAAACTTGAGCTTTCTAAAATCATATAGCAAAATTAATTAACTGATAACACATTATTAGTATCATGTTCATGTTCATCACCTGAAGAAGCGTCGAGAAAGAGCAAGAGAAGGAGAAGACAGGTTTTGATATTGGTATCCATGGTGAATTGTGAAAATGGTGGTGTTTGTTCTCAGAAGGCAAGGCACGTTGAGATTTAAGGGGCAAGGGTTTTGTTGCTTTTATATGGTTTGGAAGGGGAAGGAACTAGGGCTACTATTTCATGGTGCAACTGCAACTTACTCAAAGCTTCGAATGGTGGTGAGTTTTTTTGTGTGTACGCAATTGCTACAAAGTCAAACCACACTAACATGACTAATCTCTGTCATTATAGCTTAAACTTTTAAGACACCAAAATAGATATGGACTTGCACCTAAAAAAATTAAAAAAACTAAAAATTTATGGATAGAAACAAAAGTGATGCTTGCATGGCTCAAACTCCATATTTTGTGTTGTGGGTTGTAGGATATGTCACTTATCTCAAAACTGATTCAAAGTATCAAATTATAGTGGGTTTCTTCTTCTTTTTCTTTTTTTCTCTAAGTGTTCCTTTTACCAAGCTGCACTTGTCGGCTACACAATATTATGAGGGAAGAGGTACCACTTTGGTTGCAGAAACTTAATTTCTATTTTACCAATTATAATATTTGGGGGAGAAAGACTTGAACATATAAACGCTCCTGTGTAATGGGGATATATAGCTACAAAAACTAGGGCACTCTTTAGTCGAGGGAAGTCTTATGAGCAACAGTGTTTCGATAGAAAGGACTTCTACTCGTAAGCACTTTTAGCTAAAGTGTTTTTATTAGAACGTCAATATTTTAATTAAAAATTGAAGTGTTTCCTAGAGAAGCACTTAGCAAAAGGCACTGGAAAACAATTCTATGAGCCATATAAGCAAGCATTTTAACATTTGTTCTCTCAATAATGTTGCTAGAGCGCTTTTAATTATCATAAAACGCTTTTAGTTAGCATTTCTAAAGGCAATCTCAAAATACAGTGACTAAAACGCTTTTAATCTTCAAACACATTTCATACTCATTCTCTACGTAGCCAACAAATGAAATCAATGTCAAAGCATTTGAAGCTAGGGTTAGATTAAGTGAACCTTATAAAGTAAATGTATATTGAATTGGTCAGTCTTTGGGTGGACCACATCATGCCAATGTAAATATTATGTGCATCTCCACAATCAGAAAACAGCTGAAACACTATGGGAGGCTTGGAAGCACACAATTGAAATGAGCCCTATCATCTGTTTGTGTACCCTCATTTAGCTTTTGTCCTTTTTACTTTTTTCAACTTTTGGGGGGATGCATAAAATAAGTTCATCTTCAATTATATGGCTAAATATAGTCCAAGGTTATAAATTTAGCCATCCAAAATATTAATTTTTTAAAGAATAGTATAGGGTTAAATTTTTCCATCTCCAGCCATGTATAGCTATATTTTAGGGCCCTTCATATTTTATTATTTTGAGAAAAACTATGGTACAACACTCATACATTCCACAACTATATATTGTTTAATTTAACTAAACTATTATTTAGAGACAATATTCCATATATGACACGTGTACGTTGATAAGCATTTAACAAGATTTCTAATAAGATTTTGTGTCCACGTGGCACGTCTTATCTTGAAGGAATCTTAATAATTTTTCAGATATGATTTTCAAGTGATACATGTCGGTCTGGGAGCAACTATTCAAATTTTCGATTAGATTTTTGTCAATGTGGCACCTCTTATCTTCATCTTCAAATGTCAATAAATGGAGTGTTTTCGATTCAATATCTCACAACTTCATCTCCTTTCTTTGCAAATGGAAGGATTGATAATGCCTTCCATACACTCTCTGCATTTTTGTGAGATGCATTCTCGAAGACCCATACTTTTTTGGTTAGTACCCACAACGCTATCTTCGGAGACTTTTATGAAAGCCTTGCAAATGTGTTCATCTTCCATACGTGACCATTTCGTCCCTTCAAAGTCCAAGACATTTTTCAAACAACGTGAATAACAAAAAAAAAGTAAAGAAAATAAATTTACAGGAAATGTTTGGATGAAATGAGTGTGGAAAATTTTTGACAAAAAGAAAGAGTGGAAAATTTTTGACAAAAAGAAAGAGTGGAAAATTGTGAATAAGCAGAGAATTTGATAGAATTTGTAAGAAATGTGGAAATAAGTGAGAAATTTTTTGAGGTATTTATAGACATATTTTAAGTTGTAAATTTTTTTTTAAAATTTAAAACATTTAAAAAGGTTTTAAATAATTTTTAAAAAAGTAACTTTTTAATCAATAGTTCTGACCTCCAACAGTCAAAAACCAATTATATATATATATATATATATATAATATAAAAACATTTTAAACAAAACGAATATAAAAATATTTTAAAAAGTTAAAATTTTTTTTTATAAATATAAATATTTTTTAAAAATAAAAATAAAATAAAAACCCTAACGGCTAGCTAACATGATCAATGACGTCAATGCACCCTTAATATTGGATGTTGGATCTGCAGTTGCACGAGATGTATTGTGCTCTTACCCATGCATGATACTTTCTCTTTTTGGAAAGCACATGCGCTGAGCCTACAAAAAAATTTGGCCTACGCCAAAGCTGTGCTATAAGTGACCTGGTTGGAGAGCTAAATGTGGCCCTCCAAATTTGGCCAAAATTTTTTTTAGCTCATGACTGGATATGAGTTTTGTATTATTTTAGGACTATATTTGGCCTATGGCCATGAGTATAGATCACCTAAGGCCATTCATATGGTCAAACTATAGATAAGCCCTGCAGATCATAAGATTGTAGATGTTACTGTTCATCTTGCATGCTTACTTCATCAAAGCAGCAACTTCTCTTCTGCATATTCTCAATCAAACTTTTTTTCTTCTTCTTTTCTTGTGTGGTGATGGGCAGATTGCATTTTCTCAAGGCCACAAAAAGAAGAAAACCCTTTTAAACTTGACCACACAACTCTCATCTCTCAAATCAGACCCTGCTGTTCTCTACTGTCGGCAGTAGCAGCACAATATTTCCATTGAATTCCACGTGGTTTTGATGATGCATTTGATTGAAATGAAACGTTTCAAAGCTGACTTCTGTTTGAATTGATCCAATTAGGATGATGAAAATCACATCAACAAAAGTGGGCGAACCACAATGCATATTATGCATGCTTCTGTGTTTAACTTTTCTCTGTATAATGGGATTTTTGAGGTCCATGGGGAGAGAAGGGGCTTCAAGATTTTCACCCTGCCCTACTCTTTTTTTTTCATCAAATGACCAACATTTGTCCTCACATCTAATGAGAAAGGACAGTGGGGGCCTGAAGAATATTAAAATCCATGGTGTTTTTAGTATGGGAATGGGAGGAGAGTGGGGCAGTCAATTTTGATGATGATCATGTCATCCTTCTCAGGTGCTGGGGCATGTATGTACCAGTCACCATCATCATGTTTTTTATGAATTCATGTTGCAATCCAAGAGTTGATGCTTTTTTTAAAAAAATTGTTATGAGCTGTTTGGGATCAAGAATTTTAAAATTTATTTGAATTTTTTTGGTACCCTCTGGACCAAAAGGCTAAAATATATTAATACATCAGAAATTATTTGAAAATGACAGACATAAAATGTGAATAAATAAAGAGTTATAAGCTTTTGTGCTTATTGGGGAAATAGAAAAACTAGCAAACCATATGAAGCCTTAGCGTTGAAGCAAATACCATTCTAATCAGGGGACACAGGTTCCAGCATTTTGGCTCCAAAAACAGGAGTTGGATCATTATTAGCTTAATAATTTTCCGGTGTGGCCCTAACATACACATGGCATTCGAGAATTACAAGTAACAAATATCAGTAATCATCAGCTTCAAGTAAAACCAAGAGGAGAAGATAATATGTTTTTTATTTTTAATTTTTGAATTACAACTACAGTTGAGGATAAGCCAACCATTCTAAAAATATGAGGAAGGCGATGATGTATTACAAATTTATAACTCTCTGCAGAAGAAGATGCTTATGAGAATCGTCGACAGAAAAAACGAGGCATTACTTACGACTACACATCTCACAGCAGTAGTAGATCAGAGGCAATCATGTTATGTACGTATTCACATCAAATGGGCTACAGGGATGTAAGAATATAACACCTGTTATGAACTCTGTGTAAGCAGGGAATGTTTGATTCCTAACAATATGTTGAACCCATTCCAAATTTTGCAACATCCGAAATGGAAGTGGGAGACCGACGTGTATCAGGCATTGCATCAACCTCTAACTTGGCTCGAAAAGCATTGGCATCAGACATTTGCCTCACAAAACGATTGAAACGAATCCAGTTATGATATTCAAACATCTTCTTGTCCATCCTCACAAAGTTGAACGAAAAAGAGGGCTTCTCTAGACCATATGAGTAAAACTTTGACATCCTTACCACCTGTTGAAACGATTGATGGTCCAAACTGGTTGTAGAAGTTTCACCTTCTAGGGGTATATCACACACCCGAGCAGCTGAGAGCAGCTGTCTGAGAAGGCCTTCTGGGCTACCGACTGGATTCATCCGTTGTTCTTCCAGATCTTGCAATTCAAAACATGAGCAGCACAAAGTAAATCCAAACTTAGCCAACATGCGAGCAATTGGTAAATATCCATCTCTTAGTCTAGTATTGTAATAGCCAGCTGTAATCTCTGACGGATGAGACTGAGTGCGATAATGCCAGTGGATCCCAGCTACTTTTACTGATGTACTAGCTTCTGTGCCCCGGAAAATGGTCTCAGCCTCCCTGCATATCCTTTCACCATGCAGAAGCAGCATTCCTGAGTACCATTCAAGAAAAAAATTACCATATGGTGTAGTCCAGGATCCATGATGACTTTTGAAGAAATCTGTCTGTTCAAGATTCTGCATCAAATTGCCTGCACCAATAGGGCCCCCATTTCCCCATTCAGGCATCCCAATGGCTCTTGCACATGCATTGAGAGACGCAAGCATATACTGGCCAGGGCATTGAAGACAAAATGAAATCAATACAGGGACAACTAATATAATTATCAGGACAAAAGAGTAGCAAAGACTGTGCAGCCTCATTCGGGCAGAGGCAGAAATCCAACTATTAGCTAGTAAATTAGGTTTAAAATTTCTTCATACCTTGTCATAGCACTGAAACTCTCCAAGCTCACGAGATCGCCAAGCCCATGTTAGTTTCTGGGTAGGACAAGAAGGGTATCTTAATTCACCAGCAGGACCCATCCCAACTTGAATGCGCTGCAAGGAGAGAGCAGTTATTTTTGTTATTTAGGATTATAACAATATGACCACAGCCTTAATGCGCTCAACTATCATTTCATATAACTTACTGTTATGACAACACCAAGAAAAGGCCTAAAAGTGTCTCTGAAGTTCCTCATAAAATCTGCATATGCTTGGAGAGGTGAACGTCCCAGCAAAACAGGAAGCATATCACACCCGAGTGAAACGTATTCCATATTTCTTCTTCCAAATCTGTCAGAATATGCTAAATCTGGATCTTTATCAATCTCGTCAAGTACCCACAGAGGAAGAGGAATCCTTCAATGCACGAAGGGAAAAGATTTAGCTGAGGTAGGTTTTAAACAAGCTAACAGATAACATTCATGAAAAACTTACAGCTAAAAAGTACTAATGAGAAAGGCTGACATGAAATCTTAAATCATTAATGCCACCACTATGAAATCACGGTTGGTCAGATCATCTAGAATCTCACAACTCAATCTTTAAAAAAATTCACTTTAGAAGTTATGAAGGAGATGTTAAGTCATCAGATAAAAAGCACATACTAGAACATATTTTGTAAATGTACAAAAGATATGCATTGGATACAGGACAATATTGACTAAAGTAGAACATGTAAAAAACAAATGAAGTCCTATAAAATGTCAGAATAAAATAAAGTTCCTCCATAGTTAGTGAGAACAGGAAAGGCACATCAGCCAACGGGTCTTAATTGCTGCCTTGGAAATATATCTATATGTCCCCAAGTAGTAATTACATTATCCATTATAAAGATACTCAAGGCATACCAGGGGAATTGATTATGATATTTAGACTTAAATGGTAAATCCCAATATTCAAATCATTATTATAACCTTTTGTTACTTTCTACTTTAGATCATCTATTATATGGGAGGCACGTTATATATAAAGATACCATAAACTTGCTTTAAATCAATGAACCCTTGTAGATTGGCAAATGATTCATTTTGTATCCAAATCTGAATGACACGAAAATAAAACTGTGCGACAGAATTTGAAGTTCTACTCCATTTACATTTTTCTAGTTTTTATTACCATGAACAACCAAATACCCTCAAGCCTCAACAACTTAGGTCAAAAAACACGGTCAAGGTAATGGAACTAATAAAAGAGTCCATGAAACCTATGGAGAACCAAAATGTCTGAGTAAACATGCTTCACTAGCTATTACAAGACTGGTAATCATAGATCCTATCTTTGGATTGCAGGTTCCTATCTATATGTACTTCGAGCCATTAAGAAACAATAGAGAATTCTTTAAACAAGAAACGCCAAAGTAAAACAAAAGAACCAGTTACAATATTTCTTAACGCAATCCAAATAAAGAAAACGCAAGACCTAAACTAATCCAAAAAAGAACATTCAAAAAAGACCATTGGTCAATTTATTAGAATCAAAGATTGAATTAAATAAATTAAAACCTAAAAGAATCAAAGAAAACTAACCAATGAGGGTCCTCCGGCCCAGTGCCACACTGATGAAACGCCAAGACGGCACGAACCTTCAATCCGCAGCGTCGAGCCAAAGCAACGATCTCCAAGTAGCCTTCCCAATTGTAAAGCATAGGCTGATCTCTCTCCACCAGGCCCCACCACACCTCCATGACCACGCCTTCGACTCCGGCCGCCGCGAGGGCCTTAAGCGACTGAACCATAGCCCTGGGCCTCCGCAGTAGACCCAGTGGGCCGACGGTGTCCAAAGGTAGCGTGACGAACACCGGGGATCCTTTCCGACAACGCTGGGGCGATAAGCCGTGGAAGAGCTCGTACTGAAGTTCACTGTCGTCCGGTTCACCGTTTTCCGGCTCACCGTTGTCCGGCGAGACTGAGCCTCCGGCATCGGAAGAAGTGGACTTGTTGAACCGAGCGCTGAGGGCGAGTCGGCGAGTGAGTGGGCGAGGCTTGGCTCGGTGAGTGAAAATGGACGGGATGCGAGTGAAGGTTGAGGGTGTCTCTGTGCGAGTACGGCAGAAGGAGGCGGAGAAGCTTGGAGCGGACGGAGATGCGATCGCCATTGAAGGAATCTTGGAGTTCTGGTTAGGGTTTGGGAAATGGTGGTTTGTGGTTGTTCTGCAGAAGAGAGCGAGGGAGAGAGAGTGACGGAAATGGGTTTACGGTGTGGGCGCGGGTGTATGTGCTCCACTGTCCACAGCCACAGGGCGCGAGAGAGGAGAGAGAGAGAGAGAGAGAGAGACTCTCTTCTATGCAATTATCGGATTTTTGGGAATGGGCTTTTACTATTCGGTCCTCTTGATTTTTATAACTATAAAATGGCCCAGGCTGGCTGCTGTGTCGTTTAATGCCGACTGAGTATGTTTCACATTCTAGACGTCGACTGAGTATTTTTGACATTTTTAAGTCGCGTCATCAAATTTCTTTTTGTGATATTAACTGTTTAAAACCAATAAACAAATGTATCTAAAAATATCTCATTGAAATCGTGTGTGAAGTGAAGGGAGAAAATGATCGTTTTACCCAATTTGTTGTGTATTACTGCGTATAATATATGTTCGCAGATCTGAAAGTGTATAATATACTTCTAATAACGTGTTTTTTTTCTCTAAAGAGAATCGAACCTAGTACCCAGAACCCGGACCTATTCCGCCACCTGGGCTAACCCCAAGGGCTATACAAAGCATGTGTTTTCATTTCTACGTACTCTGACAAAAGCACCTTGCCAAACCAAGGGAGGCATGAGAATTGGGTGAGAAGACATTACTCATAAATATGCAAGAACAAATAAAAGGATTAATATCATAAGACGATTTAATAGATTTAATAAAATCTTATGTTTGACAAATCAAGGCAATAAAAAGGCCCGGACTTGACAACTTAATCTGGTGCAACCCAAATGACCAAGGGTAAAAAGAAACACAAAGAATGGGCTATAGGCTATATATATACATACAAAAAGCCCAACCAACCAACCACAAACAAAGGCAGCATAAGATTCTAAATAAAAATGCATGAGATTGGAACATTTGACCGACAAAATGAAAAATTCCTGTGAGTACAACAATGATATGAAATATGACTAAATAATATGCATGAATATTGCCCAAATATTATGCGGATGACGTCACCAATCCTACATAACGAGCAAGTATACAGGGATGACTGACTACAAAAAAGGCAGAGACCAAACTCTATCACAATTTTGACATATGATGTAACAATGCAAATACTTTTTAGACACCAAATTCTGGTGAAGGAAAGAAAAAGAAGGCCAAAAGATATAGAGGGGGAGAGAGAATGCAGACTTTACAGAACTGCTGCTGAAGGGCCCCGACTCGGCGGCTCCTGAACCAAAAACCTCCACCACCATCAACTTCAGACAGATGAAACGGGTACTCGCGGGTGTATTTCTATATCTCATTCCTCCAACACCATTGGACCAGTTTCTCTTTTTTCTATTCATCTCTTTCTGCCAAGATAGCAGAGACACAGGGGTCATCACCACCAACTTCCTCCGATGCAATGCAAGCAATAAAATTAAAAAATAACAAGAAAAAACTGACTCCCCGGTGCTGATTTGGTATACTGACTGCCATTGAAGCAAACATATCAGCCCAAAAATGGTGATGACCCGACTCATGATATGCAATCCCAGACCTGACCCCAACTCAAGACACCCAAATGCATGTAAGAACAAGAATATACTAAACAGCAGCAGCCTCAAAAATTAGTTGCCCGGCTGATAGCTATCTTGACCCATTCGGCAGCTTCCTTAATCGAAGGATCATCTGACGTGAGACATTCATTTAGAAAGTCTCTGGCTGACACAGATTGCTGAATTAATGAACCAACAGCACTACCCAGTGTATCAGCTAGATCTCCAAGGAGCCCAATGGCAGTTTTTATCACGAAATCATCCCTGAAAGAAGCAAATAAAAAAAATCAGAAATACTAGAACTAGTAGGAACAAAAGCAGAAAGAAAACAACCATAAACTAGAGGTTCCAGAGGTCTTACATGTCCTTCTCTATGTATAAACTATCCAAGAACTGAAGAACATGAGGTGCATAAGGCATCAATAAATGGGTCTTTGCAGAGCCCTTAAATCCTTGCAAGATGCCAGAGTACGCCTCCATAATTCCATTTCTCAATGTATTTGTGTACTCTATCATATCATCATCAACTCCGGATGTATGGGCAGATAGCTCTGCCGCACTCTGAAGCATGGGCATGGCATACATCAAATACTTCTCAAAATTCTCCCCAATTGCCAAAGCTAGATCACCAAAGCATGAAAATATGGGAGGCTTCACAGAGCGGTGCAACTGGTTGCTCGACAAATCCTTGAGGAGCTGAGTCATTATCCCATCACAAAAAGGCAATATTTTATCCTCTAAAGCCCGGCATATATCCCCCACCACACCAACTGTGATGGCACAAACCTGGTAATCCTCAAAATTCTGGAGACCCATTTCCAAGTATTTATAAAACTCAGTCATGTACTTAGCAAAATCAGCGCCTGTCGAATAGACAAGAGCTCCAATTGCAAGCATAGCCTCCTCATGAGCTGTGGCACTTTTACAAGCAAATACTCCCAAGAACAGGCCCATCATCTGGTCAGCATATTGCAAGAAGACATATTTTGTTGGTTCAGATGACCCAAGCTTCTGTATAATGACCTGCAAGCAACCACAAAGAAGGCCTTGTAATTCATTCTGCTTCTCCCTCTCATCAGATGAAAGCTTTTGTGCCTCAAGAGTCTGGTGGAGTTCCATCATAATGAGAGGAACTAACTGCATCACCATTGGAGCAGTGTCATCAGTGGAACACCTTACAACTTCATTCAGAGCTTCGTAGGCTGCAGTTCGCAGGCGGGATTCTCCAGCATCTTCTCGGTGAGTGGCATCGAGAAGGGCCTGGATGATATCCTGGAAAAAAGGAGCCAGTGGGGAGGAAGAAGGTCCAGCATCTTCAAAACCCTGGGCCAGAAAATAGAGAGCACCACATGCCTTCTCAGCAACATTTGGGACATCTTTCATGCTCTGAAGAAGAACTGTGATGATCTGTTGACAATTTGCTTGGGTAATTATGGGTGTCTCCAAAGTTGAACCATGGAGAAATTCAAATATTCTTCCAAGAGTCCATCCGGTAGTGTCTTTCACATGGTTATTTGGATCTTTCATCAAAGCATTCAGCATAAAATTCAGAGCAACATTAACTAGAGGCATGAGCTTGTCAGGGGATGGGCCTTCCAAAATAGAACCAAACGCATAGGTGGCTGCCTCTCTCTGCCTCCAATCTGGTTTTGTAATGTTCTCCTCAATAAATGGCATTACAAGTGGAACAACATCATCGCCAACTGTCCGTGCTACCAAGCCCAAGCAAGTTCCACCTGCCATTGCAACATTCCAGGCCACTTCATCCTGATCCTGATCCTCTTCTTGCTTAAGAAGAGTCTCCAATAATAAAGGGATCAGAGCAGGAAGTGCTTGCTTAATAAAATAGTAGCACGGAATAACAGAATCCCCAGTAAAATCACCGCCATATTCTTCTAAAATGTCAATCTCTTCATCACAAATTGAACTCCAGAACTCGATGGCCTGTAGTGCAACAGGTTCCTCATCTTCCTTCACAGCCTTAGCAGTAATGCTAAAAATATCTTGGATGTACGGAGCCAACTTTTCATAATAGGTCGAAGATATAGAAACAAGGCACTCAAAGGCTGCCTGTCGAATCTTTACTTCGGGGGAAAGAGTAGCCTCACATACAACTCTCACTATATAATCACGCTCCATATCATTTGAGAAATTTGCCTGAGCAAAACCCAAGGCATTATGCAAAGCTCTTGTGGCTGCAAGCCTGACATCATTATTAGTCTCAGAAGAGTTCATGCCCTGAACTACAGCAGTAAGCATTTTATTCACTTGGTCCTGCTCTACCACATCCGGGGAGACTTCCTCGCATATGTATCCAAGAGTTTCAAGAGTTGCTTGTCTAGTATGAGCTGGAAGTTGATTATTATTTGACAATAGAGCTTCGATCAGTTCAGGCCACTGTTTAAGAGGCAACTCAATCCCTGCTAGCTTTGCAACGACTTGAGATGCAGTTGATCGAGCATCATGGGCAGGAGAAGAAAGGGTCTTTAACAAACAAGCTTTGATCTGGGCCTTCACAGATGGGTCTAAGGACAACCATCTTTGTCCAAGCTCGAACTTCCTATGTTGTTCTTTGGCATCCAAAGCATTCTTAAGGATCAAACCTGCTAATTTACGACTCTCAACAGGCTTATCATCATTTGCCAATTCTCCAGCAAGAGAGAGCAAGAAACTTGGAAGATTTTGTTCTTGAAATTGTCTAAGGTTTTCTTCTGCATGCTTGCGTACATTCCCATCCACTGCTTGTGCATTTAAAAGAATTTGGGTAACTTCCATCGCCATTAGAAGCTGAAATCAATAAACCAATTAAAAAATTAATAGAAATGAAGCTCTACATATCTTGTCCAAAACAAATTGTAATCATGTATGCACTAACCAAGTAGCACTGAACAATATAGAATTCTTTAAATAACGGAGTGAATGCATTTAGGGCTAAAGAAATAAACCTTGAAACCAACAAAAATCATCCATACAATTAGTAATTTCATTCATACAATTAAGACGGTACAATCACAAACAGCTATAACAATAACTCCAAGGAACAAAGATTTAAGAGAGGGAAATAGAGGTGCAGAGATAGACAGAAAGAGACAGAGGGAGAGGGCATCAGGGTTGAGCATAAAGAAGATTAATGACCCCAAAAAAATCATAATAATCCAAAAAAAATCACAAAGTATTGCAGCTTATTTATCAAAATTCATTGACAATTTATTGACGGGACAACAAATCATCGATACCCAATTAACTTATGTATTCATTAATCAGCTATATCTACAACTACAAGACTCCAATTAGCACTGGAATCAATCCCATATTAAATCATAACTTGGAAAACCAACTGCTCATAATGATAAATAAAAAAGAGCACCCTTTACTAATCCTCACAAAACCCAAGTTTCCTTGACTGACAAAAACATAACTAATAAGTCATTAAGTACATAATTTCTTATTGCAATTCAGTCTGAGATGCTTCCCAACTTAGTGGAAGTGAAACTAGCAACAGTTGTAGTTACCAGTAAAAATTATCACACACTGAGCGTACGGATTGCCTATCTAATAATACCCAAAAACAATCGTATATTCAAAACTATCGACTCCTTCACTTTCCTAAACACAATTTGAAATTCAAATTGATCACGCATCAAACACTTACAGAATCAATCAATAACTCGCTGATCCCAAGATCAAAATTGAACAAACTAAGCAAAAAACAATAACAAATCGCGGATCAAGGATTTCAGATCAGACCGACAAAACTGCAATCGGAGTGCCAGCAAATGTTATATAAAACAGAGATTGAGATTTAAGAAAACTTACCGAGTTGATGAGTGGACTCGGCGAGACAGCGAGTGAATGATGAATCCGAGTCAAAAAAGAAAACGAAGACCAAGTAGAAGAAGAAGAAGAAGAAGGAGGAGGAGGAAAGAGAAGCGGCGACTCTGAAAACCCTAGCAGAGTGTGGGAAGCAGAAAAGCAAATATGCCCAATATTTTGTAAAGCTGGGATTTGCAAAAAAACAACGATATCTGATTTTTATAGTTCCTCAGGTTTCCCACGCGCGGTCCTCGGCGAGTTACAGCGTCAATTAAGTGGAAGTGGGCGATTGGGTGGATTTAGTGAGCCCCGGTGTGTTAGCGAGTTATCGTTTGTGAGGACGATGATTTGATTGGTCGTGTTTAGTACGCGGTTAAAGGATGTGTGGGATTGGGCGTCCGTGTATTATTTAGCACCGTTATTATTTCAGTTGTTTATTCATTTTGTATGGGCTTTGATCCGCTGGAAGGCGCTAATTAGTGTTCCTTTTTTTGTTTTTTGTTTTTTGTTTTTACGCTTTTTGTTTTGTTTTTCTCTTTAATATAAACAATATTCTTGTTTAATTTAATCTATATATATATATAAAGCAAATGACAGGCTCGCAAGGGTACAATGGTAAGTTAGGAAGAGTTTTGTTTCTTCAAATTTTTTTTTCTTATATTTAGTTGTTGTTTTACCGTTGTACCCTTGCGAGTCTGTTGTTTGGTTCTCGTGTTATATAAACAAGAAACATGGTAAGAAATTTGCCTACTTATAAGTTTATGCATGCTCATTAACTTCACGAATTTTTGGTAGAATGTGTTTATTTGCTTATTTGAACTCTCGGCTATAATTTTGTCTACATATAAGTAGAAACTATGGATCTGGGAGTTTATGATTTGTAAAAGTGTTGGTTTTGCTTCACTTACAGAGTGAGAAATTATGGGTTGGGATGCTTTTACCCTTCCTTCCTACAAAAGCAAGAAAATAAATAAAGATAATCAATTTTGGCTAAGAAGCAGGGGATCATACTTCTCTTTCTCTTTCTTTTGGTAAATCTATTGTTTGCTCTTCAAATGCAATGAGAGGATAGAAGTTGGAGTTTGAGGAAATCGTATTAGCAGCAATTGGTAAGGACCAAAATGTGGGTTCAAATTTGGGTTATAATCATTTGTACAATTTAGCAATTGGAAGTTCAGATATCAGGAATTCCATTTGAGGATGAGCTTTTGAATATGATATATTTAAAAACAGTATAGACGCCCCGCTATACGAGAAATTATAGAATAGTACCGTATTATCACTTCAGCTTATGATACTTTCATTGAAAATATGCCATGTGTCATTTAGGAATAATAATTTTAATTTTTTTTACAGCTGGATTTGGAATCTAATTATTATCTTTTGAATAAAACTAAGAAATCAAAAAATCAAAAAAAGAAAAAAGAGTCACCACCCACCTCGACCCGTCGTCTACCTCGTGCTGCCTTCTTGGCCGATGCCCACTCCCTCTCTTTTTCTCCCTCTCTCTCTCTCCCTCCCTCCCTCCCTCTCTCTCTCTCTCTCTCTCTCTCTCTCTCTCTCTCTCAACCGCTTAATCATTGTTCAATCCTCTTACCCTTTCGATGGCTACCCCAAGACTTGGGGTTTTTTTTTCCTCCTTTTTCTCACTAATTTGTTAACTTATAATTTTCAAATTGCCATTAGATGTGAAGAAGGTTGGGGTGGGAGGTGTCTGTTGGTAGTAATTGAATGAAATTGGACATTTTTCAATGCTGATGAGATCTTGCAGGTTCATTCACGGGTTCAAGAGATCTTGCAGTTTTAGAGAGAGAGAGAGAGAGAGGAGGAGGAAGAAGAAGATAAGGAGGGGCAGAAAGGGGAGGCAGTGCGGTGACGGTGTAGGGAGATTGGGTTGGGGTGGGAGGAGGATTCTGTCGTCTTCTATGTTCTTTTCTTTTCTTTTAGTTTTTTTTTCCTCCTTTTTAAGTTTATTCTAAATGGTATACATGTTTTAAATCCAGCTGTAAAAAAATTTCAATTTTTTTTATAAAACCATGACACATGGCATATTTTCAATGGAAATATCATAAGCTGAGGTGATAGTAGGGTACTATTCTATAATTTCTCCCGCTCTACTATTTATTAAAAAATTAAATAAATAAAAAAGGTCCCATGTATAGCCGCGCGACTATACCTTTTGAATATAATATATTTAAAAAGTATAGCCAAACGACTATATTCTTTTAATGTATTATATTTAAAAGGCGTATAGCTGCATGGCTAAAATATTTATTAATAAAAATTAAAAGAAAAGAACCCTTCTAGTTGCATTAATTTATACTTTATTGATATTAATTTTCAGTCAATAATATACAAAAAATTTGATGTATAATATGTGAATTTTGTGTGTACTATTGAAAATTTGGTTAAAAACAAGTGTATTAAACAAGAAAAATACATACGAACATATACAATATGTGTATTACTTGTTGTAAGAAAAAGGGAAAACACATCTGCTTTAGCCAACTTAGCGAAGTTGGTTTGTTTGCTTTCACTTTTGTTTGATTATTGCGATGTTAGTAACTGGAAGGGAACCGCATCAAAGTTTAAAAGAAAAGGATGAAGGAGACCTTTGAAAAAGGTAAAGCAGTGCTATTGGTTTTTGCTCCTATTTTTTAATTCCAACTAGGTACCAGGTTCGAAGATTGAACCACCATAGACACTGTCAAACAACGTAACATGTACAATGATACAAGTACGTCCAGTTCATTCCTTAGCCATTTCACTCTTAATCCATTCGCGCTTGGCTTCAGGATCTTTCAATTTACAAAACATCTCTCTCTTCTTTTTACTTGAAAACAACCCTTTTGCAAACCACCACATCTTGTCCTTTGCCCTCTTCTCCTCATCAAATGGCATCTTGTCCTCATCATCTGTCATCTCTTCCTCATCATCAAAATAAAAAATTACTTGTCCAAGTTCGGCCCTCACAAGAAATGATGTTACAGGAACCAAACTTGGAAGTACTGCAACAAATCCTCCATTATTCTCATCTTTCTTACCTTGTCTTCTCCTTTTCTTCATCCCGGCTGGACTTTACGTACATTGAGTAGCAAGTACAGCAGATGAGAAAATTCAACAATAGGATCAGTTTAGTAACTTGCTATATCATTCATCCATTTATCACAACGATAGAAAGAAAAACATATAGAAAGATCACATCTTGACTTCAACAACAGTGAAAAACCTTCAAGTGTTTGATAGAAGCACCGGAAACCTCATCTACCCTTTCCCCTTTTAGATAGCAATGGAACATTGGCTGCAGCAAAATGCACACATCAGCAGAGTAATATTCCATTTTAAGATAAAATCAGGGCAGCTTGAACAAAACGCTTAGCCCCCATTTTCCCAGAGAAGCCGCCTGTTTATTCTTTTCTGAATTATTAACTAGGATATGGTAAGAACTAGAAGCCAAATTTTGAAAGAAAGGTCAAAACACATGAGAAATTACATCACTGAACTAAGTGCAAGACATTTACATTCAAACAAAATAGAATGATCGAATCATTTACTGTCTTGTAAATTCCCAACTTGTCCAAGCTGGATCCAGCAATATTCTATAGATAGAATAAATGTCAGATCTACTAGTTTAGAGGCATAACAAGAAATAATATGATGATTCTTCTATACGCAGCTGCATGGCGCATCATAATTAGAGTATGGAAAAAAATTACTGCATGAGCAAGCATTAATGCATAGCTAATGAAAAAGACATTTGTTTTATGGACTGTCAAAGACAATGACAGTCCATGATATTTGACAGTCCATGACTCTGGCCTTTGGTATCACACCAAAGGTTTCCAGTTGAGAAATTAGATAAATTCCGGCATCACACCAGAGGTGCCTTGGAATCACTCCACGACAACCTGTGCCTCACACACAATCAAAAATTCGTATGAATTTTTCTTTCACTAACTCTGATTTTATGATTACAAAGTAGCCCCTTTTATAGGGTAATTGGTACATCAATCTTGAAAGATCCATATTAACACACTTGGGAATTATAAAGACATAATTATTACCCAATACATTAATCGTGTCCCATAGAGAGACTCAAAGACAGTAAACCTTCGAAAATGGCATTTATTACATAGGAAACTAAAAAGATTCCCATTTATTAAACTTGAACATTGCTCCTGCATCATTCTCCCTTAGTTGCAGAAAATTCGACCTCGAGTTTGACATGTTGAGGTAGAATGATCTTAAGTTGGTTGCCAAGGTGACCATCTACCCCTAGTACACAGGATCTCTCACCATGTAAGAACATGGTGGAGGATGCTCTGATACCAAACTGATGTAGAACAGTAAGGGAAGATAGGAAGAAATGAGAGATCCGGACTCACTCTGGCCTTTGCCATCGCACCAAAGGTTTCAGGTTGAGAAATTAGATCAATTCCGTCATCACACCAAAGGTGCCTTGGAGTCACTCCAAGACAACCTGTGCCTCACACACAAGCAGAAATTCACAAGAACTTTTTTTTTCTTTCACTAACTCTGGTTTTATGCTTACAACGTAGCCCCTTTTCTTTCACTATGCATTTTTATGTCATTTCAACTGTTCAGGGAAACTCAAAGAAGAAAATTTAATTTCTTCTCAGTATCATGGACTGTCAAAATCTATTCACCGATAATATTTCCCAAGCATATTCTAATCTAATGCATCCAGTCAAGATGCAAAGTGAAGTGTAGTACAGACTACACAATATTTGGAATGTAAAAGGTGTAAAATTGTCAGGATTTGTGGGATTATATTTGTAATGTTGTAAGTGGGGACTTCTTGTCTATAGTGATGTATTCATACTATCAGTTTGATTAAAGTAACTTCCTCTATATGTGATCAACCAAAGAAAATATTTGTTTCAAAGACAATGAACCATTTCACAAGACCAAGCATCCCACCCACGCACAAGAAAAACAAAACAAGATTTAATTGTCAACAAAACCTTTTCACATGCATTGTTCAAGCATGTCAATGATCTTATATGGGTAAACAGTATACAAAGATTAGATCAATGATTTTCACATCTTGTGCGATTGTTTTCCTTAAACTTATGCAGTACTCTTTTAATCATTAAATCCATATTTCAGGTTCCAAGCCAAACGTATGCCTCAGCCCAAACAATCTGATTTAAAGGAGAGAACAATGTTAGGAGTAAGAAAGTTGCCAAACTACTGTTTCCAAGAAACCATAAACCACTTCAAAAAGTTACCTTATCCATGTAAACCATATACATTTTTATGTGTTGGAATTGCTCACACAACTCATCAAGGATTGGAGTTACCCACTTACGGGCTGCACAAGAAGAGAGCAATTTATTGCAAATCGCTTGATTGATGAAAGAAAATTCATTGATTAGAAGTTGGAACTTACTAGCCCGGCACCTGGGTGCTGTGTAGTAGAAAACCGCAGACAACCTAGCGTCTATGCCAAGGAATTAAAAAAATTAAAAATTAAAAATTAAAATCAACAACAAAACTAAATTTGCCTCAATCTCTCCTCTTCTTTTTCCACTGATTTTAATTTTGATTTTGTGCAGATTTAACGATTGGGGTTACTTCTTACTCTATGCAAACTTTAAGGCTTTCATTGATTTACTGTTTAGGTAACCTCTGCTAGCTTTATAGTTCATCCTTTATTGCTTCTTTGATCTTGGTTTTTTTTTCGTTGGATTTATTTTTAATTTTTTCAGTGATTTCTAATCGCAATTGGGGAAGTAGAAGAAAAATATTTATGTGTTATATTCATATTTGAATTGGTCGTATTGTTGATTAGTTGGGATTGGAATTGTGGTCTAATTGCATTTTGCAGCTTACAATATGTGAATTTTTTGTTGTTGTTGTTGTTGTTGTTATTGACGCTATTGTATCTGGATGACACATTTAATATTTTTCTTCTAAAGTGAGCTCTTTTTTTTTTCTCTGGGTTTACAAGTACATATGTGGTTGTTTTATTCCAGTTTGTAGGTGGTGAAAAATAGGCTGGATTTATATGTTCTGTGGGAGTTGGTTTTCTGTTTCAATATCACAAAGAAGGTGGGGGAGTTTTAAAATTAGGATAAATGTTGTTTTCAATAACTTTGGAGCTGAATCTTGTTTCTTGAGAAATTAAGCTTTTCTAATACCCAGTTTTGTGTTTTGAAGTATGCTCATTTCAGTATTCAATTCTGTGCTGATACTTCTTCTTGGCATTATGCTCATGGCTAAGGAATTTTTTTTTATAAAATGGGGGGAAAACCCCAAGAACAATACCTAACCACACATCGAGGTCTAGCATGACCTAACAAATCATCCACCAAGAATGAACTAACCCAGGCAGGGGCCTCCTCAAAATAGCAAACCCCCAGGTCTAAGTTGTAACTCCAGTTATGGCCATACAGTCCGCAACACAATTTTTCTCTCTGTGGATATGAGCAAGCTGACATGTGCCAATCTGCCTCAAGTGACTACAGCAACTATGCACCAAGGCAGCAAGTGGATGACATTGCAAGAAATATACTTGCTGGATGAGAGAAATAGCAAAGCAGCATCCATCTCTATAGCAAGGTTGGAAATACCTTTCTCAACAGCAAGCTTTAGCCCAAAATACAGCCCCCATATCTCAGCCTCCAAAATTTGCTCCTTACCCAAATTCACAGAAAAACCAGCAATCCAGTCACCTTAGGAATCACGGAGGACACCTCCTGCTCCAATAAGACTAGTGGCAGTCCTTCTAGAACCATCCACATTGAGTTTAAATTAGCCAACTATAGGAGGATCCCAGGGAAGAAATATATGCATTCTATCAAGCTTCTGGCCAGGGATAGAAATAGAATTAACCCACTCAACAACAGCAGCATAAATACCATCTCTGGAATTAAAAGGCAAACCCTCCTCTTCACTAAAAACTTGCTTATTTCGCCATTTCCACAGGTACCAACAAGTGAAGGCAAAAAGGATACCCCAACCAATACCATCAGGGCCTTTAACCTTGGAAAGCAAATTACTTAAAACAGTATCCCATACCTCCAGGCCGACATGAAATTTGACAAGAAGAATCCACATCTAGATTCCCCTTAAATTCCCCTTAACTCTTTGCTCATTAGGTAGTATTTTCCCCTGATAAGCAAGCTTGAAAAAGAAGTGCAGTTTAGGAGGAATCTTCAATTTCCATAAAACTTTCCAGAAAGGATCATCATCCCCAAAAGCGTGAATGTAACTATGCCTCACGGTGTAATGAGGAGGCGTCTTGGAGTCGTGCTTTCAATTTCACATTATGATTAGTAGAATATGCAAATTATAGTTGGTCTACGTCCTATTAGCTTTAGACTTTAGGAAGAGTAGATAACCAATGTAACTTATTATTTTATTAGAGCTGAAGATGCTGAATTCAGATCCATGCATCTGGAAACTTTCAATGTATGTTGAACTAATTCTACGTGTTTGGTTCTCTAGCGGCGGAAAGGCTGACATGTTAGGGGACTGTTAGAATGTAAAAAACAACAGATGTTCCACATCCGAATGGCATCTTTGCAAGAAGAATTAGACCTCTTTTCAACTTTGGAAAGTGAAGAACTTGGTAGAATCTGTTGCCATGCTATTCTTGTGCCTACAAGGTTAACTTGATGGGAGTTCACAACTTTTTCTGGTTCAATTATGACGTGATTGAAATGACTAGGGGCTTTACATTGATGAAGCTGATAATTGACAGAATAACCCCTTTCTCAATGAAGTAGGGGAGGTCTAGGGAAGATAAGCAAATTACAACATTCATTTATGGGTCTGAAAACTAGGTAGTTGGGGTAAACTTTCATGAACTGTGCAAATGCCATGAAGAAAAATGCTTGTGACTGTTATTTGGAATCCTGTGATAATAATAAAAAGAATAAATTTTGGAATTTTTTGGTGAAATTTGCTAGACATACCACAATCTTATGCCATATTTTTAAACCACCTTATGTGGCAGCTGACTTGGACATGCCACGGTAGTTAAGTACTTAATGAGTTAGCTAGGTATTAATTTTATTCCTTCTTAATTAAAAAGACAAATTAAAATTTTCAGGCCTACTTCAAGTGTCTTCCTATCCATCCCCTCTCTCACTCCCCCAACTGGTTGGACTTCCATCAACGGTATCAGTTACCGGTGAAAACAAATATAAAAAGTGGTAAAGAACAAGAGGATTCTACCTCTGGATTCTGTGTCTGATCCATATACCCTTTGTTTCAGTGCTGTACATCTGAAGATCTGATTTTGCAGATCATATCTCATTTTCACTGATGAATTTCCATATTGGAACTCATGCTTTCTTGATGGCAAGTACGGTTGCTTCTGGAAGTTCATGACTAGTCTCTTCACACCAGTAGAATTAGATCTATTCAAGTGTGTTTAGTAGACATCTGATCTCTTTCCTTTTGCAGATCCAAGTCTCAACCTTTTCTCACATTAGATCTCTTTTCATTTCATCCTTCTTTTCTTATACCATTAAATTAGTTCTCACTCAGCCGTCTCATGCTTGTTTGGTGCCTATGATTGGATTGGATTAGGTTACTCACTAGATTTAAGGTATGTTGAAGGAGGAAATGAAGGTAGAGGTGAATGATTTTTTATTTTGTGGGCATTAGAAGGGATGAGTTATGACATGTTAATGTCCTACCATTTTGTGGGGATTCGATGGGATAAGTTTCCTTCATGAGTGATCCATCTTCTACCTTCAACTTGGACAAAATTTATTCATTTCTTCATTCAACATGCCTTAAATCTAGTGAGTTATCTAATCCAATCCAATCCTATCCTAGGCACCAAATGAGCTCTGAATTGATGTGGCATGCATAACTTAGCTGCCACATAATGTGGTTATGGTATAAAATTGTGGTGTGTCAAGCATTATTGCAATATAGTTGATGCAGTAACCATTACATACTAAATAAGGTCTGCAATTAGAAAGTTATCTATCATGCGTGCAAAGAATGCTGCTGTAGTTATTGTTAGATAAGATTCGGGATCTTTTACTAGAATGCATCCTAAACAGACTTGAAGAAACGTTCAGAAAGTTATTACATATGAAGTTATTTGTTTGGACCGAAAGAACAAGAAATACCTTTAGATATGGAAGATGAAAGGAGGTGTACCCTCTTCTAGCAAATTACTTGGAGTTCATCACATTGTCGTTATCTTCTATATCCGGCATTCTTGGGTCCATCTTGTTTCCTTGGGATGGCGGACCTCTGATTCACTATGTCTTGTATTGTGTTTTGAGCTCTTTAATAAAATTTTGTTTCGTAAAAAAACTGTTTTTTTTTCTTTTCATTTTCAAGTTTTTAATTTTCAGCAATTCCTGAAATTTGTTCAACCACCTTTTGAGGCACTTTTAAAAACTTGAGATAATCCATCTTCATTACCATCTGCAAGAAAGAATCAAGTTACTATGTGAGGGTATTGTTCACAGCTCTCACTAAGGCAAATCCTAATATGGTTTTCTTTGTTAGAATCAGTTATGATCCTTCTCCTTTGTGCCCCATTAGGAGCTAGGCCATAGTGGATTGATTTGTACCTTGATATTGTTGAAGATGGTTTTAGGAAGTTTTGTTTTTTGCTTCATACACACTTGTATTTTTCACTCACCTTTATTGTTGAAAATATTTATTGTTTTTGTTTCTACATTTAGAATAATATCCTTTTCTTTCTGTGATCATTTTGTTGAGCTGAATTGAATGTTCTGGTGTCCATACGAGTCATGCAAGAGTTGCTGCTCAAAAGCTCAAAATCCATGTCATATTCACGGTATGTTAATTCAAGTCTCTATACCTTATCAAAACATTTCTACCTTCCAAGTGTGGGTATTTGGAACATTGGATAATTTTATATATATATATATATATATATATTTTTTTTTAATTTTTTTTTGCTATTGTTTGTATGGTTTCCAACACTAATGTGAAGATTCAAAGCATATTGGCAAGTAACCTAGTTTTCCCTTTTTTAGTCGGGAAGCTCATCCATTGCCCCATAAATTCTTGTCCAATTATACTTCCCTACTTATTTTTTATGCTAGCCTGGATGTGTCTTACTGACTACATAATGCTTTAGAATTAATTCTAGCAATGCATGCTGGTAATTTTCTACATTTATTTGGTTGCAATCTGTTACTTTATTCTATGGCAGTGTAGTAAAATGCTTAAAAAATGGTTGATGTAGAGAGACTTTGGTATGGATGGGAATAAATTTCATGTCGGGAAGAGTGATGATAACTACTGCAGCTTTTTGAGGGGTTCTATTTTGCCAGCTAGGTTAGGTAGTAAAATGTCCTGGTTCAAAAAGGGTGATGAGCTTATGGCTGTGTCAAAGACGGCGTGGCTGTCTAGTAAAAATGGAGCGACTGTTGTGGTGAGTGGTAATGGGGAAAAATTGGCAATTGACAATTTATGTATTTCAATTATTATTTTCCAAAATGGTTACTCTAATGTCTCCTTCAAGGAAGAAGGCTGATAGCTTAAAAAACTCACACAGGGGTGTGTAGTATTCTTTTCCATCACCCATGCAGTGCACTGAGTAAGATACCTGAGGCAATGTTGGAATCTTAGAGTGGACTCTAGGCAATAATGAGAAGAGCTTAGTGTCTCTCAAATGCTGGAAGCATAGTGGACAGTGTCGGCAATACAGGATTGCTAGCACTAAGACCTTCTGTGTAAGGCAATGTTTGGATGAAACATTAGAGATTTTTGGGGCTTCTGGCTACCACCAGAGTACACTGGAGCCAGTGTGGTATTGGTTTGGTTTTGGCCATGCTAGTGGGTAACAATATGGTTATCGGCATGAAGGGTAATATGTGTTGTCGATGGACAAAATTGGTTATGTAACATTTGGATTATAGTTGCTCACTTAGGAAGCTTGCGTATGCATACAGTAAGTGTGAATTAGCTCGTGCATGTCAGAATAATCAATGGCTCATTTACGCTACACAAAAGACTCTGATGGTGTCTTGATAAGGGTAGGATGTTGAGTTGATTTGGGCATTTGCTTGCACGATTTCTTGTGGGTTGTCTGTTACTAATGATGCACTGTAAGGGATTTAATTGTACTTATAAGCTTTTGATCCTAATGGACTTCTTGCCATCTGGTTCTATTCTTTGCTTTTCTCTTTTCAATATAATTCTTGTTTGTTATAAAAAGAGAACGCTCATCAGTTTTGTCCAATTTTTTGATGATATAACCAAACATGCAAACTTAGTTTGTTGCTTACTCAAATATGTGAACTGATCTACATTGAGTCAGGGTGGGTGTTTCATCCTTTTTGGAGCATGACCTTGTTCTGGTTTCTCTTTTCTGACTGTATTACCACTGCAGTTTTGAAATCAAATGCAACATTTCCGGACAAGGCACCAACCTCAAGCTCTCCTCTATTTGACCATCAATCAATTGAGGCATCACCATCAGGGTGAGTTCTTAACATCAGTCTCCCGTTGTTATATCTGGTTATATTTCTGATAATTGTAATCTTTTTTTCTTTTTTTGTCTCTAAAATTCGGGCCATTAAATTGTTTTCCTTAGAAAATTGCATTGCTCTTCAACCATGTCTGTACTATGGTCAGATTTCTCAAAAATTGTTGGAATCTCAGGCAATTTATAGTCTAATTCACCAATGACCTAAATTGAACATGAGTTCGTAATACTTGCTGATTTAATGAGTCAAATCTTCCTACGCAAGGAAATTGGCTCAAAGATTTCCACAGATTCTATTATGTAGTCTAACTTTGATATTATTTTCAAAAAAAAAATCCCCCCACCTTTTAATAATTGCTTTATGAACTTTCCATGTTTCAAATTTATTTATCTTGATTAACTTGGCCGTCCAGAGCATTTCAGTTACTAATTCTTTGGGGGTCTTCAAAGCAAACTCTGTTTTTGTTCTGGATGTAGATTTTCTTAAATTGTTAGCTGTGTTTCAGGAATTCACATCGAACAATTTTGCTCAATTCAGTAATGTGCATCTTCTCCTTCGTTCTAGGAAGCCTTTGACCAAAAAGGTGCATGTCCTCGGCACTATCTATTTGTTCTTGTACCATTTACAGTGAGAAGGGCCTGTTCTAATTTTTGGAGTTAATTTCAGGATGCCGTAGCTATTAATGAGTGGAGATTTTCCAACTTAAAGGAATACTACAAGGACAGAAACATCAAAGTGGAAAATGAAGCTTTTGATTGATACATGCAGAATGTGACCCTATTAGAGGAAGTGTTTTCTGTGAAATCTATCATGGAGGAGTCCATTGGGGATGAAGCTGAACTCAAATCCATTTCAACCGATGATACCACTACTGCTACTACAGAAGAAGACACTGAGGCTATGGTCTCAGGGTTGAAGTTGAAGTTGAGATCAAATCCAATGAGAACCAATAACTTCAGAAAGAGGATACAGCAAGTTGTTGATCGATTAAAGACTTAAAAAACGTGAGTTAGATGATGGGGAGAAGGAACCAAGTGTGGGAACTGAATTGGATCAGGGGCCCAAAGAAGGGGAAAAATGGCGGGCCGAAAGGGCCTCTGCTCTAGGCAATCTCATTGTATGCTGAACAAGGCCCGAAATGTGGAGGATCTGAAGTTGTGCTTGGAGATGAAATCTCAGCTCTTCAAGGAACATAAATTGACTAGCACATCAGAATCTGAAGAGAAACAGCTACAAAGAATGATTTGGAGCCCCGGAAAGAGTCAAATTATTCATTTCCCAAAGTCGTTAGCACTACCGAAATCGATCAAGAAACTCTCAATATCGTCTACACACGCTTCTCTTCCCTTGAGCATATACAAGGTAGATGATCTATGATTTGAGGGAGGTGTCATAGATTAATGTAGTTTCTTCCTAGAGTTTCCTTTCTAGTCAATAATAAATCAAAGGATGCTTAGAAGTTGCTCCTGATTTGCACCGACCCTTCCAACAGGTTGGGATTGGCCACCCCCTCATAATTTAACATTTTTGACTCTGGCCATGTTCCTGAGTCAATTATACCAATGACAATCCCATCTCCCATCTTTGTGTCATGCATAAGATTTGTGGGAGAATGAGAAGAGAGGCCTAGATAATCCCGACTCCTAGTATTTTGCAGCGTATGAAAGCTACTAGGCATGACATGAGCAACCCCGGGTAACTCTAAAACAAGATTGAACAGAAGGAATATACTCGGTAATTATAATCAGAAATTTTTTAGGCATATATGCATTGATCAAAAGTGGTCATAGAAGAGAGCACTCAATGTAAAAGTACCTGCAATCTACTTGGCTTGAGATTCTAAGCCTCGCTGCAAAACCAGAGAAACCATGTTTGTAGCTATAGACTACTGAGCCAATGGCGGCTTCTTTGCTGTAGCATAGATTCAACCACACATAATCAACAACCATTTTAAAATTTTACCTCGAGAGACTTAACATTAATTAAGTCATCTTCAAACAAGCAAGTTTCCAAAAACAGCAAAACCATGAATCAAAGAGAATTAAGCAGCCGTCACCACACCTTTGCAATGCAGGTGGCAGACTAAAAAACAAGCAAGAAAAGAAAAACTACTTGAACAAGACTAAAAATTAGAACTCTGTTCTCACAATTCAAGCTGCTTAATCAGAAGCTTAAGCACTCCTTATGGTGAAACTGAAGTAGCATGAAGTATAAAAGTTACTGATTTTAATGAAAGTAAAACTGTTAGGGCATTATTCCTGCCAACAACTGATGCCAGCATCTCATGATGTGAACTGGTTACAAGCTCGGGATGCTCATGCTACTTCTCCCCCGTATAAACTATGCGAAGCTATATATAAGATAGACAGTAATTTGTGGTAATCCTCCATAAATTAAGAAATTAGAGAGAAAGATTTCATGTTTTTGAATCTGTACTTACTCTACTCTCGGCATCAATCGGTGCAATCAAGGTGTCCTGACCGTTGAAAACTAACAAAGGACTGCCTCAGTGAATGTGTGGCTATCTAATTGTCATAAACCTCGAGAGAGTTAAGTGTAGTTTGAAGTACTATTGTGATTTGGTGCTGGTGCAAAGTGATCCTAAAACATATGAGATTGGTTTGAATGTGAAGGTATATGATACTATTGGGAACAAAGTGGACAAGGATCCATCTTACAGGGACGTTGGCAATTAAGGATAAGGTGTTTAAGTATATTGGTGAGGGTTCATTGTTTATTTGCACATGGCTTAGACTCATTATTATGTGGTTTTTACTGCCCCTACTCATTGGTGTTGTAGACTGTTGCTTGCATTTGTACTGAGCTTGAAAAAATTGAGACTTTGAGTTTGAGGTCAGTTCTTGACCTTCTGAAAGATAGTCCACAAATCTAATTCTTGCCAGATTGTATTTAGCAAATGCATCTCTACTTCCAAGAAAATATAATATTAAGCATCTCTTAGCTCTTAAAACTGCTGGTAATTCAGAACATAATGATAAACAAAACAACCCACTTTGATTGAAAAGTGTTCAAAGTCATCTCTCAATACTTCTAAATTCCACATAAATGAATAAGATTTTATCAAAAGGTAAAATTCCTTCATTAGAGAAACATGGGAACATGAGTAAAAATAATTTCCCAAGCTTAGGGAATGGTGTTGCTTCTAGCAAAGTACATCAAGACAGACAACTATATGATACAAACAAATTCATCTAAAATAAAATCTCAAAGGCTGAAACCAAAAGGCCACAATTATAGGCAACTATATGCTTGGTTCATCTATCATGTATTTTTAATGTAGAAAATATATCCATTCAACTGTAGAACCAACTATAAGAATGGTTTATCTATCATGCTTGATATATGCTTGGTTTCCCCCTTCTTGTTTCTTCAAGGTAGAGGTGTCAAACGGGACGGGCCGGTCCAGCACGGCACGAGCCCAGCCCATTTAAATGAGGCACGGCACGGCACGAGCACGAATATTAATGGGCCGTGCTTGACACGGCACGAAAACTTGGGTCGGGCCGGGATCAAAAAATGAGGTCCAATAGACCGAGCCGGCCCATGGCCCGACCTGGGCCGGGCTTGGCCCGAGCACGCTTCAAGCACGGCACGAGCCCAAGCACGGCCCACTTAACAATTTTTTCTTTCTCAAAAGTCAAAATGCAATAATTTGACATCTAATGTCATTATTTATATGTTTTTTTAATCATAAATATATATATATATATATAATGTCTTTCATTTTAGGGAAATTACTTGGGTCCTTAATTAATTTGCCTTAATTAATTAAACATATCAACTACAAATTAATTAAACAATATTGGACTTAATATCTAATAAGTACATATGGCATATATGCTCCTCTTATAATCAAAGTAAGACATTATTTTACATATAAAATAATAAGTTGTTTAAAGATGAAAAGTTGAAGTGGACTTTGTAGAGTTTGACACTTTTTGCCCTCTGCCATTTTCATATTGTTTGGATGTTTGATTGATTAATGTTTTCAAATAGTTCATCATTTCTTACCTCTAATTATATTTTTAATGTTTATAATTTGAATTATCTAGTTTAAAAAAAATGAAGTGAAAAAAATTCAAATTAAATGGATTGGTTCTTGGGCCCGAGTATGGCACGAGCACGAGCACAAGCACGGCATGAGCCCGGCCCGGCCCGTTCCAATATGGACATGGGCTTTGGGCCGGGCCAGGATCAATAATTTTACTAAATGGGCCGACACGGCACGACCCGATAAGTTAAATGGGCCGGCCCGGCCCGACACGAAAACGTTAAAAGCACGAGTTTAAATGGGATGGGCCAGCACGGCACGGCCCGTTTGACACCTCTACTTCAAGGCCTTGCTTTATCTGCTTTCCACTCTCTTCTTTCTTTCATTGGATCTGAGATCAAACAAGACCCATGAAATTCTGAGTTTAAAAAAAAAATCAAAATTTAGTTATTGTTTCATAACAAAAAAAAATTGAAATGGAATTAGATACTTACATTTAGAAGTATCGATAAAACAATAACAACCTTTCAAAGTAAAGGCTGTGAATGATGACAAGAATAATTCAAGGTGATATAAGGATATCAAATAGCTCAACATGGATAAATGCTCAGGCCAAACTTGACTCACAAGTCAAACCATGCTTCATTCTCCAACTAAACCAGAAAAAGACAAGAATAAGTATGAATATTAAGTATATCAACAATAATAAATGATTAAGGCAGATGTCATATACTTACATGGGTGCCATGCTCCGCACAAGTTCTTACAGAGATGAGAAAATGGATGGGATGTTCATCCACCATCCACTTAGAAATAATGAATTTAACCTCATAGCTCATTTTTTGCTTAGTAACAAGATTATCTTTGTTAGAAGTAATAGGATTATGAGCTCTCAATTGAATATGCCACATCACCACAAATTCAGCTTCATTTGCAAAGAAGCTATCCCAATAACCCTTGTATAATTTTATTGCATTCTCCCTTGCAACAAAATCGGTACTGTCAAAAAGAAGTCTCACAAACAAAAACCTAGCTCTCATCTTCTCTGTATGTGTCTTCAAGAAAGGGCTATGCAACTATAGAGACAACATGACACTAAAATTTAACAAAAATGACGTCTTATCAGAGAGAATATGTCGTAAAAGTTTCAAGATGAGAATATGTCGAAAAAGTTTCAAGAGAAACAAACCATTCTTGAAAAGAAATGAGAGCTTTTCTATTGACTTCCCTCACTCTAAATAATACATACAAGAGTACAATTTGTGTTGCTTGCCAATTATCATAATGGGATTATTTTAATAAGAAAATCTTGTCATTAGGCATGCAATGCAACGTGGAGAACAGATGATAGAATTATCAATCTATAGAGGTTATTTACTCTTGTTTGCACACTTAGAGGAAGAGACACCAACATTAATTTTCATATTAAAAAAGATAAACAAATCCTATATGATAGTATTAAAAACGTTTTCAAAAACATACCGACATTTCAATAATAATGTGACTTACGTGACATCACTGTGCAAGATCCTACAGAAGAAATCTAGCTCCTTGGGCAATAAATCATCATAAATGATGTCAAATACATATTCAAGCATTCCGGTATCACTGACTCCAGTCAATTAAAATTTTGGACAGCGTAATATTGCTTTCGTTTCTTAGCCATATGTTATCCAGGGTGACATTCTCATGCGAATTACCAATACAATCGAGTACATAATAAGGGGAGAAATAATAATTACCTGTAAACAGAACAGAGGAAATGAGTGATATAACTAGTTACCGGATCGGTAAATGGCATTTGTTCCCTCTTCATCATTGTAACCCAAGATGAAAAGCGATGACTCTACTGGCTTAATGAAGACAATCGTAAGGCCATATGAAGTGGGCTATAATGCCTTGATGAATAGCACATAGCTTGTATTGCAAACCTTCTGTAAACTCAGCCACTTTTGCAAAATCGGATTTCCTAATGTAATGTACTGTGGCGGGAATGCCACAGTAAGTCCCATGGTAAACATGCAATGAGAGAATATCATCTTCACTATACTTGAAAATTTCATAATGCGCATAATTTAAACAACCGGAACTGTCAAGAGGAAACATATCATGGTCATGTAAATAGACCCAATTTTGCACAACCCTAAATGAAGCAGCAACAAAACCAGGAGAAATAACATGGCTTGAAATGTGCCAATGCCAATCTGTTTGTCTCCAAGCCATGTTATTTCAAGCAAACAGATTGGCATTGGCTTTTCAAGCCATGTCATTTCTACTGGCTTTGCTACTGCTTCATTTAGGGTGGTGCAAAATCGGGTCTATCTATATGACCATGAGAGGTTTCCTCCTGGCAGTTCCGGTTATTTAAATTATGCACCTTACAAAATTTTCAAGCATAGTGAAGATGATACTCTCTCACTGCATGTTTACCACGGGACTTACTGTGGCCTTCCCGCCACAGTACACTACATTAGGAAATCCGATTCTACAGAAGTGGCTAAGTTTACAAGAGATTTGCAATCCAGGCTATGTGCTATCCATCAAGGCATTATACCCCACTTCATATGACCTTACGATTGTCTTTACTGAACCAGTAAAGTCATCGCTTTCATCTTGGGTTACCATGATGAAGTGGAAACAAACGCCATTTACCGATCCGGTAACTGGTTATATCACTCCTTTCCTCTGTTCTGTTTACAGGTAATTATTATTCCTCCCCTTGTTCATGTACTCGATTATACTAGTGATTCGCATGTGAATATCACTCTGGATAATATATGGCTAAGAAACAAACGCACGATATTAGGCTGTCCAAAATTTTCATTGATTGGATAACTTCCATCGCCATTTGAAGCTGAAATCAATAAACCAATTAAATTATTAATAGTACCAAAGCTCTACATATCTTGTCCAAAACAAATTGTATCATGTATGCACTAACCAAGTAGCACAAAACAATTTAGAATTCTTTAAATAACGGAGTGAATGCATTTAGGGCTAAAGAAATAAAACTTGAAACCAACAAAAATCATCCATACAGCCACTCAATTAGTAATTTCATTCATACAATTAAGACAAGTACAATCACAAACAGCTATAACAATAACTCCAAGGAACAGAGCTTTAAGAGAGAGGGAGATAGAGGTGTAGAGATAGATAGAGAGAGACAGAGGGAGAGTGCATCAGGGTTGAGCATAAAGAAGATTAATGCCCGAAAAATATCACAAAGTATTGCAGCTTATTTATCAGAATTCATTGACAATTTATTGACGGGACAACAAATCATCGATACCCAATTAACTTATGTATTCATTAATCAGCTATATCTACAACTACAAGACTCCAATTAACATTGGAATCAATCCCATATTAAATCATAACTTGGAAAACCAACTGCTCATAATGATAAATAAAAAAGAGCACCCTTTACTAATCCTCACAAAACCCAACTCTCCTTGACTGACAAAAACATAACTAATAAGTCATTAAGTACATAATTTCTTATTGCAATTCAGTCTGAGAAAGCTTCCCAACTTAGTGGAAGTGAGACTAGCAACAGTAGTAGTTACCAGTCAAAATTATCACATAATACCCAAAAACAATCGGATATTCAAAACTATCGACTCCTTCATTTTCCTAAACATAATTTGAAATTCAAATTGATCACGCATCAAACACTTACAGAATCAATCAATAACTCGCTGATCCCAATATCAAAATTGAACAAACTAAGCAAAAAAAAAATAACAAATCGCGGATCAAGGATTTCAGATCAGACCGACAAAACTGCAATCAGAGTGCCAGCAAATGTTATATAAAACAGAGATTGAGATTTAAGAAAACTTACCCAGTTGATGAGTGGACTCGGCGAGACAGCAAGTGAATGATGAATCCGAGTCAAAAAAGAAAACGAAGACCAAGTAGAAGAAGAAGAAGAAGAAGGAAAGAGAAGCGGCCTCTGAAAACCCTAGCGACTCTGCTATTTAATGAGGATTGGCCAAAACGACGTCGTTTTGGACTAGGGTTTAAAAATTACAAAACAGAAACAGCTGGGCCATTTCGTGGGCTTCTATAGGGTTTTAGTTGGGTTTTATAATTCCTTTCTTAATTGGGTTTTTATAATTCCTTACTTATTTTACTTATTTGGGTTTTAATTGGGAGTTTTCTTTATTTAATTGAATTTTGGGAATTTCTTATTTAAGTGGGATTGAGAATTCTCTTTATAAATGACCAATTTAACCTCACCCAATTTCATCAATGTGTGTATGCATCACAAGAATCCTACGTTTTTCTTTTCATTCTTGAGTATGCCAATCCAATTTTTGAGTTTACATTGAGAACGATATTTTTTTTTGTATTAGTAATGCAAATATAATGCGACGTTTTCATGATATGAAACCTCATCGGCAACAATTTTAGATTAATTTGTATTGTTGTTTTTTTAAATTAATTAATATTGATTTTGTTTTTTTTTTTTTAGTATTATTTAAGGATGATTTAGTTGTTTTGTTTTTTTTTTTTTTTTTTTTTTTTTTTTTTTTTTTTTTTTTTTTTTGTAACTTTTTTAAAAATTGCACCTCCACTGAAAAATTCTTAGGTCTACCGCTAGATCTAGGAGTTTATGCTTTGTAAAAGTGTAGGCTTTGCTTCACTTACAGAGTGAGAAATTATGGGTTGGGATGCTTTTACCCTTCCTCCCTACAAATTCAATAAAATAAATAAAGATAATCAATTTTGGCTAAGAAGCATGGGATCATACTTCTCTTTCTCTTTCTTTTGGTAAATCTATTGTTTGCTCTTCAAATGCAACGAGAGGATAGAAGTTGGAGTCTGAGGAAATCGTATTAGCAACAATTGGTAAGGACCAGAATGTGGGTTCAAATTTGGGTTGTACAATTTAGCAATTGGAAGTTCAGATATCAGGAATTCTAGGTGAGGATGTGCTTTTGAATATAATATATTTAAAAACAATATAGGTGCCTGCTATACTATTTACCAAAAAATTAAAATATAAAAAAAGGTCCTAAGCATAGCCGCGCGACTATATATTTAGTATATATTTATATAAAAAAGGGGGACCCACCCAGCACTTAGGCTGCCCTTTTTCTTTATAAAAAAAAACAAAACAAAACTATAGCCGCGCCACTATACTCTTTTGATATATTATATTTCAAAAGTATAGTCATGCGGCTATACTATTTATTCAAAAAAAATTAAGGAAAAACCCCAGTATAGCCGCGTGGCTGTACTATTTATTAAAACATTATAATTTTGGCAAGTTATAGTAGAGAAGTTCAGGCACTATAAAATATTTTACTATAATTTATTTAAATATTTAAATATATACTATTTTTATTCAATAATATGTGAAAGTTATGTGTATAATACGTGAATTTTGTGTGTATTATTGAAAATTTTGTAAAAAAATCACGTGTATTAAACATGAAAAATATATATGTACGTGTACAATAAGTGTATTGTATGTTTACTTTTTATAAAAACATGTATTTTACCAAACCTTTAAGACGTGTACGAAAAAAAGAAGTATTATTGATAAATACGTACGTAGGTGTATAATACGAGTATTAAGCGGAAAAATACTAAATTCTTTATACGGATAATAATTCTAGAATAGTTAAAAATCAAAAGGGGGACACTCGGCTAATGGCCTAATAATAATGAATAATGCTCGAAACTACCCTTATCGATAAACAAAAATTATGAAAAAAATAAAATTCTTTTTTTAAAAGGACCCCAGTATGTATTTAAAGAGTATAGCCGTGCGGTGATACTATTTATTTAAAAAAAATATATGTAAAAAAAGGTCTCAGTTTTAGCCGCTCGACTATACCTTTGAATATAATATATTTAAAGAGTATAGCTTTATTATTATTATTATTATTTTTTGTTTTTTTTAAAGGAAGGAGGACTGGCCTAGCGCCTAGGCGTCTGCCTAGCACTTAGAGCTTTTTCCATCCATTTGTCATGGTAAAGAGGAAGAGGAGGCAATGGTTGTTACTATTCACATGAATAGTGTTTGCACTTGCAATTTTTTTGTTGGGTTTCCACCCATTGTCAGGGCAATTACTATTCACTTTAAATTACTTTTATTTTTTATACTTAAATAATTAATTTGGATAAGATTTTCGGTTGCCATGTGTCAATATTTATTATAAAATCACATATCATCTTTCGGATAAGATTTTCGGAAATTTTTGTTGTTGTCACATGTCCATATTTATTATAAAATTCACATCTTACATTTCAGATAAGATTTTTAGTTGCCATATGTCCATATTTATTATAAAATTTACATATCATATTTTGGATAAGATTTTCAATTGCTACAATTGCGCCACGTGTCATCTCTATCTTCTAAATCGCTTTATAAAACCACAGCCTCAACTCACACCAATCATCCTTATCCTCTTTATCTTTTCATTTATCAGATTTTACAAAACACATTCTACTTTCAATGTCTTACACGAGGAGGTTGTTGGAGAGGGTTGAGTGAGAAAATGAAGAAAGAATGCACAAACGTGCTGAAGAAGAAAGGTAGTAGGAAGCAGATGATGATCAAGTTTCCATGACAATGGGTATGCTCAATCGATCAAGCCAACACCACCATGGTTCACAACTCGGGCATGGCCCGAACGTGGATAGACGTAGGCACCTCCGTAAACCTACGCCTAGGGACTTCCAAAGGCTTCTACAAAAAGCCAAGGCTCGAGGTTTACTAGGCATAATTATAAGCATCGACTGCATGCACTTGCAATGGAAGAATTGCTCAACTACCTTGCAATGAGATTATAGGAATATGAAGGGCAAAATAAGTATCATTCTGGAAGTCGTTGAATCATTCAATACTTGGGTTTGGCATGCCTTTTTCAGAGTTACGGGATCTCAAAATGACCTTAACATGCTAGGTCAATCCCAACTTGAATACACCCTCTTTAGTCTATGTGGAATTTAGTCAAACTCAATTAAACATCATCAACTTTATAGCTATTTTAAAATCATTTAAAATCTAAATTGAATACACCCTCTTTAGTCTATTATCAAATGAAATCCACAACTTTTTGAATTTCCTTTAAAATTATTGAGTTTTTGAATATACCTAAACTTTTATGAAGTCTTTTAAAGTCGTGATTGAATACATCCAAATTTGAATATAGTTTAAAAAATCTGAATTGAATACACCCATAATTGAATAGAGTTCTATAAAATCGTGATTGAATACATCTAAACTTTTAAACTTCTTTAAAATCTTTTAAAATCCAAATTGAATACACCTCTAATGTTTGGTTCAAGACTAGATTATTAGTGAGTTCTCAGTCGCACATAAAACATAAAAGGACTAGCATCATTTTACCCCCTCGAGTTTTGGGGTGATTTTAAATATGGGCCACGGGGTTTCAATTTCATCAATTTACACCCCCAACGTTATTAAAAGTGACCAATTTACACCCTCCATTAAGTTGACCGTCTAGTCAAACGTTAATTGATGACGTGGATACTGTAAGACCCACATAATGAATTGGTTGACCAATCTCCTATAATTAAAAAAAAACCTGAAAATCAACTACATAAACTAATAAAATAAAATTAAAACAAAAACCTATCCGGCCACATCACCCTTGGCCTCCCAACCTTCTCTCTCTCTCTCTCTCTCTCTCTCTCTCTCTCTCTCTCTTCACCTCAAACACCATCCCATACCCAAAACTCAAATCCAAGTCACAACAATGGTTGCCTCCTCTTTAGCAACATCACAAATCTAATTTTTGGTTCTACCAAATAACATAAATCTTTGATATAAAGAGAGGCAAGCTGAAATAATAAGATTGAGAGGCCTTTAACCCCGTCCCTCTTGCGGCCGTCGTAGCCCCTGAGAATTTCGAGAAGCTCGACCCCGAAATCTCCAACCTCACCCTTGAAAAGGCTCGGATCCTCATCAACTTCCTCCAAGACAAGCTGGTCAGCTCTGCTGCAGCTTTGGTTTCGGCCGTCGTGGTGGCAGCAGTTCCAGAAGCCAGTGAAGGCACCATCATGGTAGAGGAGAATAGGGTAGGGAGGGGGAGGAGAGAGAGAGAGAGAGAGAGAGAGAGAGAGAGAGAGAGAGAGAGAGAGAGAATAGGGTTGTGTCACTGGGTAGGTTTTTGTTTTAAAAGAACTAGCCTCTCTGCACGTGTTACCGCACCTGCGATATGCTTTTTGTTTTAATAAAAAAATTTATTTATTTTAGAATTAAAAAAGATAATGGGTAGTTGTGTTCCATAAAAATATGATTCATTATCTGATTTTTCTTAGCCAAAATGAGCTACTGAATAGCTTACTAAAATTGATATGACTACCATGGATGGCCTGATACTGAATAAACGGGTATCCCCTAGATGGAAGAAGATTTGCTTTGAAAAAGTGTGAATTTACCATATTATCCTCATTTAATTAATAATTTCAATTCTTAGTGCCAGTTTAACATTACTTATTTGAGATGATAAGTGATTTTTAAAAAATTTTGAGGAGCCCAGCCCATTTGGTAAACTATGAGAAAATCACTTATTGTTAAAAATTGATGTGAGAGAAAGTTAATGAGGTGCTTTCATTTTCTGATTATGCAGGAATCAGTTTTGAAGAGTGTAATAACCCAATCCTAAATTAATATTTAATGATTAATTTATTCAAGGAAAAGACAATTTTACCTCGGGAATATTTTATACAAATTTATAAAAAAAACCAATCCTAAGCATGTATTTATAAAAAAAACCCAAACACTATTTAAACATAGAAACACATCCAAAATCAACTCCAAAGTCAACTTTTTGGGTGTGTTTATAAATGAGTTTTGAGTGTGTGTAATGATGGGTTTTGGGTGTGTTTCTATGTTTAAATAGTATTTGGGTGTTTTTTTTATAATTTCAACCCCCCATTTTGGGTGTTTTAGTGAAACTCCCAATATTTTAATGGTTTAAAAGTTGAATTTTTGTTCGGGAAATAATTTGGGGATTCTAATTCTTCCATTGCGTAGAGCACGTCGAGATGAGTCCGTAGACACGTAGTGGGCTCAAATAGGAGTTATATTGAAGAAGTTACGATGAAAATAAGTCCAATGGCACAATCGTAATTTTTGCGAAGTCAGTTTTTAAAAACCAAAAACCTCTCTCTCTCCCTCCCCGATCCAGCCTTCCTCCCCCCCCTCTCCCCACAATTTCGCAGCAGATTTTCAGACGGCGAGAACGCGGTCGTCTGGCCATCATTTTCGGCGCCACAACTTGTAAACTCTTTATCTCTCTCTTCTCTACACATCTATACCAATTTCCAGCCACAAATCCAAGAGAATTAGACCCAAAATTTGAGCCAAACCCGAGCCCAAAACAAGCTGATTTATACACGAATTCATGCAAAATCTATGTGGAGTTTGTAGAATTCAGTTAAACTCAATTAAATTCCATTAAACTTCATCAACTTTATAGCTCTTTTAAAATTATTTAAAATCTAAATTGAATACACACTCCTTAGTCTATTATCAAACGAAATCCACCACTTTATGTATTTTCTTTAAAACAATGAGTTTTTAAATACACCTAAAATTTTATGATGTCTTTTAAAGTCATGATTGAATATATCCAAATTTAAATAGAGTTTAAAAAATCTGAATTGAATACACCCAAAATTGAATAGACTTCTATAAAATCGAGATTGAATACATCTAAATTTTTAAACTTCTTTAAATCTTTTAAAATTTAGGGTTAATCGTTTTATTAGTCCCTGAACTTAGACTCGATTTGCATTTCAGTCCTTCAATTTCCAAAATCGTTCCCGTGGTCCTTCAACTTCAGTTTCATTAAGACAAATGGTATTGCCGTTAATTTTGTTAACTTTTTTGTTAAACACATGTACAAAATGGTATTTTTGTATTAAATTGATTAAAATATGAAGAAGAAAAAAATTAAAGATTAAACTCTCTCTCTCTCTCTCTCTCTCTCCTCTATCCCGATTTCTACTCCCTACAAACTTTTTATTTTATTTTATTATGATTTTATTGTTATTTTAAAGATATGATTTTTTGTTCATTTGTTTGTTTTAATATAAAAATACAATTTTGCCCCTGCATTTAACAGAAAAAGTTTACAAAATTGACGGCAGGACCATTTGTCTTAACGAAAGTGAAGTTAAAGGACCACAAGTGCGATTTTGGAAATTGAGGGACTCAAATAAAAATCGAGTCTAAGTTCATAACAGATGATGAAGCCAAACTCAGTGATATAGTGATCAAGATCACAAGGTTTGCCTATCCAATGTTTATTTAGTACCTTCAGTTAAATGGTCTCTATTGATCTTGGCTCCACCTTTACATTATTATCTTTAATCATATTACTTGTTTGGTGCCAGATCAATTCAAGCTCCAGATTAAAGTTGAGAACAAGCATAAGCATGTTCATTTGGTGGCCAAGGATTGAAATACAGTGTGAAGTGGAGTTACTGGGAATCACACTGTAGTGTCGCCTTTAAATTTGCAGCGTTGTTGGCCTTGGTGGGCTGAAGCCTCATTCAAATTCAGAATCAAATGCAGATGGTTGGCTGGAACCTTTTTTTGTATGCGGAGTCACAAGTCTAGGACTCATATTTTTTCTTCTGTTTGAAAAGTTTTCAGAAAAAAATATCATCATTGTCATTAAATCTGCATTTCTATATTAATTCCATTCTTAACTTACCCATCTCTGGACACATTTGTTAATCCAGCTTGCCTTTATGGTTGGTCCCTCTCCCTCCCTAGTCATTCATTTTTATTATTATTGAGGTTAACAAATAAACCCCTCCAATTTGGTTGAATATGGTGTGTAGTACTTTTTATTTTTTTTAGAGTATGATATATTTATTAAAATTATATTTGTTTTATAATTTAATATATCTTTTTTGGTAAACTAGTGATCTAATAAATAGTTCGGTAATAGGTGTACTCAGTTAATTAGAGACGAAAATGGCGAGGAATTCAGGGGTTTTGATACGGCAGTTGCTTGGCAATCCCGACAACCCGTGTGCAGTAGGTCTTCTTCATCTTCTTCACCAAAAACCCATCCAAAACCTAGCTTCAGTACCAAATACCACACCATCTTCACCCCACACAATCGGTATCCGTTCCGCTTCCAAACCCTTCTCCAATTATTCCATTCACACCCCAACCCTTCAATTTCTGCAACAGAGACGATGCCTCTCCTCATCCTCACTCTCAGAGTCAGATTCAGATTCAAAACATTTACTTTCAGGTCCCTCAAACCTATTCCTCATACAGTGCATGGCTGTGCATCAAGATGCAGTTGACAATGTTGAAGGTATGCCAATTTCTCCACCAACCTCATCCCTTCGTAATTTTACAAATATTCAAAATAGGAAATTTAGTTTTGTTGTTGATTTTAATTTTTAATTTTTAATTTTTTTAATTCCTTGTCATAGACGCTAGGTTGTCTGCGGTTTTCTACTACACAGCACCCAGGTGCCGGGCTAGTAAGTTCCATCTTCTAATCAATGAATTTTCTTTCATCAATCAAGTGATTTGCAATAAATTGCTCTCTTCTTGTGCAGCCCGTAAGTGGGTAACTCCAATCCTTGATGAGTTGTGTGAGCAATTCCAACACATAAAAATGTATATGGTTTACATGGATAAGGTAACTTTTTGAAGTGGTTTATGGTTTATTGGAAACAGTAGTTTGGCAACTTTCTTACTCCTAACATTGTTCTCTCCTTCAAATCAGATTGTTTGGGCTGAGGCATAAGTTTGGCTTGGAACCTGAAATATGGATTTAATGATTAAAAGAGTACTGCATAAGTTTAAGGAAAACAATCGCACAAGATGTGAAAATCATTGATCTAATCATTGTATACTGTTTACCCATATAAGATCATTGAAATGCTTGAACAATGCATGTGAAAAGATTTTTTTGACAATTAAATCTTGTTTTGTTTTTCTTGTGCGTGGGTGGGATGCTTGGTTTTGTTCATTGTCTTTGAAACAAATATTTTCTTTGGTTGATCACATATAGAGGAAGTTACTTTAATCAAACTGATAGTATGAATACATCACCATAGAACAAATCCTGCAAATTCCAAATATTGTGTAGTGTGTACTACACTTCACCTTGCATCTTGACTGGATGCATTAGAATATGGTTGGGAAGTATTGTTCATGAATAGATTTTGACAGTCCATGATACCGTGAACAACTTAAATTTTCTTCTTCGAGTTTCCCTGAACAGTTGAAATGACATAAAAATGTATAGTGAAAGAAAAGGGGCTACGTTGTAAGCATAAAACCAGAGTTAGTGAAAGAAAAAAAAGTTCTTGTGAATTTCTGCTTGTGTGTGAGGCACAGGTTGTCTTGGAGTGACTCCAAGGCACCTTCAGTGTGATGACGGAATTTATCTAATTTCTCAACCTGAAACCTTTGGTGTGATGGCAAAGGCCAGAGTGAGTCCGGATCTCTCATTTCTTCCTATCTTCCCTTACTGTTCTACATCAGTTTGGTATCAGAGCATCCTCCACCATGTTCTTACATGGTGAGAGATCCTGTGTACTAGGGGCAGATGGTCACCTTGGCAACCAACTTAAGATCATTCTACCTCAACATGTCAAACTCGAGGTCAAGTTTTCTGCAATGAAGGGAGAATGATGCAGGAGCAATGTTCAAGTTTAGTAAATGGGAATCTTTCTAGTTTCCTATGTAATAAATGCAATTTTATAAGGTTTACTGTCTTTGAGTCTCCCTATGGGACACGATTAATGTATTAGGTAATAATTATGTCTTTATAATTCCCAAGTGTGTTGATGTGGATCTTTCAAGATTGATGTACCAATTACCCTATAAAAGGGGCTACTTTGTAAACATATAATCAGAGTTAGTGAAAGAAAAAAAAATTCATATGAATTTTTTATTGTGTGTGAGGTACAGGTTGTCGTGGAGTGATTCCAAGGCACCTCCGGTGTGATGCCGGAATTTATCTAATTTCTCAACTGGAAACCTGCGGTGTGATACCAAAGGCCACAGTGAGTTTGGATCTCTCATTTCTTCCTATCTTCCCTCATTTTCCTACATCATGTTTTTTCTGGGTGAAAGATAACTTAATTGGGTGCATGATAAAACAAATGTCTTTTTCATTAGCTATGCATTATTTGCTTGCTTATGTCATGCATTAATTTTTTTTTCCCATACTCTAATTATGATCCAACATGCAGCTCCTCATAGAAGAATCATGATATTGTATGTTGTTGTGCCTCTAAATTAGTAGGCCTGACGTTGTTTATTGTATCTACAGAATGCCCCTAACTCATTGGACATATCGGAAGATCCTTATAAGATGGTATATGATCCCTTCCTTCTATTTTGTTTTTATCAGAAGGTTACTTTAATCAAACAGATAAGATCAATACATCACTATAGTTTATACTATTCTACATTTCACTTTTCATCTTAAATTGGTTGGGATTCAGGGGAAGATGTTGCTTTTTCTTTTGTAATAACAGTAAAAATATTGTTGGTGAATATATTTGACAGTCCATGATATTGAGAAGTAATCAAAATTGTGTTTTGTGAACTAGTTCATTGTCTTTGGAAAAAAAATGTTTTCTTTGATTGATACGATGTAGAGGAAGTTACTTTAATCAAACTGATATCATGAATACATCACCATAGACAAGAAGTTCCCGTATACAACAATACAAATGTAATCCCACAAATCTAAAGTGCTAACTATTTTAGACCTATTACATTCCAAATTTTGTTTTGTCTATACTACACTTCACCTTGCATCTTGACTGGATGCGTAGAATATGGTTGGGAAATATTGTTGGTGAATAGATTTTGACAGTCCATGATACTGAGAAGAAATTAAATTTTCTTCTTCGAGTTTCCCTGAACAGTTGCAACAAGACATAGAGGGTTTTATCCTATGCTTGTCTTCTTATTTGAGCTTTTTGTTCTGAGTGAAAGATAACTTAATCGGGTACATGATAAAACAAATGTCTTTTTCATTAGCGAAAAATGAAGCCTTGCTCGCTAAATGGCTTTGGAGGTACCCGGAAGAGCATAATTCCTTATGGCACAAGGTGATCAGGAGTAAATATTATTCGGTTGGGAATAGATGGGATGGAGTTCACCCGGGAAGAGGTACTTGTCGTAATCCCTGGAAGGATATCTCTTCGGGTTATCCTGCCTTTTTACAGTGTTGTGATCTGGTTGTGGGCACGTAAGGGGAATTTGGTGTTGTTCTGGGAGGACTTGTGGCTGGTTGAGGGTGCTTTGAAGATTCTTTTTCCTAGACTGTATGCGCTTTCTAGCAATCATTTTGGCTGCGTTTCTAGTTTTGTGGATTCTTATGCCCACCTTTATAATTGGAATTTCGGCTTCAGGAGAAATCTTAATGGTGTGGAGGTGGATGAGCTGTCTAGGTTGCTGCATATTCTGGAAAGGGTGCGTTTGTTTCAACACCGTGATGACCGTAGGAGCTGGAAGCTCAATAGGACGGGGTTGTTTTCTTGCAAATCCTACAATTTTTTTTCTGCTCAACAGTGGCAGCAGGCAACTTTCATCGTTCTTGCCCCAGATTTGGAAGTCAAAGGTTCCCCAAAAATTAAATTTCACGTATGGCTCCTGGCACTTGGGAAGCTTAATACTTGTGATCAAATCCAAAGGAGAAGGCCTTCCTTCTATCTTTCTCCTCAGTGATGTGTTTTGTGTAAATCTCATTTGGAAAGCGTGGATCATGTGTTTCTTCATTGTCCTTTTTCCTTACAAGTCTGGTGGAGTTTATTTAGGGAGTCCAGCTGAGTTATCCCTAAAGACTGTTTTGATTTCCTATGTACTAAGTTTGAGGCTTTGGGTAGGGGGAAGAAAGCCACAACTTTATGGGAGTGCTTGGTGTATGCTGGTTTTTGGTTTATTTGGCTGGAACGCAACAGAAGAATTTTTTATGATTATCAGGAAGAGGGTGTCGAGGAAATCTGGAAGAAGGCTAGATATTGGGCTGCTCTTTGGGCTTCAGTTACCCCAGTTTTTAAGGATTATAACCCTTCTGTCATTATGTTGGATTTAGTGGAGGCTGTGAACTAAGGTTGTTTCCTTCTTTCACGTTGCCTCTCTTCTCTTCTTTGCTGTTTATTTTCTTTTGGGTTTAGGCTGCTTTTGTGTTTTGTTTTGCCTGGCTGTGGATGCCTTAACCACCTTTTCTATATATCGTTTCTATTCAGAAAAAAAAATTGTCATGCATTAATTTGTTTTCCGTACTCTAGTTATGATCCGACATGCAGTTGCTCATAGAAGAATCATGATATTATATTTTGTTGTGCCACTAAATTAGTAGACCTGACATTGTTTATTTTCTATAGAATGGCCCTGGATACCCTATTGACTTGCGTGGATTTTATTACAAAGAGGTAAATGATTCGATCCTTCTATTATGTTTTTATCAGAAGTTTACTTAAATCAAACAGATAAGATCAATACATTACCACTTCACCTTTCATCTTAAAATTGGTTGGGATTCCAGGGAAGATGTTTCCTATACTTTTGTAATAACAATATATAAATTGTTGGTGAATTTATTTGATAGTCCTTAATACTGAGAAGTAATCAAAATTGTCTTTTCGAGTTCTGAGGCATGGTGGGTTTTATCCCATGCTTGTCTGCTCTGATCAGTTTGTTCTGGGTAAAAGATAACTTAATCGTGCACCTGATAAAATTTATGTATTTTTTCATTAGCTATGCATTAATGCTTGCTCATGCAGTAATTTTTTCCGTACTCTAATTATGATGCGCCATGCAGCTGCATATAGAAGAATCATCATATTATTTCTTGTTATGCCTCTAAACTAGTAGATCTGACGTTTATTCTATCTATAGAATATCGCTGGATCCAGATTGGACAAGTTGGGAATTCACAAGACGGTAAATGATTCGATCCTTCTATTTTGTTTGAATGTAAATGTCTGCACTTAGTTCAGTGTTGTAATTTCTCATGTGTTTGACCTTTTCTTTCTAAATTTGGCTTGTAGTTCTTACCATATCCTAATTAATAATTCAGAAAAGTATAAACAGGCTATGCTTATCTTGGAAAATGGGGGCTAAGCGTTTTGTTCAAGCTGTGTGAATATATTTCAGCCCTGTTTTTATCTTAAAATGGAATATTACTCTGCTGATGTGTGCATTTTGCTGCAGCCAACGTTCCATTGCTATCTAAAAGGGAAAAGGGTAGATGAGGTTTCCGGTGCTTCTATCAAACACTTGAAAAAGAGACTTGAAAATGTCTACAAGTAATTCTTCTCTCGGTTACCCTACTTCTGCGTGAATTTGTGTATTTGTTAATGGAGTCATATTTTGGTGCCCATGAAGGTTTTTGACTGTTGTTGAAGTCAAGATGTGATCTTTCTATATCTTTTTATTTCTATCTTTGTGATAAATGGATGAATGATATAGCAAGTTAATAAACTGACCCCATTGTTGAATTTTTCTCATCTGCTGTACTTGCTACTCAATGTACGTAAAGTCCATCTGGGATGAAGAAAAGGAGGAAAGATGAGAATAATAGAGGATTTGTTACAGTACATCCAAGTATGTTTCCTGAAACATCATTTATTGAGATGAAGGCCAAACTTCGACAAGAAATTTTTAATTTTGATGGTGAGGAAAAGATGTATGAGGAGGAAAAGATGACAGATGACGAGTACAAGAGGGCAAAGGACAAGAATCACAAGATGATGTGGTTTGCCAAAGGGTTGCTTTCAAGTGAAAAGAAGAGAAAGATGTTTTGTAAATTGAAAGATCCTGAAGCCAAGCGCGAATGGATTGAGAGTGAAATGGCTAAGGAATGAACTGGAAGTACTTGTATCATGGTACATGTTACTTTGTTTGACAGAGTCTATGGTTTAGATTTGTGTGGTGCTGGATTAAGATATGATTTTTTTTTTTGCACTTATGGGTTCGACATTTTTGTTTTGTTTTTTATATTTTAGATTGATTAAAATATGATTTTTTTGGAAAAATTGAAGAAAAAGAGAATAAAAAATAAAAAATCATCAACACTAGCCCTTAAGGGGTCATTTGGCACGGTGGACTGTCATGGACTGGATTAAATCTTGGGACTGTCTCGGATTAATTCGGATTGGCCTAAGCTGGATTAAGTACTGACCTCCGTTTGGTGCTGCGTCGGATTAAGAAGTTAGATTATAAAAATAGTGAAGACCTATGTTTGGTGGTGTTGGACTAAAAATAATTATTTTAATATTTAATTTTAATTAAGGATTTTGGACCTAAAAATAAATAAAATTCTAATATTTTTTAAAGACTAAAAGTATCTTATCTTTTTTTTTAAATTAATTTTCTTTTCTCCTTGATCTCCTTTTTCTTTCTTCTTCCTCGCGTCTTTTCTTCTAGCCCATTTCCTTTTTCCCTCTTTCTTCCTCTTTTCTTCTTCCCAGGCAGTTTCTTCTTTCTTTATTTCTTTCTTCCTATTCTTTCCTTTCTCTTTTCTTCTTCTTTCCCTCCATTTCACTCTCTCTTCATGCTGCCACAAATCCAATTGAATCAAACTCTCTCTCTCTGGTTCCATTAATTATTGGTTGTGGTGGTTTGATTGGGTGGTGATGGTGGTTGACCTGGGTATGTGGTGGCTTGTTATGGTGGTAATGATGGTTTGATTGACTGATTGGGTGATGATGATGATTCGATTGGGTCTGTGGTGGCTCGTTATAGGTTTGATGGTGGTGGTCTGACAGAGGAAAGCAAAGCAAAACAAAAGAGTAGAGACAGAGAGGAGAGCCAGAGCAACGTTGAAGAGAAAAGAGAAGAGTAGAGCAACTTTGGATAATGGCAGACTCGATCGTCCAAAACAATGACTTCGTTATTTAGCGGCACCTCCACGAAGCTCTCTATTTTGTGCGAACGAGCGAAGCGTTTTTGGTAGGTCCAGACTGTGTAGTCTCATTTAACTTAAAGAAGCGCTACACCAAACGTGGGTTAGGGGTGTTATTTAAGCTAATCCAATCCAAGGAGGCGTACCAAACAGACCCTGAGATCCCTCCCTAATCCATTACCCCACAACAGCGAGACAAAAATGGCGAGGAATTCAGGGATTTTGATACGACAGTTGTTTGGCAATTGGAGCAACCCCTGTGTAGGTCTTCTTCATCATCGTCGTAAGCTTCTTCCTAGTTCCATCCGAACCCTAACCCTAACTTCAATCCCGAGTACAACACCATGTTTACCTTCCCCTTGCAAATTACGTTTGTCCTCCCCAAACCTTCATTTTAAGGAACGCTCCGATAAAGGTATCTCCCTCTTTCTCTTCCACCTTCTGCTTCTGCGTATGATTTTGTTGTTGACATTGCCAATGCCACTGACTCACCTGTTTTTACAGGTCTTATATTTTCAAGGCCCGCAAACATGGTGATCATTTCGAACAAGGATGACTATGACAGGGCAATTAAACAAGTTACAGGTAATATTTTTTAAAATTATATTATTTTTTTCACATGTAACTTTATGTAGTGTATAATTCTTTTTTATTTTTTATAGATGGACTTTGGCCAGCGGTTTTCTACTTTGTTGCTTATGACCACACACCTTGTAAGTTCTAATCAGTTCACTTTTATCAATCAAGTCATTCCTTGTGCTTTTGAAACCTATTTTTGGTGCACTCATATCATGTGCAGTGTGGACTTGTTCAAGTTTTAAGCTTCGTAGGCTTAGGGAGGAATTCCCACATGTAACCATATATAAGGTTATCGGTACACCCGTGGTATGTATGGCATTGTAATCTGCCATTCTCTAAATTTGAATCATTTTGGAACTGTTTTAGTCTTATTGTGAATTGTTTGAATCCCATCTTAAGATTAAGGTGAGAACAACATATGGTTTTTTGGTGACCCTAGTTAGTATCCTTCACTTCTTAGTTTGGTTGAATGTAAAGTTCCTTCTTTAGTAATTTCTTTGATGCAAGAAACATGCTAAAGACATCACTCCAAGGAGTCCACCACAAAACAAAAGAAAATATCGCCCCACTATTGAGAATCTAAACTGCTAAACTATTTACATTTTACTTTCCAAATACAAACTGTATCCTTTTACGCTTACGCCTTGCGTCTTGACTGGATGCATATATGTCCTTTTGGTATGGATTAAGAGAAATTTTTTTGCTGAATATGAATTAACAGTCCATGATACCAAGTAGAAATTAATTTTTCTTCCTGGAGTTTCCTAGACCAGTTGTGATGGCATCCCAATGCTTAGTGCGACGCAATAAATATATATTGCATACTGTTGCATAATGTTTTTCCTATCTTTATGAAATCTCCTTAATACTTTATAATTGAGCTTAAAATAAATCCCCTTGGGGCCAATGTTTCTGTTTGCATTCAACAGTTTTCGTTTGTTTTATAGGCACATATGGTATATCTCTGCTTGAATGCTTACCTGAGCGATATGCGTTCTGGGTAAAACATAAATGGTTTACCTCATAAAACAAATTTATTTTCATTATCTATGTGTTAACTGCTTCCTCGTGTGTTAATTATGTCCACATTATAATTATCATTTGCCATGCAGCCTCGTATGGAAGATTTATTGTATTAGTAGTCCTCACATTGTTTGCCTATCTGTAGAATGACATGGAGGAAATGTGGAACTATACGAAAGCTGACCTAATGGTAAATGATTCATCCTTTTTTTATTTTCTTATTTAAGAAAGTTAATGTAAATGCCCATACTTTGCTGGTTCATCTAATTACTCATGTATTTAACCTTTGCTTTTAGAATACAATTAAAAAATTTGTGTTGAATTTCTGACTATATGCTAATTGATAGTTTATAATGCATAGCTAAACAGACTATACTTAGCTGGCAGGAAAGGGTCTAAGCAGTTTGATTAAGCTGAGTAAATAATTTCAGCCTTGCTTTCATCTGAAAATAGAAATTTACTTTGCTGTTGTGTGCATTTTTTTGCAGCCAGCATTCCATTTCTATCTAAATGGGGAAAAGGTAGGTGGCATTCGTGAATCTAAGAAGTTGCAAGATATTTTTGCAGAGCTCTACAGGTAATTCGTTTCTTCTTTACGTTACATTTCGTGCTTTTGCATATATTGGTGCATATTGGTATTCTTTGACAGTTCAAGTTAACTTTTCTCCGAATGTGATCACTATGTATGTTACTCAATCTTTTGTTTCTATCTTGTGATATATGGATGAATTCTATATCACAGTTACTAGACCCGATTATTGATGTGTACTTACTACTGAAGGAATGTCGTCCCGGTCGAAGCCACTCAACCTATGGGTTCATCTGGGATGGGGGAAAGGAGAGCTGAAAAACTTGTCATACAAGCTAAGAAAGATGAGAATGACAAAGGAAGTGTGAGGGCATTATCACAATGGAGACGTGCCACAACACTGTCACAACTGAGAGGTGCTGCATCCTTGGCACAAGGGAGTGGTGGCCTTGTTGAGGCAGTTGAGAGCAGTACTGCACCTTCACTTGATGAAGTGATGCAGGCTGTCGAATCTTTACCTGGGGGATTTGCCAAAAGTCTTTTGTGGTGGTTTGCAAGAGGGCTATTTAAATATCAACCTAAGAAGAGAGTGATGTTTTCAAAAGTGCAAGGTCCTTACTTCAAGGTTGCTTGGCTTATGCATGAAATGGCTGAGGAATAAGTTGGATGGGTGCACGTCAATTATGAATTATATTATGCTGTTGTTGACATTATGCTTTGGACTTGTGCGGTGGTTTAAAATTTGGATCGATTACCTTATGTTGTACAATTACTTGGATAATTGCAGTAGGTTTGACCGTTGTTTGGATAATTGTCGCACATTTACCGCCTTGGCTCCTATAGTTTTAATTTTGTCAGTTTCATCTCCATGGTTTCAATTTGGAGAATTTCAATTCGGTGTTTCAAATTTTGTAAAATTCTCCAAATGTTCTTAAGTTTCGATTGTGCCCCTCACACGGAGGGATATTCCAGTTCATTTGAGCCCTTTGTAAAACACAAGCAAAATACCCTGCCATGTGAGGGGCACGTGGTCAGAACTTAATGGATTTGAGGAAATTTTGATAAAAATTGAAATTATTGAAAAAAATTTAATTTTGAATCGTTCTCTTGGAAACAGTAGTTTGGCATGCTATGCCGTTTCATACACCACAACCAAATTTGGATTGTTTGGGCTGAGGGATAAGGTTGGCTTCTAAGACCATCTCCAACCATGGGAGGTCAAACCTAAAATTTGAGATTTTTAGCCCAAAACCTTCTCCAACCCATGTATTTGGAGGGGGGGTAATTTGAGTGGACTGAAAAATGGGGTGGAATTTCGCCTCAGATTCCAGTCCAGGCAGAATTTTTGTGGGGCCCATTTCGCAAAAGACAAGAGACACGTGAGGCCACATTTGAAGCAAATGATGGGCTGTTGCCCACTACCCCAAGTTGCTGGCCACTTGTCAAAGCCTAGGCAACTTAAAAATTGGACTTCTATGGCTGCATTTAAAATGAGCTTCTTTCACATTCTTTTTTTCAAACCTAAAGGCTAGAAATCAACGGCTGATATTAAATTTTGGCTGGATCAAAAGGAAAAAAATTAATCCAACAGCTGAAATTTAAATCCAAAGGTCAAAATAAGTAAATATATTATTATAAGTTGGAAGCAACCTCAAAACATATCCTAAACTCTATAAATACCCATCAATTTGTTAATAAAATTATGTTTGTGAAATTTCAAAAAATTTATGTCAAAATGTTCAAAAAAATAAATCACAAAGTAATATGCAAAAATTAATTTTAAAAAAATTAACCACAAAAACAAAATAGGATTATATTATTCTTTAATAATTTAATAAAGTTGCGGATTCAAATTATGAATCCGCAAGGTTGGAGGAAAAAACAGTTTGAGTCCTAAAAATACATGAATAGTTGTATTTTGGAGGGTGAAAATTTGAGTTTAACCCCAACATGGTTGGAGATGGTCTAAGGGGTCGTTTGGCACGGCGGACTGTCATGGACTGGACTAAATTCTGGGACTATCTTGGATTAGTTCGGATTGGCCTAAGCTAGATTAAGTACTGACTTACGTTTGGTGCTAGGTCAGACTAAGAAGCTAGATTGTAAAAATAGTGAAGACCTATGTTTGGTGTTGTGTCGGATTAAAAATAATTATTTTAATATTTAATTTTAATTAAGGCTTTTTTTACCCAAAAATAAATAAAAAGAAAACAAATAAGTGAGTATGTGGTGGTATCTTATCTCTGGTCAAACAAACAATTGAACCACGCACTTCAAACTATATTATCTTTTTCTTCTTTTCTTTCTTCCTCTTCTCCCCATTGACTTTTCTTCTTCTTCCTTATCTCTGGCCCGTTTCTTTCTTCCTCCTTTCTTATTCCTTCCAAAGCCTTCCTTTTTTTTTTTTTTTTTTTTCTTCCTTCCTCCAGGCCCGTTCCTTCTATTTCTTTTTTTCTTCCTATTCTTTCCTCTCTTTTCTTCTTCCTTCATTCCTTTTCACTCTCTTCTCATGCTGCACCCCAACTTTTAAGAGAGCCAGATCCACTTCTGGATATGTGGTGGCTGCAAACACCCACCCCTCTCTCTTTCTGGTTCCACTAAATTAATGGTTGTGGTGGTTTAATTAGGTGATGATGGTTGTTGAACTGAGTATGTGGGGGCTGTTTATGGGTGGTGATGATGGTTCGATTGGGTCTCTGGCGGCTGGTTATGGGTTTGATGGTGGTGGTCTGACAGAGATGGCGAAGAGAGATGGTTCTGGGTTCTGCGGGTGGCTGTGGTGGCGAAGAGAGATGGGTCTGTGTGTGGCTTGCGGGTGGTGGTCATGAGGGAGAACAAATTCGGGGGAGAAGAGGGAGAGCTGGGCATTGCCAGAGTCTGTCGATTGGATCTGTGGTGGTGGTGTTTTGATTCAAGGCGTAAGGAAATCCAGCCGGACTCGTGTGTTCAAAATAGCGATGGTGCTATTTTGCGAACGGGAGCTGCTAGAATGCGGAGCTTAAGATGCAGAGCTTATTTGCGGGATGTTAACAACCGTCCAATTAAAATGAACGGTTCAGTTCAAAATTGTAATTTTATTACAACCGGGTTAAAATTACCCATGAGAAAAATCACAACCCGCGATTGAGCTTCAGTTTCACCCTTCTCCATTCTTCTCCTTCTTATCTCTCATCTCCCTATCTCTCTATGCAACAGCCAACAACCTCACATCCATGATTCAGCACCCTCCCTCTACCTCTTCTTCCGCCACCCAACCCTCTCTTTCTCTCTCTTTGACATCCACGAAACTCAAGTTCCATATATGGGTTTTTTTTTCTTCTTCTTTTAACTGGACTGACATACACAAAATTGAATTTGATCTAGGTTGGGTTTTAGGTGGGTGTGGGGTGGGATGGTCATGGTGGAGGGGTTGGCTAGCAGGCTAGGGTGGTTAGAATCGAGGGGGAGGAAAGGGAGAAAGGAGCAGGGGGATGGGGGATGGATGAATTTTCTCCCATTTTTTTCTAATATTTCTTTTAATTTTTTATTTAAAAATTCTGATTTTTCACCAAATTTTACAAAGAAATATTCATGTACTATTTCATAACTTACGATACATTTTAGATTAATCATCATACCCACTTTCTCTATTTTGATTTCCCCCCATAATTCTATTTTGTTAAAATGGAAATTCAAAAAGCATTCTTTCTGGGTTTGGGACAAGGTAATATTCCAAGAGATGCATATGGAGCCAATACAAGTTGCTCTGGAAGATCTCTGAAGGCATAAGAAGTAAGAGTAGAAGTATCATGTGATTCAATTTGGGGTGGGTGTACTAATAAGATTAGGGTTGGGGCACTGAGTTGGGGATGGGTGGTTGTGGCGAGGTGAGGAATGGAAGTATGGCTGTCTGGGAGATAAGAGGGGTTAGGAGGGGCTGGGGTTGTTGAATGGTTGTTGTTGTTTGTTTTTTTTGTTTTTTTTTTTTTTTTTTTGTTGGTGTACATATGCTTCTTTCACTTTCGACAATGATGCTTTCTTTACCTTTTTTTTTCTTTTTCGAAAGATGCTTTCTTTACTAATTTCTAAATACATTATTAAATTAATAAATGATCAGTTAATTCATATAGAATTAAAAACTATACTCGGTATTTGTTAATGTGTTATAAATAAATACCATTTATGGAGTTTTTTTAAAGATAAAATAAACTCAAGTGAACGAGCCATGAATACCTCTTTATTATGTTTCATTCCGTTAGTTTATAAATTCATAGTATTTTTTAATTAAAAATTTGAAATATACACCAAAATTTTATCCTGTGTATAACTAAAAGTCATTCTTTATTCCAAACCATGTTCGCTAATGGGCCAGTAAATGGGCAATAATAATTCACTCACTGTTTGTATGGATTGCTATGTATTTATTATGAATATTGGAAGTTATAGCATAGAAAATTAATAATAAATTGAAGAGAATAACATGTAGCTTTGGAGATTGGTACATTGTTAAGGTTTCTGAATGGGTGTTCTTCTCGCATAGCGCCAAGTTTTTTTCTTCTGATTTTTATTTTTATTTTTTGAATGTTTTAAAGTAAACAAAAAAGTAATAGAAACTAAAGTTTTATAACATTAATTTGTTTATAAACAAACCAAAACCATACTTAATGTTTTATAACATCACACTTTTCTTTCTTTGATCCAATGATTACCATGAATTCAAATAGGTTGAATTATGATTTTTAGAACTCTAATATCAGAGACATTGTCATAAGGAGCACGTAGCTTTTTTGGGGTATATTTTTCATGTTTTTAATTGTAAGCAAAAATTATACTTTTAGAGCTTCGGGGTGCAGAGAATGTCACAAGGAGTTCTTAGGAATTTTCGGTGTATTTTTTAGATTTTTAATTAATTTATTAAGAATTTTAGAAGTAAAATTATGATTTCACACATTTGAGTTTAAGGTAATCGTTGGATTAAAGAACAAGAGTATTATGTTATAAGACATCAATTAGTGTTTTCAATTGCTTAGAAACAAAGTTTAGTTTTTATTATCACTTTACATTTTTATAAATAAAAATTATACTTTTAGAGCTTGACGATGTAGATAATGTCACAAGAAGTTCCTAGGAATTTTCGGTGTATTTTTTGAATTTTGAATTAATTTATTATGAATTTTAGAAATTAAATCCAAGATAAATACTATTAAATGGTATAGGTCGACAAGTGGCAGCGCTGAAGGTGGCGCCGTCAGTGTTTCCAACAGGTGGCATTCCGCGATTGCACCACGTGTCATATTGATTACTTTTTTCAAGTTTATCTTTAAAAATTATTTTAAAATAATTAAAAATCAGAAAAATACACCAAAAATTGATACAAACTCCTCGCGACATCATCCTCAATTATGGAGGTCCAACATCATGATTTCACAAATTTGAGTTTAAGGTAATTGTTGGATCAAAGAACATGAATGTTAAGTTATAGAACATCAACTAGTATTTTAAATTGTTTTGAAATAAAATTGAGTTTTTATTATCATTTTATATTTTTATAATATAAAAATTATACTTTTAGAGATTGAGGGTGTGTAGAATATCAGAAGGGGCTCCTATAAATTTTTTATGTATTTTTTAGATTTTAAATTAATTTATTATGAATTTTAGAAGTTAAATTAATGAAAAATAATATGAAATAGTATAGGACGAGACGTCTATAACTTAAAATTTGAGTTCATAATATGAAATAATATGAAAATTGCTACAAACTCCTTATGACATTATCTTTATCTTTAAAATTTGAGTTCATAATAATCATTGGATCAAAGAACATGAATATTAGGTTATAAAACATCATCTAGTGTTTTAGATAGCTTAGAAACAAAGTTGAGTTTTTATTATCAATTTACATTTGTATAACCCAAAATTATACTTTTAGAGCTTGAAGGTGTAGAGAATATCACAAGGAGTTTCTAGGAATTTTCGGGGTATTTTTTGGATTTTTAATTAATTTATTATGAATTTTAGAAGTTAAATTCAAGATAAATAATATTAAATCATACTGAGTGACACGTGGCAGCAGCTGAAAGTGGCGCCGTCAGGGTTTCCTCCAACAGGTGGCGTCCCGCGATTGGTCTATACCCTTTAATATTATTTTTCTAGTATTTAACTTCTAAAATGCATAATAAATAAATTAAAAATCATAAAAATACACCGAAAATTGCTACAAACTCTTCACAACATCATCCTTGATTATGGAGGTCCAAAATCATGATTTAACATATTGGAGTTTACAGTAATCGTTTGATCAAATAACTTGAATGTTATGTTATGAAACATCAACTAGTGTTTTAAATTGTTTAGAAACAAAGTTGAGTTTTTGTTATCAATTTATATTTTTATAAGTGGAAGTTATATTTTCCGAGCTTGAGGGCGTAGAGAATGCCATAAGGAGTTCATCGGATTTTCTGATGCATTTTTTAGACTTTTAATTTATTTATTATGAATTTTAGAAGTTAAATCTCAAAAAAAATAATATTAAATTATAGAGAATCACATGTGGCAGTTTCAGAAGGGAGAGTTGTCATTGTTTTCAATAGGTGGCGTCCGACGATTGCGCCACATGTCAATATTATTATATTATTATTTACCATAAATTATTATTACATTGCTTTGGACCGTGAATTATTATTATATTATTATTAACCCTAAATTATTATTATATTGTTATTTACCCTAAATTATTATTATATTACATTTTACCCTAAATTATTATTATATTCGTTTTTATCATAAACTATTATTATTTACCCTAGATTATTATTATATTAGTTTTTACCCTAAATTGTTATTATATTTCCTTTTACCCTAAATTATTATTATATTACCCTCTGTACCAAAATTTTATTTTATTATTATATTGCTTTTTATCCTAAATGACTTTTATTTTGCAATGCCACATGGATTTACAATCTAAAATATTATTTTTTAAAATTAAAAATTAAAAGAAAAAAAAACCTACACCTATCTCTCTCTCGCTCCCCCTCTCCCTCTCCCTTACCCTCACCCTCACCCTTTGCCCACCCCAACCCCCTTCTCACTCTCTCTCCCTTTTCCAAGCCCCAGCCCCACCTAAAAAAAAAAAAAAAAAAAAAAAAAAAAAAAAAAAAAAAAAGAGTGACCATTCCCAACCCCAGCCCCCTCCCAGACCCAACCCCCTACCCCAGACAACCATGCTTCCACCCCTCACCTCGTCACAACCACCCGTCCCCAAGCTAGTGCCGCCAACCCCACTCTTATAAGTACAACCACCCCAAATTGAATCACATGATGCTTTTGCTCTTACTTCTTATGCCTTCAGAGATCTTCCAGATTAATTTGTATTGCCTCAATATGCATCTCTTGGAATATTATCTTGTCCCACCAAAAGAAAAAATACAAATATGGGTAAAACCCAAACCCAGAAAGAAGGCTTTAAAAAAAGAATTAGGAGGAAAAAAATCAAAATAGAGAAAGTGGGTATGATTATTAATCTAAAATCTGTGGGAAGTTCATGATGAAAATGGTACATGAACATTTCTTTGTAAAATTTGATAGAAAATCAGAATCTGTAAAAAATAAAATAAAATAAAAATTAGAAAAAAAAAGGGAGGAAATTCATTCATCCCAACCCAGCCCACTACCTCCCCTTGATTCTAACTACCCTAGCCTGCTAGCCACCCCTCCACCACGACCATCCCACCCCACACCCACCTGAAACCCAACTTAGATCAAATTCAATTTTGGGTATGTCAGTCTAGTCAAAAGAAGAAAGAAAAACCTAGATCTGGAACTTCAGTTTCGTGGATGTCAAAGAGAGAAGGGGAGAAGAGAGAGAAAGAGAAGGGTTGGGTGGTGGGAGAAGACGTAGAGAGAGGGTGCTGGATGTGAGGTTGTTGGCTATTGCATAGAGATATAAGGATAGGAGAGATAAAGAAGGAGAAGGGAGAAGGTGAAATTGAAGCTCACTCGCGGGTTGTAATTTTTCTACTGGATAAAAGAAACCCGGATATAACTTACTAATGTTAGCCATTTGATCAATCTAACGGGCCAGTGAGTGCCCCCGCAAATAACCTCCGCACATAACCTTCGCATTATAGCCTCGCCGTTTGCGAACTGCATTTGGGGCTCACTGAATTAGACATGCGAGTCCGGTTATTTTTTCACTGTTGGACTATGCAGTCTCATTTAAGTTAATCCCCTTCCTCACCAAACATGGGTTTTAGGTGTTATTTAACACAATCCAGTTCAGTGAGGCATAATGAGGCCTACCAAACATGCCCTAAATGTAATATGAAGTTAATGATTAAAATAGCAGCGCATAAGCTGAAGGAAAACAATTGAACAAGATGTGACAATCATTAATCTAATGTTTACCCGTATGAGATCATTGAAATGTTGGATCAATGCATGTAAAAAGATTTTGTTGACAATTACATCTTGTTTTGTTTTTCTTGTAAATGTAAAGGCTTAATTGTTACAGTACCCTTTAGATAAAAAATAAATAAAAATGGTTACACTACTTCTGAAACTTCGCTCAAATCTCACATTGCCATTTGGAAGTTAACGTGACTCACTTTGCCCCACTGACCAATGTTTGGTATATTACTTCTCCCTTATCGTAAACTTCATCCCAAACACTATTAAAAGCGATGATGTGGCATGGTTATATTGGTAAATTTGTACATATTAGCCATTTACTCCAATTAGAGTGGATGATATGGCAAAATAGAGCCCACCTCCATCATGGATAAAAAATTATTTACTTTTAAATAATTGGGTCAATTCCAGTTTGGGTACCATGTGGTTTCACTCGTAAGGCATGTTTGCCCATGTCCTCTCAATTTTAACAATGAAGTACCCCATCATTGGAAATTTGTTGCGTTGTGGCTTTGTCGTTAGGTTGACATCGGGCCAAGTTGGGCCGGCTCAATTCTAAATTTTCGAGTTCGGGTTGGGCTCATGCTAGGCCTTATGTGCTTTTTTTATTTTATGGGTCGGGCTGAGGGTTCGATTGTTAAAGCCCGAGCCCACCCATTGAGTCGGGCCTCAATGGGAATGATGGGCCGAGCTCACATGGACCTAGGCAGCCGGGCTCCCATGGGCCTTATTTTTCTTATTTTTACTAAGTTTTTTTTACAGCTTTTTTAGAAAACATTACATTAAAAAAATTAACTAATCCATAACATATGTAAAATAAAATAAAAAAATTATTAGTTCATAGAACATATCACATTACTTCATAAAACTCTGTACTTAAAAAAAATATGCTCTCGATCTGTAGCTTGTATTGTAACGGTTATTTTTTTTTTCTTTTGTGAACATGGCCCACTTGTGAATATTCAATGTGAGTTGATTGAATTGAAACCCAACCGTTGGTAACTTTATAGCCATTGTGGCTACTAGGGGTGGGCGCAGTCTAGTTCGATCCAGTTTTCATCTCAAAACAAAATCAAAATCAGTACTATTTAATCGGTTCGGTTCAAACTAGTTATGGTCTGGTTCGGTCTGGTTTTCACCCCAAAAAATAAAAAAAAATACACAATCTATCCAGTCCAGTTTGTTAAGGTGTAAAACCAGAACCGAAACTAGTTTAAACCGATTAGATCTGGTTCAGTACTGGTTTATTGACTCTTTTGATCAACTGGTTTTTGTTCCAATTTTTTCAATTCGATTCAGCTCGGTATTCTGATTTTTCAATCCCGATGCCCAACTCTAGTGGCTAGAGCAACATCACTTACGTTTTTTCCACCAAAAAAAACAACTTACCTAAAACAAGAAGAAGGAGCCCACTTTTTCTTTGTCTTTTTTACTTTTTGTTAGGACTTTTTATTCTTTCAGCCCACTTTAATATTAAATACAATATTGGATTAGGCCCAAGATAGGATAATGGATTTATTGACTTATTTTACCCCCTCAAATGGGCATTTGCTCTCACTTTAGCCTTTGAAATTGAAATTTTCTCACTTAATTCTCAATTTTTTTAAATATTGCTTAAATTTTCTCACTTTACCACTTCCGTCCATTTCCATCTATAAGACCGTTAAGTGCGCTGATATGACATGGGCATTTTAGTAAGTTTAGCTATTAAAGTACTTTAAAATTCAAATTAAATAATAATACAAAAAAGATTGGACAAACTACAGTAAACCTCCCAACCTATAAGGTCATTTACGAGTTCATACCCGATTTTGGAGACATTTACCAATACATACTCAACGTCGAGGAAAACCTACAAATTGCCCCCTCCATTAGCGAGATCTTCAGAAAATCCATTATCTGCCTACGTGGCATTTGTGAGACCTATTTTTAATTGACGTGGAATTCCATGTGGACAAAAAATAATATAAAATTTTTATTTTTAAAATTAAACTTTTTTTTTGAAAAAACCCTACCAAGATTCTCTCTCTCTCTCTCTCTCTCTCTCTCTCTCTCTCTCTCTCTCTCTCTCTCTCCTCCTCCTCCTCCTACCCCACAGTCACCCAAGCTTACTCAGGCCACCCGTCCCAGCTAGGGGTGGGCATATTAAACCGAAATACCGAAACCGTACCCTAACCGCACCGTACCGTACCGATTTTATACCGTTTTATTTGGTACCGATAGATATTCGATACCGTACCGTACCGTACCGAATAGAGTATGGTATGGTAGCGGTATCAAGATTTTGATACCGGTCAATACCGTACCGTACCGAATAGTACTTAAATTTAATTAAATTTTTTTTTCATTCTCTCACTGTCTCTGTCTCTCGCTTGCCTCTCAAACTGAAACACCAAAGCCAAACCCTCTCAGACAAAAACGAGCACGCTCTCACTCTCAGACTCTCAAGTCAACCCGTGCAAACTCAAAGCCAAACCCTCTCAAATAGAAACGCAGCACGCTCTCACTCTCAGACTTTCAAGTTAGCCCGTGCAAGCTCTCCTCCATACCCAGACCCAGCTCCCTGTCTCTCTCTCAATCTCACTCGATTCAAGCTCTCTCCAAGCCAAATCCTTCCCATCTCATCTCGATCTCTCACTCGATTCAAGCTCTCTCTGTCTCTCACTCTCTCGAACTCAATCTGTCACAATGTCAGTCTTTGGATTTCTTGATCTGTCTCTGTCTCACTCTCTTAATCTCTCGATTTCTCTATCTTCCTGATCTCTCTCAAGCTCTCAGCCCTCTCTCAACTCTCTGGAATAAGAAGCATCCCCAAATCGACGAAGGGACAAATGGTAAGTTTGTTGTGATTTTTGTTAATTTATTTAGGGTTAATTAAATACGAATGAAGTTGAGGGATTGTGCTGTGTTGTTGTGATTTTTGTTAATTTTTTGTTAATTTATTTAGGGTTTATGCTGTGTTGTTAATCTTTAGGGTTTATGCTGTGTTGTTAATCCAAGTATAAAATAAAATGCGTATGTGATGACAAAGTATGGTATGGAATGCAAGACTAACCCTGTAAAACTTTTGTTGTTGTTTTGCTTTCGGGGGTCTGAAAACCTCTGCAAACTTGGTTTTGTGACATGATATTTGACTTGGTGCCTGATGAGGATATTGGTTGTTGGTGCCTGATGAGGATATTGCTTGTTGCTGCTCTGTTCTTATCTGTTAATTCTTGTCATGCAGTCTCGATCAAGTAAGCATCAGGAGCACAGTGGGCTTGCTGTTTCTTCAACGGCAACATCACCAGCACCACCACAGTTTGCTGTGCAGCCGGAAGCCCAACCTTCTGAAGCTCATGTGCCTGAGCCAATGCAAGCCCTTGAGAGTGAAGATACAGAAATGGTTAGTGAACTGAACTCAGATGGCAAAGGTAGAGGTAATAAGAGAAGTTGGGTTTGGGATCATTTTACACCCTATGATGATAAAAAAAACTGTCAAAAGAAAAGATGAGGCCACAGGGAAGATGGTAGATGTAGAAGTTGTGAATAAAAGAGCTAAATGCAGATATTGTCCTAAATCTAAACTTGGTCTTGGAGATTATGCATGTGATAGTGGAAAAAATGGGACTTCGGGAATGATAAGCCATATTAGAAAATATTGCAAATACTACCCACCTAACCAAGATAAAACACAAAAGATAATCACTGGTGATAGAAGTCAGAGTAACAAAATGGTTGCTAGGGGGTTTTTGCAAAGTGATGTTATGGATGCATGTGTTGAAATGATTGTGATTGATGAGCTGCCATTTTCTTTTGTAGAAAAGAAAGGTTTTAAGAAGTTTTGTAGTGTTGCTTGTCCAATGTTTGAAGTGCCTAGTAGGAGAAAAACAGTGAGGCAATTTCTTAAAATGTATGATGCACAAAAACAGCAGTTGAAGAATGATTTAAGTGCACATAGGATCAACCTCACGACTGACACTTGGACAAGTGTCCAAAACACCAATTACATGGTGCTTACTGCACACTTCATAGATTGTGATTGGAAAATTCACAAAAGGGTTTTAAACTTTTGTGTTATTCCTAATCACCAAGGCAACACCATAGGAGACCTCATTGAGAGTTGTTTATTACAATGGGGTATAGAGAAGGTTTTAACCATTACTGTGGACAATGCCTCTGCAAATAAAGTGGCAATTGATTGGGTGAGATATAAAATGAACAAATGGAACAATTCACAGGCTGTTTTGGGTGGGAAATACTTACATATGAGATGTTGTGCTCACATCACTAATTTAATTGTGTCTAGTGGGTTGAGGAAGCTGCAAAAATTTGTTATGGCAATTAGGAATGCTGTGAGGTATGTTCGGTCATCTCCACAGAGATTGGATTATTTTAAAACCTCTATTGAGAAGGAAAAACTGACCTGCAAAGGTCTTGTATGCATGGATGTCCCCACAAGATGGAATTCAACATACATGATGTTGGATGCAGCCTTGAAATTTAAGAAGGCTTTTACTAGAATGGCAGAGGATTTGAACAGCCCATTCATGGCTTATTTCAAAGAGGCAGATGAGGTAGTTGATGAGGATGGTGTAGTTCAGACTAATAGTAGGCAGTGTCGGGTTGGACCACCAACTGATGTAGATTGGGACAATGCAACAGTGTTTGTGAGGTTTTTGAAGGTGTTTTATGAGGTGACCTTAAAGGTGAGTGCATCTTTGCACCCCACAATTCATAAAACATTTCACGCAGTTATTTCCATGGAAAAGGAGATTGACAAGTTGTTTGTGGCACCTGAATTTGCTACTGGTTCAGATGCAGAGAAAGTGTTGACTGACATGGCTGGAGCTATGAGAACAAAATACAATAAGTATTTTGTTAAATATCAAGATTTGAACATGTTAGTGTTGATTGCACTTGTTTTGGATCCAAGGTTCAAGTTGAGGCATATCACCCATCTCTTTAAAAAGGAAAATTTTGATGAGGATGATGTGCAAATAAAGACAAGAGAAGTGAAAAGTGTGTTAATGGCTCTCTATGATGAGTATGTACCAAAGGTAGATGGTGGCATTCACATGAGACAAAATTCTTCCACAGAAAATATAGGATCTGCAAGTGGTAGTAATAATATTGGAGAAAGTGTTGGTGATGATTTTCTAGATGATTTGATTAGGGAGGTGGAAGAGAGTGATGAGACTGTGGTGTCACATGAAGTTGATTCTTACTTGACAGATCCTTTGGCATTTGTTTCCAAAGATGTTTTTTTTGACATATTGATGTGGTGGAAACTCAATGGACCCAAGTATCCTGTCTTAGCAGCAATTGCGAAGGATGTCCTTTCAATTCAACCTTCCACAGTGGCATCTGAGAGTTGTTTTAGCACTGGTGGCAGAGTCATAGATGCATTTAGGAGTTCATTAACTCCTAGATCAGTGGAGGCTTTGATATGCATGCAAAATTGGTTGAAAGGGGATGAAATTTCAAGCTTAGAAGATACACCTTCGATTGAAGAATTTGAATTTTATGAAACCATTGAATCAGGTAAATTATTTTAAATATTGTTTGTTATTTATATTAGTTTGCATTGAATTCTTTCTAATGGTTGTTTGGGTAATTTGCAGAATATGCAAATGATGGGGATACTTGAATTCAAAGCTAGGGGCTGCAAATGAAGCTTGGATTGCATAACTTTATGTTTTTGTTATTTATGTTTGGATTGTGTTTGTATTTTTGTAAGCCATAATGCATAATTTTAACTATTTTGGTTTGTAAGCTATAAGGCATGAGTTTTAACCATTTGAATTTGATGAATCTCTTGATGGATAAATATTGATTTGGTTGATTTGGATATTGAATATGTTGATGGATATTTAATATGTTGATTGGGATTTGAATATTGAATATGTTGATGGATATTGAATATGTTGATTAGGATTTGGATATTGAAATTGAATATGTTGAATCTTTGAATTTGTAACTTAGGCATCATTTATTTTGGTGTTGAATATTGAATTGGTTCATTTTTTAGTTGTATCATTTTGGTACCGAAATGGTACCGATACCGTACCGATACCGATTTGGCACGGTACGGTACGGTACCAATTTTGGCAAACCATAATCCCATACCGTACCGTACCGATTTAAATTTCCGGTATCGGTAGCGGTACGGGTTCAATATCGTACCATACCGTATCGTGCCCACCCCTAGTCCCAGCCTTAACACCTCTCTTGTTCTAGCCCAACCTATCACCTCCCTCATGCCACAGATTTGATCGTTTTCCCAAACCACAAACCCCAAAACGATGTCGTGGCCGTTGCCATCCCCAAACCATAGCTGAGTTCAACTTCAAATTTCACATCCCAAATTTCGATCAGCCTCACGGTGTCCAAGCCAGTCAAATTTCATATCCCAAACATCAGTGCCTATGAAATAGAAAATGCTTGGCTAAGAAAAATATCAGAATATGAATTCGTTCAGTATAATTCAAGGAATGGACTTCCCTCCCCAGCAACTTAGGCTGGTTGCAGAAAACAACCTGTCATTTGGGATTTCCAATGTTCAGTCAATCAACTGGGCAAGCGACGAGGACGAAGAAGCGGAAAAGGAATGAGGAGTTGGTAATGGTGGTGATATCTCGTGATTATCTGGGCACATCATATGAGGCATGAGCTTGTTTTTTCACATCTCCCTGTAAGGTCCAGCGTCGCCACCTATATCCTCCTAGCCACCACCACCACGAGATTCTCAGTCAATCTGTAAACCTCGACCTTAATTGCCAAATTACCATTCTGCTACTCCATATCCAAACCCCACGCCTTCTTCCTCCTCACCCTCAATTTCTCGACCTTCGCAAACGCCTCCACTCTCTCCACCACCTTCTCCATCGTCTTCTCCAACACGAAACGCTCGCTGTCCTCTACCGAGCCGTACGAATGGTCGTTGAACAGCCCGGACAGGTCCAGTCCAGTCGAGAACGATATCAAATCGAACGCGTTCAAACAGAACTGGGTTGCGATGGCTCGGAGGGTGTGGGGAGGGTAGGTTGGAGGTTGGGCTAAAAGGGAGGGGATGGAATAAGGTTGTTTGCGTCTTTTTACCTTTTTTTTCTATTTTTTTCTATTTTTTTGCTTTTTTTTTTTAAATTTGATTTTTTATTATTTATTTGTCCACCTGTAAGTCTACCTCAGTTAAAAATGGAACCCACATTCGCCACGTTAGCATTTAACAGATTCACTAATGGTTTAGCTAACTGATGGGGCAATTTGTAGGTTTTCTACGACGTTGAGTATTAGGTATGAACTCGTAAATGACCTTATAGGTTGATGGGTTTACTGTAGTTTGTCCAAAAAGTTTTAACATATTTTTTTATACAAAAAATTAGGGTTAACAAACCCCCTTCCCTTTCTTCCATTCCTCGTCAGCTCCCCTCACCTCCATCTTCCCCTTCTTCCTTTTCTGACCACCCCTTCCCCAAAGCACCCAGCGCAACCATGCCACCCCATCCCCTCTCGCAGCCCCAAAAGCTCTTTGGTTCCTCTCTCTCTCTCTTTCTTGTTCTTTGGTACCCTCTCGAATTCGCCGTTCTTTGGCGAGTTCAATTGGATGGTGGTTGTTGGATTTGTTGTGGATATTGATGAAACCGATCTCCCTGAGCACTGCGCCGTAGATTCCGACACCAAAATCTCTGTTAGGGGGAGCCTATGAAAAGGGAATATTAAGAAAACCTATTAAATGAGGTTGGCTATGTTGATGTTGGTGGAGGTGGGAAACATATGGCTTAGATTCGCGAATTGGAGGAGTTGCCACTGAGGCATCCTTAGCTTTTCAAATCAATTGTTGTGTAGCCCCTAAATCAATATCGTTGATCTAGCTCTTAAAATGTCTGGAATTGACCCTAAATAATTAAAGATTAAATTTCAAACATAAAATTGAGAAAAAGACGACCCTACCCATTACTTCTCCCCCAACCGCAGCAAATCCACCCACCTCCTTAACCGTCCTTGTAATCCCCTCCGCTTCCTTCTCCGTCCTTGTAACCCCCACCCACCTCCTCAGGCAAGTCCGCAACCCCAACCCACCTCCCCCCAACCGCAGCAAATCCATCCACCTCCTTATCTGTCCTTGTAACCCCCTCCACTTCCTTCTCTGTCCTTGTAACCCCCACCCACCTCCCTAACCACCCAGCCCCTCCCCCGACTCGCCCACCTCTCTCTCTCTCTCTCTCGAGAAATGTTCATTTACTATTTCAGGCATGAACTTCCCCGGCCACACACACCCCCTCTTCCTATATTATGATTTTCCACTCATTTTTTCAAAAAATTGAAAAATGAAAAAACAAAAAAAACAAACTTTCTGGGTTTCGATTTTACCCAGCATGTGATTCAATCTGAGGCGGGTGCGTTGATAAGATCGGCAATGGTTGGGGATGGGTGGTTGTTGCAGGTTGAGGAGCGGAGGTATAGTTGGGAATCGATCCAAATGTTAAAAAACTGAACGAGTCTAGAAGTTTTCTTTACGCTAAACCTTGAAGTAATTTTCTCGAAGTTTTCTAGGAGTGGAGATGTGGTGTTGGTTATATCTAGAAATTTTCTCGAATCTGTTTGCTTCTTTTTTGGTGTCTCCATGTAATCTGTTCCTCGGGTTTATGGGGGTATCCATGAATATCTTTGATAACGACCCAAAAAAAAGTCTCCAAACCATTATGTCAAGAAGACCAAACCGTAATGTCAACCAAGTGCAAAACATAATGTCAACCAAATCCAAGCCATAATGTCAACAGCATTTTCATAACTGAAGTGAATCCATCCAACTTATTCCTTAGCAATTTCACGAAGAAGCCAAGCAACCTTGAAGTAAAGACCTTGCATGTTAGAAAACATCACTCTCTTCTTAGGCTGACCTTTAAACAGCCCTCTTGCATACCACCACAAAAGACCATCGGAACGTCCTCCAGGTAAAGATTCAACAGCCTGCATCACATCATGAAGTGAAGGTGCAGTACTACTCTCAACTGCCTCAACAAGGCCACCTCTCCGTTGTGACAAGGTCGCAGCACCTTTCCGTTGCGATAATGCCCTCCCACTTCCCACTTTGAACCCTCCTGCAACTTCTTTGTCATTCTCTTCTTTCTCAGCTTGTATGACAAGTTGTTCAGCTCTCCTTTCCTCCATCCCAGATGAACCCGTAGGTTGAGTGGTTCCGACTGGGATGACATGACTTTCAGTAGCAAGTACACAACAATAATAGAGTTTAGTAACTATGATATAGAAATTCATCCATATATCAGAAAGATAGAAATAAAAATTAACATATAGAGTGATCACATTTGGAGAAAACTTAACTAGAACAAAATTAACAAATGACTGCATTCTGAAATGTTCAAAAGCACGAAAAAGTAAAATAGTGAAGAAATGAATTACCTGTAGAGCTGTTCAAAAGCAATGCGCAATTCATATAAATCAACCTCAAATACCTTTTCACCATTTTGAAAGCAATGGAATGTTGGCTGCAGCAAAAATGCACACAACAGCAAAGTAAATTTCTATTTTCAGATGAAAGCAAGGCTGAATTATATATACTCAGCTTAATCAAACTGCTTAGCCCCTTTCCTGCCAGCTAAGTACCATGTTTAGCTATATATTGTAAACTATCAATTAGCATATGGTAAGAAATACAACACAAGTTCCAAATTTTGGAACTGTATTCTGAAAGAAGACGTTAAATACATGAGCAATTAGATCAATCAGTGAAGTACCGGCATTTATATTTAAAAGAGAAAAAAAAAGAAGCATATAATTTTTCACCCTATAGTCAGGAACCATATTCCCCAATATTTCTTCCATGTCCACCTATAGATCAACAAACAATGTCAGGATCACTAATTTAGAGGCATAACATGATATAATACCATAGCTCTTCTATAAACAGCTGCATGACGAATAATAATAACAGTGGAGAAAATTACTAGACGAGCACACATTGGCCACCCGGGGATTTATAGTTAGATCAATTTTAACGTAATAAGGAGAACTGATGCAGATAGAAAGAAAGAAAAAGAAAATTATGCAAAGGTGTGCAGTATGTATTTATTGGGTCATGGAATGCGTGGTCTCACTAAGCATTTTGATGTCATGACAACTGCCCTAGGAAACTCCAGCAAGAAAACTTAATTTCTTCTTAGCATCATGGACTGTTAAATTATATTCGCCAATAATTTTTCTCTTAGGATAACAAAAGTAAAGACAATTTGCTTCCCTAGAATCCCTACCAAAACAACATATATGCATCCAGTCAAGATGCAAGGTGTAAACGTACAAGGATCCAAACTGTATTTGGAAAGTAAAAGATAAAAGTTTTACCAGTTTAGATTTGTGATAGTGAGATAATTTTTCTTTCGTGTTGTGGTGTACTCCTTGTCTTAAAAAGGAACTTTACATTCAACCAAGCTAGGAAGTGAAAAAAGAAAAAAGAAAAGAAGCAGCTAAACTACTGTCACCAAAACACCATCAATTTAAAAGAAATATACATATATTTATATTATTAATATTAAGATCCGTATGTTGTTTTCACCTTAAGATGGGATTCAAGCACTTCACAATAAGACTAAAACAGTTCTAAAATGATTCAAGTTAAGAGAAGGCCAGATTACATGACATACCACAGGAGGCTTGATAATCTTATATATGGTTACATGTGGGAATTTCATCCTCAATCCACGCAAAAGTAAAGCTGGCTCATAACTAGAATCTGCACATGAAGAATACACCAAAAATAAGTTGAAAAGGCATAAGAAATGACTTGATTGATAAAAGTGAACTAATTAGAACTTACCAGGTATGCACTTGTGATCAATGAAGTAGAAAACCGCTGGCAATAATCCATCTATCAAAATGGAAAATATATATATTACAAACTACATAAAAGTACATGTGAAAAAGTAATACAATATATATAGGGGAGGATCCGCGGCATCATAGTTTTTACCCAAGTTATCTATTCAACCATTAGATCTACAAACTTTAATTTCTCAAATTATATATACACGCACACACACAAAAGCAAGTTTAGGTATGGCCGCCGAGTTGCATTTGCCATTTCCATCCCTTCACTGCGTCTGTGTGTAAAGCAGGAGGCCGTTGAGTAGGCGAGGCCTAATAAAATTACAGAAAAGTGCTGTTTGTCCCAACTTTTCTTTCCCAATCCAAACAAACACCACTTCAATCTAGTCTAAACCAACATAAAATGTAATCGGCATTATCAAAATAGAAAAATATTACCTGTAACTTGTTTAATTGCCTTGTCATAGTCATCCTTGTTCGAAATGATTACCATCTTTTGGGGCCTTGAAAATACAAGACCTGTAAAAACAGGTGAGTCAGTGCAACAACAAAATCTGAAGCAGAAGCATAAAGTGGAAGACAAAAAGGGGGATACCTTTATCGGAGTGTCCCATAAAATGAAGGATTGGGGAGGACACAGGTAATTTGCAAGGGGAAGGTAAACGTGGTGTTAGACCATAGAATGAAGATAGGGTTAGGGTTTGGATGGAACTAGGAAGAAGCTTTCGACGATGATGAAGAAGACCTGCACAGGGGTTGCTCCAATTGCCAAACAAATGTCGTATCAAAATCCCTGACTTCCTCGCCATTTTCGTCTCACTCGATTCCCTTTTTCTTCTTCCTTTCTGTTTTCTGGTTCTCAGTCTCTCGCTTTTTTTTTTTACTTTTTTTTTGGGAATTGTCCTCAACACTGGGAGAAATTATAGAATGGTACCATATCACCACATCAGCCAATGATACATCCATTTAAAATTTACCATGTGTCATTTTTAAAAACAATTAAACTTTATTTTACAACTAGACATAAAATCCAATTATCACTTTTTGAAATAAAATTTTAAAAAAAATTGTCACCTCTCATAAAGTCAAGTGAGTGATAAATGTTATGTTAACTTGCAATTGTACGAGTCAATTAGTAATATAATAAGACAAGAACGAGGTCATATCCATGAGGATTGAGAAGTTAGATTAATTATGTATTTAGATTATCCAATTCTAAAAATAAGAAGTTAAGTCTAAAATAGAATTTAAAGTCAGATTGCTTGTGATTGTGAAAATAAATGAAGCAAAATGAAATTGGAATTTGAAGTAAGAGTGCTTGTGAACAAAATGAAATTTCAAACAAAGCAAGTGTAATAAACAGTGGTTTTGAAGGTTGGTAAATAGATTTGGAGACTAGAGCATTTGATTCACCATAACAATCCATTTATGAGTTATAAGGATTCAAGTGACAAGTCTAATTCAGATTCAAAGATTGATTATAGCTAAAGTATGATTAAGTCATGGTGTTTGGTCCTAACCTTGTATTCCTAATTCTCTAATTAAGTCCTTGTTGTCGAACTTAAATTAAGCATCAGAAATTCATTAAGCATAGAAGAATGTTTTAAACAACCAAGCATGTATCTAATCTCTGTTGTCGAATGTACATCCATACATACTCATCTTATTTATAATTCAATTGAAACAAAAGCATATAGTGTCTACTTTAGTTTCAACTAAAATACACAAATCTTAATGGTTGCTAGGCATTTAAATTAGTATATAGGTATGTATGCATAATGAATAAGATCATGAATCTTGAATCAAACTTGAAACTTGAAATTTATAAACCCAGAAATTTCATGTTAGGTTACATCGAAACCCTGAATATGGATTTAGCTACTCGTAATGCCAAAATAACATGAACAAATTTGAGAAAACATAATGAATACAGTAGGAGTAGAAAAACCATTTTTTGAAGTTCTTATGGTGTCCAATGCTTCTCTAAGAGTTTATCCACATCTAGAAGGATGTATAAAGGTTAATGAGGTGATTTGGGATGAGTTTGGGTGAGTGGTGATGACTGAGAAAGAAAAATTCGTAGGGAAATGGAAGAAAGGCTTGTTGGGACAGTTTTGAGGGATTTGGGGTTGTTTTGAGCTTTGGGTTGATTATTGGAGTGTTTGGGGTTGTGGGAGTATTTGAGGGTTGTTTCTGAATGTGTTTGGGGAAATGATGGGAGTGTAAAGATGGATGGAGTGATTTTTGAGAATGTGAATCCTAGGATTTTGTTCTTTTATTTGGTGTGGAATGGATGTGGTATTAATAGGAAGAATGAAGGGGGAAATCTGATTTGTATATGCCTTTGACCTACAATACTCACTTTACCAACTTTACCTAACACACCAATGCAATTGAAAATCAGTTTCTTTTCTTATTTGATTGATGCACTTCACCAACAAATCTCACCATAAACTATAGCTCATGCATAGCTCATCATGACCAAGCAACAATTAGTTCATCCTTAAGTCAACATGACCAACAACTTCATAGACTCACGAATTGGGCTTTTCTTAAGCAAATGATGATTTTGAGCCCTTCATCTTGCAGTTCAGAATGTTATCTTTTCAACCACATGTCATTTAGGCCAATCCAAGGTTGGATGAAGAAGTTAAGGCCGAAGCAAATTGCTAACTCAGTTTGCACGTTTTTGCATCATTTTGCATATTTGCCTATCTAAAGCCATCATTGCTACCTAAAGCTAAATTGACTAAATGACAAAGACAAGAGAGATTAAAAGCACAAATTTAACTCAAAAACATAATCAAATTATAAGTTAGAATGATACAAAATAATATATAATAATGCACTGATCAATAATCCTTTACATATATTATTTGATTTGGGCTTAGGATTTATAATTTTAATGAACTTGACATAACTTTTATGCATTAGAATTTATTGATATGATATTGATGTTGATTAATTTTCTTATTTTTTATTTGTATTAGAATTTATATTGATTGTTATATATGGTGTTTTTTTAAATTAGAATTTATTGATATGATTTTGTTATTTGGATAATTGGATTAAAATTTATTGATATGATATTGATGTTGATTAATTTTCTTATTTCTTATTTGTATTAGAATTTATATTGATTGTTATTGTTTGGGTCTAAATTAGCACGTCCAACCCAACAAAAGGAAACCCAAGATCCAGAAAGGTCTAACCCAAACCAGATCAATAGACTCGGGCCTTAAAAGAAAATCACCTCTTGGGCTCCAAACAAAATAAGCCCAGCACGATTTGGATAAAGAAAGGGACCCATCCTAGAACCCAAGTGACATCTTTGTATTATCAGGTTTGGAAAAGTCAACAAAACCAACTAGCACAGAGTTGATAAATGGAAGGGTTAGTGGCTGGCAAACTGGAAGAGACACCTCTGAAATTCTGAAGATCAAATCCCTCTTACATATATATATATATATATATATATATTCAGAGATTTTTTCTACTTTGCAGAGAAGGTGATTCTCCCAAGAGATAAGCAAGCTACAATCTCAGAGAGAGATAAGCAGGAAAGCATAAAGTTGTTCAAACTGAAGAAATCAAACTAACCATCACGGATGAAATCTCACAAGGGGCAGTTAAAATTAGGAAAGGAGATTAGATTTTCTTTTAAAAGAAAACAGAGAAGTGATCTTAAGGATTGATTGATGAGAGCTTATCTGACAAAATTTTAAACTCTTCTCTCTCTTGTATTTCTTTCTAGATTTTTAAAAAATTTGCCGCCCATTATTTTAAGAAAGAAACCCTAAACCTAAACATCTCTTATAAATAGAGGAGAGGGTGAACCAATTCAAGGACAATCAATAAAAAAAACAAACAAACAAACAATCAATCTTACACAAAAAAATCATCAAACAAACAAACAACTCAAAAATCAACCAAAAGCCCACTTGAATTCCAAGTGAAACCAGCTTTAGATTAGAATTCCCAAGGTTCAGACTTACAAAATAAGTCAATTAAAACGAGATTTCTCTCGTTACAAATTTGGTTCAGCAAAGAACCAAGACATGTAGAGCTTGAGCTTTTCCCAAACATGAAAACCTCAACAAATTTCATAGTGCAATCTCTAGCCCACTGAAGCCCTTGAGAACAGCCACTTATGCTCGTGCAGACTGAAGAAACCGCAGTTCTGCCCACTCAAAAGCCTCACAAAAGCTTGAAGTACATTAAAGCTCTGCCAGAATTAACCTTTGGTATCGATTTACAGCTGAAGCTTAGCAGTTGAAGTTGTTAACAGTCCAGTTCAGTCCAGGCATTTCCAGTCCAGCCCGGATCAAAGCCTCCTATCCAGACAGAAATGAATTTCCAGCTGTCCTTTCATTTTTCTAGCATGGATATTTATTTTTATAGTTCTGTAAAAGGCAATTCTGCCCGAGACAGTTTAAATTCCATCAACCATTCTGGCCATAACAACTTCTTTATACTGAGATAAATTATTAAAGTCCTCACCAGTTTGAGGCAAGAAAAAGAACTTACTTGGGAGATATTCCTCACCCAAATTCACAATCGTTTGTTTGCAGAAATCAGTAACTTAGGGCGCAAGTTATCCATTTTAAACTAAGTCTGCTAGAATCTTCATTGCTAGCAGTGGCACGCTCGCACACCAAAGAAAGCTGACTTGTTGACCAGTCAATGGTTCACAAGGCAGTGGGGAACTTTGCCCTTCCACCACAAGAGTAAACGCAAAACGGGTGAACAATTTGGCACGCCCAGTGGGACTTCTCAGTATACATATTCTCACAGAATTCTTCTCAAGTTTATGAATATTGGAAGCTCTAGCCAGAACCCACACCACGACATGGAGATAAATCAGGTGGCTCTCAGGGAAGGACTGGGGTCAGATGAGAGTGATGCCCGGCACTCAGCACATGGCAGCACAGGGAGTAGAAGATCTAGGACCGGCTCCAGAAGGATGAACCAAATATAGGAATCTGTGTTACGACAAGAGGTCACAACACAAAGGAGCCAGGACACTCTAAATAATATGACAGCCATGATGCAATGGCAGGTCAATAGGCAATTCAGAAAGGACCGTGAGGCTGCCATTGCCAGAATTCCAAATCCGGATGCTGTAGTCCAGCAGCTAGACCTTCCCTATGGTCCCCCACCAGGATTGGCATGGCCATATCAAGAGAATCCTCTTATTGCGCAGATAGCTTGGATGCCAGAACGTGAGGAAATTCAGGCTGGACAGAGGGGAGGAGCTCTTACTGTCCAAGAACGTCAGGCCCTAATCCGGCCAGAAGGCCCTGCACCAGGATAGATTCAGCAGAATCAACCAGAGCCTCAGCCTATTCCACAACAGGTGGCCTCACAGGATCACTCTTTGGCAATTCTGCCTTAACAGCCAGCAGTGTTGCCCTACAGACCCAGAAGGATGGATCCCAATCCATTCCCTCCACCCGCAAGAGGAAGGAGAGGCAGAGGGGGAAACTACCATTTTGCTAACATTGACAGGAACAAGCAGGGGCAAATTGGAGGAACCGCCCAGATCTGGAAGAACATGAGGAACACAGGGAAGAAGTTCTGCCTAGGCCATGTAGGGCGGAACCCAAGATTGATTACGCCCAACCAGAACAGGGGCAAAATCTCCTCCCTATTAATGCCTTAAATGACATGGGGGCATTGCAAAGGATGATCAGAGAAATGATGGAGCCTGAAGCCAGAAGGGGAGAGAGGCGCACCTACAGAAAGCCATATCCACCTTACATTGATCATATACCCTTATCCCTAGGTTTCAAAGTACCAAACTTCACTTTGTTTAATGGAGAGGATCCCCATGCTTCATCAGTCGAGCACATAGGCAGATTTTCTGTCCAGTGCATAGCCATAGAGAATAACCCGCTGTTAAAGCTAAGGCTTTTCGGGAATTCTCTCTCTGGACAAGCTTTCACTTGGTACACCAATCTACCAGCAAATTCTGTTCAGACTTGGGAATATATGGAGAGTGTCTTCCATGACTACTATTACAGGATTCAGCCAGAAGTTATCATCAGTGACCTTTCTGCCCTCAAACAGAGTGAAGATGAACATGCCCAAGACTTTATAACCAGGTTCAGGAAGCTCAAAATGAAGTGCTGAATCCCCATGGAAGAAAGACACTTCATCCAAATGGCTCAGGCTGCCCTCAAGATCTCTCTAAGAAAAAGATTTGATGGGATGCTGTTTGGAGATCTGGCAGAACTGGCAGATAAAGCATCCAAGTACGAGGAGTTGCTCAGGGAAGAACAGCAGAAGAGGAACTCTTCCAAAGGCACATATTACAAGTCCCCTTCTTCTTCAATACATATGATTGAAGTAGAGTCAGAAGAAGACACAGAAGGCTCGGAGGAGAGAGAGATTGTCGTGGCAGAAATGACAAAATTAAAGCACCCCATCAGTTGTAAGGCTCTTACAAAGCCTCCAAGAGATCAGAAGCCGCCACCATTCACATGAGGATTTATTCCAAACAAACCCACACATAATAAGGTATACTCCTTTGATCTGACCAAGGTGGATGCTTTGTTTGATGAAATGCTGCTACAAAAAGCAATAGAAACACCCCACGGGATGCCCAAGCCAGAAGAACTCTAGGGCAGACAGTATTGCAGATGACACAATTCTTGGAATCATTCTACCAATAGTTGTGTTGTTTTCAGAGACGTCATACAGGAAGGGATAACAGCAGGAAGACTGAAGCTGGCAGAGAAACCTCCATCTGTCACAACAAACCCTTTTCCCCCAGCGCAAGTCAACATGGTCAACTTAAATTAGCCAAAACAGAAGAGGGGCCGACCAGCGGCAGAAGCCAGCTCCAGCAGAAGCATAATGGTTTCAAAGGAGACTATTGAAAGACCAAAGGCAACTATCTCAGCCAAACAGGCCAGAAGAAGAATGTCCATGGACACAGAACTAAAGGTCAAAGAAGAAATAGAAAGGTTGCTCAAGGCAGGATTCATCAAGCCAGCCATCTATGCTAATTGGCTAGCTAATATTGTACCAGTTTTGAAAAGAAAAACCGGGGCGGTCAGAATCTGTGTGGACTACAGAAATCTAAATGAAGCTTCTCCCAAGAATGAGTACCCTATGCCAATAGCAGACATGCTAGTAGATGGAGCTGCTCGCAACCAAATGCTGTCTTTTATGGATGACAATGTAGGTTACAATCAGATCATGGTGGCAGAAGAAGACATTCACAAGACAGCCTTCATGTGTCCAGGACACATAGGTGCTTTTGAGTACACTGTAATGCCTTTTGGCTTAAGAAATGCAGGAGCCACTTATCAAAAGGCAATGAATTCTGTCTTCCATGATATGATAGGGCATTCTTTGGAAGTTTATATCGATGATGTAGTGATTAAATCCCTAGAGGAAGGAAGCCACATATCAAATCTAAGGAGGACATTCCTAAGAATGAGGCAACATAAACTGAAGATGAACCCAAAGAAGTGTGTTTTTGGAGTCCAAGCAGGAAATTTCCTAGGATTCTTGGTCCACCAGATGGGCATAGAAATCGAAAAAAAACAAAGCAAAGTCCATCATAGAAGCTCTGCCGCATAGGAATAAGAAAGAATTGCAGAGTCTCTTAGGAAAGATTAATTTTCTAAGGAGATTCATATCCAATTATGTAGGAAAGATCCAGCCTTTCTCCTCTTTGTTAAGATTGAAACAGGAACAAACCTTCAAGTGGGAAGAACAGCACCAACGAGCTTTTGAGGAAATCAAGGATTACCTCTCAAATCCACCAGTTCTGTCCCCACCAAAGAGAGGCAGACCACTCAAGCTTTATGTATTTGCATCAGAAGTATCTATTGGGAGTTTGTTAGTTCAAGATAACAAGGAAGGGAAGGAACAGGCAGTCTACTACCTGAGCAGAACTCTGACAGAAGTGGAAAGAAAATATTCTGCAATTAAAAGACTTTTCCTAGCCTTGTACTTCACTGCTGTGAAACTCAGACACTACATGCTGCCATACACCATCTACATCATTGTCAAGACAGATCTGATCAAGTACATGCTAACAAGACCAATGCTGAGAGGCAGAATTGGAAAATGGACATTGGCCTTGACAAAATTTGCTTTCAGATATGTTCCTCAAAAAGCTATCAAAGGACAAGCTGTGACAGACTTCCTAGCAGATCATCCTAGGGAGGAGATTGAAAACATGGACTCTTTGGACATAGTAAATGCAGATCTATTGACCAGAGCTCACACCTGCCTCAACAATCCCATCTATTCAGTTCATCTCACACCTTGGAAGCTATATTTTGATGGATCAAAAACTGATATAGCTTCTGGGGCAGGAATTGTTTTGGAAGAACCGCTTGGAATCAGACACTGTTACTCTTTCCAATTAGATTTCCATTGCACCAACAACAAGGCAGAATATGAGGCTCTAATCATTGGCTTAGAAATGCTGGTAGAACTAGGAATCTAATATGTGGAAATCTTAGGAGATTCCATGCTCATTTTGAAACAAATTGCTGGGGAATATAAGTGCCTAAGTCCTTCTCTAACCGTCTACTTGGTGGCAGTTAGGAATCTTCTGACGGAATTCAGAAAAGCTACTTGGGAGCATATCCCAAGGGAAGAAAACTTTGCAGCCAATGAATTGGCTCAAGTAGCAACAAGCATACAAATGCCCGAAGATTGTGTACAAAGAATCATCAAGATAAGGAAGAAAAGCCTACCATCTGTTCTGACCAGGGGGATGAAAATAGATGTCAATTCTGCCGCAATCACTGAAGATGATTGGAGAAATCCTATCATGACTTACTTACGATATCCAACTCTGCCCTCTGAGAAGAGAGTCAGAATCATGACTTTGAACTACCTTATGTGGAACGAAGATTTGGTATGAAAGAGTAATGATGAGGTGCTTTTAAGGTGCCTCGGAAAGAAAGAATACATGAAAGTCATAGGGGAAACTCATGAAGGAATCTGTGGAGCTCATCAAGGTGGGAGGAAAATGTGCTGGTTAATTAGAAGGTATGGCTACTTCTAGCCAACTATGATGAAAGATTGCATTGACTATTCCAAGGGGTGTGAGTCTTGTCAAAGACACGGCCCAATCCAGCAGGCTCCTTCAGTTCCCATAAATCCAGTGGTAAAGCATGGCCCTTTAGAGGATGGGCAATGGACCTCGTTGGCAAGATCTATCCAGCCAGCAGCCAGCAGCACTGTTTTATCATTGTTGCCACAGACTATTTCATTAAGTGGGTAGAAGCCAAGCCTGTTAAATCCACTACATCTCAAGAGATTATCACTTTCATAGAAGAACAGATTATACAGAGATTTGGCATCCCATAATCAATCACAACTGACAGAGGATATTCTTTCATATATGGAGAAATGCTGGATATGGTAGAGGCATTCAAATTCAGGCTTCTTCAATTCACTCCATATTATGCTCAAGCTAACGGGCAGGCAGAATCAAGCAACAAGGTAATCATCAACATTATCAGAAAAATGCTTGAGAAGAATCCAAAGCAGTGGCATGAGAAGTTGTCAGAAACTCTGTGGGCATATAGAACTTCAAAAGGAGAAGCAACTGACATGACCCCCTATGCATTAACCTGTGGTCATGATGCAATTCTGCCTATGGAGATAGCTGTTCAGTCCCTCAGAATTGCTCACCAACATGATCTGGTAGGAGAAAACTACTCTCAAGCCATGCTGCTAGAACTGGAAGAATTGGATGCAAGCAGAATTGACACCCTCAATAAACTCCTGGCAGGAAAGCAAGTTGTGTCAAGGGCTTATAACAAAAAAGTCAAGAACAAGAGTTTTGAAGAGGGATAGATAGTCTGGAAAGCAATTCTGCCCCTTGGAACACATGTGACTGGTTATGGAAAATGGTCACCTACATGGGAAGACCCTTTCATAATCAATCAGATCCTTGGAATGGGGGCATACAGGTTGTAGGATCGAGAGGGGGAAGTTCACGCTGCCCCAATCAATGGCAAATGGTTGAAAAGTTTTTCCCAACTATGTGGGACTCACAAGCCATACAGACAGATCCCGGGATAGAGAAGGAACAACACTGAAAACTGTTTATTTCAGATTCTATCCAGAATTTATTTCTAATCCAAGTTGTTTACAGTTTATTTCTCTTTCGTTTTTAACCACTTCTATTTATTTCGTCAAAAGAAATTGAAAAACAAAATTGCAACAAAAATAAACTTTATTTAAAATAAATAGCCATGGGGCCTTCCCCATGGCAAATTGTTCATCATAAAGCAAAAATGAAAAGCATAAATAAACTAACAAAATCAAAATCCTAATTTCTTGAGAGTTTCTTGCAAGTTGGTCTTTTTAATGAAAAGTTCTTTTTGAAGCAGCACCCCCTGATGGATTGAAGCCTCTGCAATCTCCAAGGCTGGCCTGGAAGCTGCAAACATGCTCTGCACAAGAAAGGTAGCCTTAGTCTTGGAGCTCAGTCCAGCCCCGAGCCTGTTCTGCACTTCCCTGCACTCTGCCAGCTGCTTTTGAAGCTCTGCAATCTGCTTCTCCAATTTGTCTGCAGTGGCTTTGGCTTCCTTATACCTCGCCACCATCTGATCCAGTTCGGCCTTCTGCTTTGCAAAATCAGCCAAGTTGGCTTCATGAGTGGCCTTGTAGAACTCAAAGGTTTTGAAGGTGGGCTTGAGATCCTCATAATAGTCATGAAGGTTGAGCACATCTCTTGCCAAACCAAGGCTCATTTCAAGTATAGGTTTTGGGGCCATGTTCTGTCTGTGCAGTAGGTCCAGATCCTTCCTCAGCTGGTCAATGGCTTCCCTATCCTCATCCAGCTCCAATTCAGTAGACTGCCAGATCTTCAGCCTCTCCATAGCCTCATCCACTGCCTTGGATTTTGCCTTGCCTACAGGAGAGCTAAGCATCTCCAATCTGTCTAGCTGGGCATCTAAGTCCATAACTTCAAACTCCGCCAAATCTGGATCAGCAAAGGAGGCCGTGGTAGATGAACATGGAAGGGAATGAATAGGCATCTGTAAAAAACATGCAGAAACATAAGGCTTCAAGGGACTGGTCATCACTGCCAGAAAGCCAGTAGACCCGGGCACTTCTACCTAGAAAGACAGAAACAGTTAAGGAAGCAAAACTAGAATAGAATTACAGAAAATAAAGAGCAGAGTAAGAAGAAAATTACCATCACTTCAGGAGCAGCTGCAGCCACGTTCACTACACCTTCTGGAATTGCAACAGGTAATTCTGCCTGTTCCACAGGCTCGGATGCAGATTGCTCTGATTGTTCCCCAGTTGTTGGAGCAGCAATAGATTGTTCTGCCTCTGGATCCTCAAAAAGAGCCAACTCTAAGCTAGTTAGCCCTGCCCCTATGTCTTCCTATTGCTCCTGTTGCTTCTGAGCCAAGGCAATGCTCTCTTCTATCACCTCGGCAGGGATTTCCTCCTACAAACAGGCAGAAGTCGGGACAGAAGGAACAAAAAGATAGCACAAACTAATACTGCTAAAGAAACAAGACTCACCTATTCTTCCACTGTCTTGGCCTTCTCCTGAGGCCCCTCTCCTACTTCTTCCAACTCCTTCTCTTGGTCCACAGCCTCAAAAGCCTCTCTCAGCTCTTCATCCGTGTCAGAAGTGGCAGTGGGAACTGCTGCAGTTTCCTCTGTGGCCACATATTCCACCACTGTCCTCTTTATAAGCCTTTTTGACTTAGTAGGATGAGGGGAAGGGCCTTCAGCTGCAAGAAACAGAAAATGGGCCATTAGAACATGAGCCAGAACAGGACAGAACAAATATAGAAAAAAACTGAGGAACTGTCAAAATTCACCTGAAGTGGCTGGTTGAGCAGTTTCCTTCCTTTTCCTTCTAGGAGCAGGAGTGGCCTCGACGGAAGTCTGTTCTGCTTGACCTTCTTCTTCTTCTTCTTCTTCTTCCTCTCTAGAAGGAAGCTCCAGGTCCCCAGCAGTTATGACAGAAGTAGCTGCACAAGAAATGACAAAATCAGAAACCAATCCAGTAGGAAAAGGTAGAAGAGGCAGAAGAATATAAAATTACCAAACACTTCTCTAGCCTGGGCAGACTGATCACCAACATTTTGTGCCAAAGAAGGATCTATTGCAGATAGAACAAAGTGTTAGATATCACCATTACAAAATAAACCGAACAGACAAAATTAAGACACTATCTTCCAGAACTTGGGCATTAATGTCCTTTATGGTCTGCACCATAAACTTGTGAGTCTCCTCTCCTGTACGAACGACTCAGCCATCCCAGCCATCAAAAAGCACTGACAGTGCAGTGCTAGAAGCAGGCAGATTTCGAAATCGAGCCTTCCACCAGGCGTCAAAATCGACAGAACTGCAGGAGTTGGGTTCCCAGGACGGATATAGGGCGTCTGCACTATTGTTTATCTTGTTCACTGCAACCTGGCATCCTTATGCACCTCCAAGTCATCCATATCCCTTCAAGAAGAAGCCCGATTGCAACTCCTATAAGATTTAAGTGGAATAAGCTGTGGGCAGCCAAGCTGCCTTGCACAAAAGTTGGGATGATATACTTCTGCCCCCAGATGATAATTGGGAGGCTTCCCACCTCCATGGGGTAGGTCTCTTGGGAGGGTCACACTCAGGAACTTCTTCCTGAAATCAATTTTGGCTGCTTCTTCTTTCGGCTCCTTCTCAAACAAATGGTATCCAGGCTGGAACCAAGGATAGGTTCTCCTGATCACCACTTGCCACTGAGCTGCTGATCTCTTCGTGCAGTGCCTGAAGAACATCAGGTATTCTTCAATGGAACGCTTGGGCACTTCTGCCGACATCAATGGCTGAGCCAGAACTTGATCCTCAGGCAGAACTATGTCTGGGATACTCAATTCAGGGAAATAGACCTGCAACCAGATCTGGATCATCCAGAAGGCACCGGGAGCAGACAGATTTAGCGGATTCTCCAAGGTAGCAATATGCATGTTCTTGAATAGATGAGCCAGAACTGAAGGCCCGAGTCCAACATCAGTGTGGCTGTGCAAAGCTTCTGCCAAATGTCTGTACTCAAGCAAAACTGCAGAAGAGCGGTTGGGCATAATGAACTTGTTCAGCCAATACAGAAGGAACATCATATGCTGTTGGTCCTTATCCTTCTCAGCACTGAGTTTTCTGAGATAATTGGAGAATGAGCAATTCTGGTTGATCAAGGCTGGAGAGATGGTGAATGGCTTAGCTAGCTTTTCTTCCTATGATAATCACCAACAGCATCAACAAGTCTCCCATAGGGCCTAAACCCGAATATCTGAGCCATGTCTAGCAGAGTTGGAGCCATGGGGCCTATGCGAAAGTCGAAAGTGTTACTGGCAGAATTCCATAAACACAAAGCAGCAGCAAGCAGGTTCTCATCTTTGTTGACAGATTGCTTGGACAAAAGTATGGCTTCATAAATACCAGCCCGCTTCTAGTGAGGTCTATATCTTAGAAGGAGTCTGTCAATCTAGTCTACCCATTTCACTGAACTATTCCTCACCTCACTGGACGAGAAAGACTGGCTCAAATTCTTGCTAACCCAAGAATGAGGAGCCAGAACAGAAGTACTCTCAAAACATAGAGGAGCCTCAGCATCCTTCTTCATTAGTTTTGCCATCTCAGGAGGAACATGACCGAACCAGTGAGGCCTCAACACCAAAGTATTCTCGAACAAATGAAGGACATTCTCATCTAGGTTTTTTTGGGCAAAAGGATGGAGTTTGCTCCTAACCTATATCGCGTGGTTGTCAATTCCAGTCCCGGTAATATAATCTGGAGGAACTGGAACAGAGGAACACTGGGCACGGGATTTCGAGGAAGACATTTCTCAGGATTGTTCTTGTTTTAGAAAAAGTAAAGTTGGTAGGAAAGGCAAGGCAGGTTCTAGCAAAAAGAGAGTTGTCAAAGAGAAGCTCAAAAGAGTGAAGTCTGGAGTACTAGGTTTTCGAATGAACAAGAACAGTGGGTTTTGAATTTCTTTTAAAGAAGCTCAAAAACGTGGGAAAGAGAAGACAGGGACGTGGAGAAGACAAGGCGTCATCTGATATTGACTAGCTAGTAAAGAGCTAGCAACTGAGCAGTTTCCCACGGACACTAGCTTAGTGGGAAGACGTGGCAGACGTGGGATAACGGAAGAAACTAGCACACGCCAATTTAAAGGCCATCTCATTTAAGTCTGAAACCATTCCAAAAACGATTCAGACTTAGGGGGCATTGTTGGGCCTAAATTAGCACGCACAGCCCAACAAAAGGAAACCCAAGATCCAGAAAGGCCTAGCCTCAACCAGACCAATAGACTCAGGCCTTAAAAGAAAATCACCTCTTGAGCTCCAAACAAAATAAGCCCAGCACGATTTGGATAAAGAAAGGGACTCATCCTAGAACCCACGTGACATTTTTGTATTATCAGGTTTGGAAAAGTCAACAAAACCAACTAGCACAGAGTTGATAAATGGAAGGGTTAGTGGCTGGCAAACTGGAAGAGACACCTCTGAAATTCTGAAGATCAAATCCCTCTTACATATATATATTCAGAGATTTTTTCTACTTTGCAGAGAAGGTGATTCTCCCAAGAGATAAGCAAGCTACAATCTCAGAGAGAGATAAGCAGGAAAGCAGGGAGTTGTTCAAACTGAAGAAATCAAACTAACCATCACGGATGAAATCTCACAAGGAGCAATTAAAATTAGGAAAGGAGATTAGGTTTTCTTTTAAAAGAAAACAAAGAAGTGATCTTAAGGATTGATTGATGAGAGCCTATCTGACAAAATTTTAAACTCTTCTCTCTCTTGTATTTCTTTCTAGATTTTTAAAAGATTTGCCGCCCATTATTTTAAGAAAGAAACCCTAAACCTAAACATCTCTTATAAATAGAGGAGAGGGTGAACCAATTCAAGGACAATAAAAAAAAAAACAAACAATCAATCAATTACACAAAAAAAATCATCAAACAAACAAACAACTCAAAAATCAACCAAAAGCCCACTTGAATTCCAAGTGAAACCAGCTTTAGATCAGAATTCTCAAGGTTCAGACTTAGAAAATAAGTTAATTAAAACGAGATTTCTCTCGTTACAAATTTGGTTCAGCAAAGAACCAAGACAGGTAGAGCTTGAGCTTTTCCCAAACATGAAAACCTCAACAAATTTCATAGTGCAATCTCTAGCCCACAGAAGCCCTTGAGAACATCCACTTCTGCCCTTGCAGACTGAAGAAACCGCAGTTCTGCCCACTCAAAAGCCTCACAAAAGCTTGAAGTACATTAAAGTTCTGCCAGAATTAACCTTTGGTATCGATTTACAGCTGAAGCTTAGCAATTGAAGTTGTCAACAGTCCAGTCCAGCCCTGATCAAAGCCTCCTATCCAGACAGAAATGAATTTCCAGCTGTCCTTTCATCTTTCTAGCATGGATATTTATTTTTATAGTTCTGTAAAAGGCAGTTCTGCCCTAGACAGTTTAAATTTCATCAACCATTCTGGCCAGAACAACCTCTTTATACTGAGATAAATTGTTAAAGTCCTCACTAGTATGAGGCAAGAAAAAGAACTTACTTGGGAGATATTCCTCACCCAAATTCACAATCGTTTGTTTGCAAAAATCAGTAACTTGGGGCGCAAGTTATCCATTCTAAACTAAGTCTGCTAAAATCTTCATTGCTAGCAGTGGCATACTCGCACACCAAAGAAAGCTGACTTGTTGACCAGTAAATGGTTCACAAGGCAGTGGGGAACTTTGCCCTTCCACCACAGGAGTAAACGTAAAACGGGTGAACAGTTATATATAGTGTTTTTTTAAATTAGAATTTATTGATATGATTTTGTTATTTGGATAATTGGATTAGAATTTATATTGATTGATATTAGTATTTGGATTAGATTAGTGTTGGCTAGGGCTTGCTGTGTTTTTTTGCATTTCATCAGTTGAGGATTCTTCTCCATTCAAGTAAGTTCTAGACCTTAAAACCAAATTAATGATGATATTTTTAATTTAATCAAATCACTCAAAAGTATAAGGTTGCTCTTTGGGCGTCTGTGTGCCAGCCATTTAGGAAGATCTCTTCTCCGGGTTAGTTTTAGTTTTAGGAATATTTACACTACGATCTTATGGGGTGTTGATCTTGAATCCGTCACTGGGAACAACAACCACATAATTGTAGAAAGCAAAGGGAAATAAAAATACTCATTTTATCTATGATTTTATTTTGGCATTTTCTCCTTTCTCGTTCTTTGGGTATGTGAATTGGAAGAACTAGGAATATAGTTCAACTTTGAATCTTCTGTTTGTACCAAAATGGTTTGTAATTGTAAGCACACATGAGTGCACGCCCTAAAAGAGGTTTGACATAACCCCAAAGGAGGCATCACTCGACCACAACAGATCAAAACGTTGGAAGCAATTTCAAATCAATTGTACAATTTAATTATATACGGTAGCAATTTTGTTTTTTCTTTCGTTTCGGAAGATCGATCCATATGGAGCGAAGGTGCAAAGGGTTGGAAGGATCAATATCCCAAGGGTTCTCAAATAGTTTCAAAATATCTCCAAGCAAACGATTTAAGTTAACTTTGAGGGTATTTGAATCTATTCAAATGAGTTTTTGGGTATATTTGTAAGTTTCTAAAAACTGACATTTATGAATTTATGAGATAAATTTTCGCTATAAACAATAAAAAAAAATTAGGTGGGAGGTGTTACTATAATTCACTGAGAACTAAGTCATTAGGAATCCATCTTTTTTATCCATTATATCCTCACACAATTTTTAAAATTCCAAATTTGTCATCTACTTTAACCCAACAACAAGGACAATTTAGCATATCAATTTGGTTTCAATTCCAATTCATGGGAATTTAGTAAACAACTTAATTATAATGAATTAGTACCACTTCTATCCCAATTCCACATGATTTAGTAAACAACTTCAATATGTTCATATTTTAACTATCCTCAATATTCCTCATTAATTCAATTTTTCCTAATCTGATTACGAATTAGTAAATATGCCATAAATTTAAGAAAAGATCATCATCCTGGCATTCCCTTGGAGTCCTTACCACGAATGAAATACAAATCCAATACGTCATGCCAAAACTTGTGGTCCATTTCGACACATGAAACATCGTTCGCGGCAATTACTTCTTTACCATGCTCAACAATTTGAATCTACCAAACAAAGAGGGAGCCTAGGAAATCTTAGGGCCCGTTCGTTTATGTTTTTGGAGCACTTCTCATTTTCTTTTTCTCATTTTCACCAAATACACATCTGGCAAGCTAAATTGAAAAACACGAGATTTGTTTTTTGAAAATGAATTCATTGACCAGGAACAAATATTTGAAAATGACAATTTATCATTTTCTGAGAAAATGAAAACACGGCCTTTCCCTTTTTTTCTCAAACAAAAACAGAGTGAGATTTTGATTTTGTCATGATCAATTTTTGAGTTTTTTTGTTGGTGTTTGTGGGGATAAGAAGAACACAAATCGCAATTGGGATAGAAACTCTTGGTTAATTAAAAATACCATGTCTTAATTTTGAGGCCTTTTGAGGGCATTTCAATATATTCATATGAGTTTTTGACTATATTTAAAAGTTTTTATAAAAAAACTGACTTTTTGAAATTGGGGTCTAAATTTTGAAGAAGCCAAGCAGGAGAGAGTGCCGAAAACAAGAGAAGAGAAGTGAAGCGAGAGAGACGAAAATGGCGAGGAATTCAGGGGTTTTGATGCCGCAGTTGCTCTACCACCACGTCTGGGAGGTTTTATCAATGTAGTTTGAGCGACAGAACGATGGATTGGGTGTGGGGATGAGCTGGGCAGTGACAATAGAGTTTGAACGATTGAGTTTTTCAAAGAGTTGCATAGAGAGAGAGAGAGAGAGAGAGAGAGAGAGAGAGAGAGAGTTTTTTTTTGGTTGGCTTTTTTTAATTTTTTAATTTATTTTAGAATTAAAAAAGATAATGGAAAGTTGTGTTCCATAATAATAGGATCCATTATCTGATTTTTCTTTTAGTTTTAATTTTTTTTTAATATGAAAAAGTGTGAATTTACCATATTATCCTCATTTAATTAATAATTTCAATTCTTAATATTTGCCTTAACTAAGGGCATTTTCTGGCATTTTGAATATTTTACCATTCTCTGCATTTTGCTTTATATATATAGATAATGATTTATTAAATTTAATTATAGTTTTTTAATAAATATTATATTTCAATTAAATAAAAAGTGGGTCCTACATGCAACACGTCAACACTTAACAGATATTTTAACGGTCAATTTAACGACAGAACCATATTGCAACAAATTTTCAAGAGTTAATTTCAGTTGTTAACCTCAACTCTCACGGTCTTACCTTAAGGCGTGTTTGTCCATGCACTCTCAATTTTAACAATAAAGGGTGAAAGTTACGGGTACCAAATTGAAATTAACCAAAAATTTCAATACCGGAGTGACAAACATATAAAAAAAATTGTAAGTCACGCTTGGTGGGTGTAGGGAGACTAGTAAAACGGTTAATGACAGTTTATGACCCTATGGTTACACCCTTAAAACATGTTAGTCTATATCTTTTCAATTTTTACAATTACATACCCCAATCTTTTAAATTTATCACAATGTGGTTCCATTATTATGATTTCCGTCATATCTCTCTGTTAGTTGCCTACGTGGCACTATGTTTTTTTTCTTATATAAAAAAATTAAATTGATTAAAATATAATAAAATATTTATAAATAAAATAATCTCTCTCTCTCTCTCTCTCTCTCTCTCTCTCTCTCCCAATTTCTTCCCTTCCCTCTATCCCGATTTCTTCCCCCACCCATATTTCTTCCCCTACCCCGATTTCTTTCCCCCACCCAGATTTCTCTCCCCGGCGGATAAAATGCCCCACCAAATATCTTGCAACTTCAACTTCAAATCCTTCATTTATCATCCCCACTTCACAACAAAAACACCATGCATGTCCAACAATATTATCATCTCTACCTTCTGAAGCTACAAGTATCCTTCCTCCACCAACAATAGCATATGCTAGAAAATCTAAGTCTATACAACATGAGCAAGTCAGTGGGAACTCGTCGTCATCCCTTCTGTCATTCCTCTCCGAAGATATGGAGAATCCAAAGAGGGCAAATCATAAGATAAACATCAAGCATTATAAAATTAATTAATAAATAATTAAAAAAAAACATGTACTTCCGACAAATACCACAACCTCAATACAATAGGGTGAGGATAAACTTAATTAATGTTGTATTAAACAGGTCTATCAGTTACTGATTTCATTTCATAAATTACAAAAATCTTCCATTTATCTGAACCACAAGTAAAGGTGTGTATTGTTTATACCAAAATGAACAGCCTATGAAGACTAGACACGTGGACGAAACTAAACCTGACCATGGTAGCCTTCGGCACCATGCCTACCAATTCATCCATTAGGGCAACAACCTTTTTCGGGACACGTGGCATGCCCAAAATCATCGTCCACAATCCCATATCGAAATTCTAAACGAAATGCACACCTCCCAAGGCCTATAAAAGAGGACTGTTTCGTCTACCCAAGTGCAAGTAGTCACACGTAGTAATAATCTTGAAAGTCCAAGTATCGTATCCTCAAGGAGCAGGTAGGCAAATATCTGCACACAAAGAAATAATTAAACGTACCACAATAAAAATGACAAGCAAAATGGAAAAGTAATTTGATTTGATTGTTGTGGAAAATTGAGCTTAAAAATGAAATATCAATAATAGAAATGCTAAGGCATCAAGGTTCAATTCTTTAAAAAAAATATGTTTCATGCTTTTTAATCCAAATTATAACTCGATTAAAATCATCATTGAGAAACTTTAACCGGAAGATAAAGAAATTAAAACCAATTTAATTTTTCAATGTAATCTTTTATTAATGATTGTTCAGAAAATGGAGTTGCTTAATATCTACTCTTTTAATTTAAAAGCATGAAAAGTCAGTTCTTAACAATGAGAAAAATATAATTGAACTCATGAAAAGATAATAGCACTTAACATCAATCAAAATAAAAGGATATGAAAATATTGAACAACCAACAATAAAAGAATTTAGCAATTCATACCGTATATTGGATTAAAGAACAATTCACAAACTTACTCAAAGAACATTCCTTTTAGCCTTAGCTAGAGTTCTAGCAACTCATTACAAAAGAAAACATAAACTAAATGGATAAAGAAATCTGTCATAGGGGTGCCCTTGCCAAATAAGTTGATGGGTAATTTATAGTAGTCAATGAAGTGAGTGGGAAGTTAATACATTCATGGTGGGTGATGAAGGGTTTAATTGAGGGATTAATTGGATTAAACATGTGTTGATGGTGAAGAGTTAGTGGAAAAGAAATAACGGTGAGGTAAGTGGGCGTTAAATGGCTATGAATGACATGAAATAGGCTCTTTAGCTTCAACAGTTTTGTCTTCCCTTCTCCCTCTTTACTTCTCTTTATAATCACAATAATCTCACAAACAATTCTTCAATTAAATCCGCCAGCAATTCTCTTCGCACCTAGCTTGAACTTGGACAATTGTATGTCTTCATCTTTTGGCTTTCCAACTTCATTCACCTAATAAGTTCACCAAATTAATATAGAAAATTCATAAATCCAGTTGGTGAGAATAAAATGTAACAACAAGTGAAATTATATTCATTAAGCCAAAATTATATCATAAAGTCTCCAAAATAATAGTAAAAAGATGTAATTTGAGATTCTCATCAAGGACCCTTATCCCAAAAGAGAGGTAATCAGAACTAACGGCATACTGCCTATCGATTCGTCAGTTCAAGTTTGCTAAATCTGTACTTACTTAAGCATCAAAGAGCATTCGGCTGGTACCACATCGGTACCCTAGGTCTTACCGAGCGTTCGTTATCTTGCAGATCACGCACCCTACTGAGGCCCAAAGCATACCGAAGGCCCAACATCACTAAGTTGAGCGGGAAAGTTGCCGAACCATTTTTTCGCATCAACATGTATACTAACTAAAGGAGACGGGGGAACCTCATAAAGATATAATCTGATCAACCAAGAGTGAACAAGAACACATACATAAAAGTAAACAGATATCTCACATGATTCCTCAGATAATATATTATGTATTCTTAAGATGAACACTTACTACTCCCACAAGACAAGCATCTTCGCTGGGAAGATATCTGAGCATGCGGAGAAGAAATCGTGATAGAGGGAGACAAGAAGAGATTTATTTTTAATTTATATTTTGATTTTTAAAACATTTTATTTATATTTTAATTAATCTATTTATATATATATATAGCAAAATGCAGAGAATGGTAAAATATTTAAAATATCATAAAATGCCCTTGGTTAATGCAAAGATTAAGAATTGAAATTATTAATTAAATGAGGATAATATGGTAAATTCACACTTTTTCATATTAAAATAATTAAAAATAAAATAAAAATAAGATAATAGATCCTATTTTATGAAACACAATTACCCATTATCTTTTTTAATTCTAAAATAAATAAATAAATTTTTTTTTTTAAAAGCCTCTCGTAGGTACAGAAGCACTTGCGGAGAGGCTAATTTAAAAATTCATAATAAAGAAAAAAAATAGTGCCTAGGCAACTACAAAGAGATCGATGAAAACTTTAACCCTCCATTTGGAAAATGGAAAATCACTCGGAATTTAGCTAAAAGTCAAGAATTTAATAGGAGAAATTGACAATTCCCTCGTTTGGCAACTCAATAACGGAATTTATTAAATAACGTGGAAATTAGGGTATCAAATTTCCGAGTTTAATTTCCATCAAAGTATGTGTCATTTCACAATTTCTATAGTGTCATTTACAAATTCGACATATATAAATCTAAATACTAAAATATTCAATTACAGAAAATTGAAATGATGAAAATCTAAATTCCATCATTTTAGAATTCTATGTAATTTTCAATTTATTCATCCAAACATATGGTAATGGTAGAACTGCATAGTAAGTAATTGTAAAAGTTTAAAAAAAGAGTAAGCGGGAGAGAGGACCCAAAAGAAGAGAAGCGAAGTGAGAGAGACGAAAATGGCGAGGAATTTGGGGGCTTTGATGCGGCAGTTGCTTAGTAATTGCAACAACCCGTGTGCAGCAGGTCTTCTTCATCATCTTCACCAAAAATCCATCCAAAACCTAACTTCAATACGAAATACCACAACATCTTCACCACAGACAATCGATATTCGTTCCGCTTCCAAACCCTTCTCCCATTATTCCATTCACACCCCAAACCTTCAATTTCTGCAACAGCGACGATGCCTCTCGTCATCCTCATTGTCACTCTCAGAGGCAGAGTCAGATTCAGATTCAGATTCAGATTCAGATTCAAATTCAATAAATTTACTTTCAGGTCCCTCAAACCTATTCGTCATTGAGACTCTCAGCATGCATTATGAAGCACTTGAAAAAGTTAAAAGTATGCCAATTTCTCCACCAACCTCATCCCTTCTTAATTTTACAAATATTCAAAATAGGAAATTAAGTTTTGTTGTGGATTTTTAATTTATTTTTAATTCCTTGGCATAGATGATAGTTTGTCTGCGGTTTTCTACTACACTGCACCCGGGTGCCGGGCTAGTAAGTTCTGACTTCTAATCAATGAATTTACTTTCATTTTTTTGGTGTAAATTTACTTTCATCGATCAAGTCATTTGCAATAAATTGCCCTCTTCTTGTGCAGCCCGTAAGTGGATAACTCCAATCTTTGATGAGTTGTGTGAGCAATTCCGACATATAACAATGTATAAGGTTTACATGGATAAGGTGTGTAATTTTAATATGGTCTTCCTTCAACTTGGATTTATTTTATTTTATTTTTTAAATTTAGACGGTGTGCATGTAGTTTTATTGTGAATTTTATGAATCCCATCTTTAAGATTAGGTCAAAACAAACGCAAGTGTTCTCAGTCATGTAATCCAGTTATGGGTCTGAAGTTTAATAAATTACTGTAATTTTTTAAATTTTGAATTGGTTTATGGTTTATTGGAAACAGTATTTTGGTAATTTTCTTACTCCCCAGGCGTGTACTTCTTGTGCAGTATTATGGTATACTGTTTGATATAAAACATTGTTCTTTCCTTTGAAAGTACCACAACCAAACTCAGATTGTTTGGGCTGAGGGATAAGTTTGGCTTGGAACCTGTAATATGGATTTAATGATTAAAAAAGCACTGCATAAGTTGAAGGAAACATTTGAACAAGATGCGAAAATCATTAATCTAATCTTGGTATACTGTTTACTCGTATGAGATCATTGAAATGTTGGAACAATGCATGTGAAAAGATTTTGTTGACAATTACATCTTGTTTTGTTTTTCTTGTGGGATGTTTGGTTTTATGAACCATTTCATTGTCTTTGAGAAAAAATATATTTTTCTTTGATTGATTGGATATAGAGGAAGTTTCTGTAATAAAATTGATAGCATGAATACATCACTATAGACAAGAATACAAATATAGACCCACAAATCCTATCTTCCCTTACTGTTCTACATCAGTTTGGTTTCAGAGCATCCTCCACCATGTTCTTACATGGTGGGAGATCCTGTGAACTAGGGGCAGATGGTCAACTTGGCAACCAACTTAAGATCACTCTGCTACTGATGTAGCACAGGCCCTAGGAGTATGATTAAACACTTGAAACAGTAAGACCGAGAAGAATATAGAGGTGGAGGAGAAGAAAAGATAGATTCAATAGATGACAGAAAGGACAGAAATCAGAGAACCAAGAAGAAAGGACAGAAATCAGGGAGTTTTAAGAGAGGGTTTAGTCAACATCCAAATCTGAATTTTAAAGAACTACATGAGGGTATTTATAGCAAACTAAAACCTAGAGATAATAGGATAAAAATCCCTTGCTAAAACAGAAATCCCAAACTAGGAAACTGGAAAACTAGAGAATCTAGGAAACTAACAAATAAACTAGGAAACTAATCAACTTAGGTCCTACGCATTCTGCATCAACGACCTCAATGCCAAACTCGAGGGAGAATGATGCAGGACCAAAGTTCAAGTTTAATAAATGGAATTCTTTCTAGTTTCTTTCCTATGTAATAAATGCAATTTTCTAAGGTTTACTGTCTTTGAGTCTCCCTATGTCACATGATTAATGTATTAGGTGTAATAAATGTCTTTAGAATTACCTAGTGTGCTAATGTGGATCTTTCCAGATTCATGTACCAATTACCCTATAAAAAGGGGCTATTTTGTAAGCATAAAATCAGAGTTGGTGAAAGGAAAAAAAAGTTCTTGTGAATTTCCACTTGTGTGAGGCACAGGTTGTCTTAGAGTGATTCCAAGGCACCTTCGGTGTGATGCTGGAATTTATCTAATTTCTCAACTTGAAACCTTTGGTGTGATGCCAAAGGCCGGAGTTAGTCAGGATCTTTCATTTCTTCCTATCTTCCCTTACTGTTCTACATTAGTTTGGTATCAGAGCATCCTCCACCATGTTCTTATGTGGTGGGAGATCCTGTGTACTAGGCACAGATGGTCAACTTGGCAACCAACTTAAGATCATTCTACTTCAACATGTCAAACTGAAGTCAAGTATTCTGCAACCAGGGAGAATGATGCAGGAGGAAAGTTCAAGTTTAGTAAATGGGAGTCTTTCTAGTTTCTTTCCTATGTCACATGATTAATGTATTAATTTAGGTGTAATAATTATGTCTTTAAATTCCCCAGTGTGTTAATGGGGATCTTTCCAGATTCATGTAGCAATTTCCCTATATAAGGGGCTACTTTGTAAGCATAAAATCAGAGTTAGTGAAAAAAAAAAAAATTTGTGAATTTCTGCTTGTGTGTGAGGCACAGGTTGTCTTGGAGTGATTCCAAGGCACCTCCGGTGTGATGTCTAATTTCTCAACTTGAAACCTTTGGTGGGATGCCAAAGGCTTAGAGTGAGTCCAGATTTCCCATTTCTTCCTATCTTCCCTCATTGTCCTACATCATGTTTGTTCAGGGTGAAAGATAACCTAATTGGGTACATGATAACACAGATGTCTTTTCCATTAGCTATGCATTATTCCCTTGCCCATGTCATGCATTATTATTATTTTTTTTCCATACTCTAATTAAGATCCGACATGCAGTTGCTTATAGAAGAATCATGATATTATATTTTGTTGTGCCTCTAAATTAATGACCTAATGTTGTTTATTGTATCTACAGAATGGCCCTAAATGCCCATTGGACATATTTGGAATTTCTCACAAAAGGGTAAATGATCCGATCCTTCTATTTTGTTTTTATCAGAAGGTTACTTTAGTCAAACAGATAAGGTCAATACATCACTTCACTTCACTTTTCATCTTAAATTGGTTGGGATTCCAGGGAAGATGTTGCCTATACTTTTGTAATAACAATAGAAATATTGTTGGGATTCCAGGGAAGATTTGCCTACACTTCACTTTTCATATTCGACAGTCCATGATACTGTGAAGTAATCAAAATTATATTTTTCGAATACTGAACAGTTGAAATGAAATGTGCAACAAGGCATAGTGGGTGAATGATAACTTAATCATCTACACGATAAAACAAATATATTTTTCATTAGCTATGCATTCATCGCTCGCTGATGCAGTAATTTGTTTTCCCTACTCTAATTATGATCCGCCGTGCAGTAGCTCATAGATGAATCACAGTATTATTTTTTGTTATGCTTCTGAATTAGTAGACCTGATGTTGTTTATTCTATCTATAGAAAGCCCCTGAATCCTCTTTGGACAAGTTGGAAATTCACAAGACGGTAAATGATTTGATCCTTCTATTTTGTTTGAATGTAAATATCTGCACTTAGTTCAGTGATGTAATTTCACATGTGTTTCACGTTTTCAGACTAGTTCCAAATTTGGCTTGTATTTCTTATCATATTCTCATTAATAATTTAGAAAATTATAAACAAGCTATTCTTATCCTGGAAAATGGGCTAAGCGGTTTGTTCAAGCTGAGGGAATATATTTCAGCCCTGATTTAATCTTAAATGGAAGATTACTCTGCTGATGTGTGTGTTTTGCTGCAGCCAACGTTCCATTGCTATCTAAAGGGGGAACGGGTAGATGAGCTTGCCGGTGCTTCAGCCAGACACTGGAAAAAAAGACTTGAAAATGTCTACAAGTAATTCTTCTCCCTGTTAATCTACTTTTTCGGGATTTTGTGTATTTGTGAGTGGAGTCATATATTAAGGTTCATGATTGTTGAAGTCGAGGTTTCAATAAATGTGATCTTTCTATGTGTTTTTTTAATTCTTTCTGATATATGGATGAATGATATAGTAAGTTACTAAACTGACCCTATTGTTGAATTTTTCTCATATGGTGTACTTCCTACTCAATGTATGTAAAGCCCGTCTGGGATGAAGAAAAGGAAAAGGAGAAGACAAGGTAAGAAAGATGAGAATGATGGAGGACTTGTTCAGGTACTTCCAAGTAGGTTTCCTGAAACATCACTGCCTGGAGTGTTGTCGAATCTTCAGGGATCGACTTATGTAGCAACATGCCGTTTTGGGATGTTGGCTTTTGTAAAGGGGATGCTTTTATGTCAAGAGAACAGAGAGAGATTTTCTAAATTGGAAGGTCGTGAATCCAAGTTCGAATGGTTAAAGCATGAAATGGCTGAGAAATGAGTTAGAGGCACTTGTATGTTAAGTTGCCTGATATTATTTTATATATGGTTTAGTTTAGACTTGTGTGGTGCTGAATTTGGAATTTGGATAATTACCTTATGCTTGACTGTCATTTAGGTAATTGTTGTATGTTGACTGCTGTGGTATAATTATGATATGTTTGGCTTTTTTTGTCTTCCTATTGTTTGAACAGTTCTGGGAAACTCTTCTTAGCAGAAGTATCAAAATAGTAAGTATAGATTTTAGGACAGACTACAAAACCCCTAGAGTATGGTGTCAATTTTAATTTCATACTCATTTTGTAAGACATTTACAATTCCATACTCAAATTCCCATAAACTTTACAAATTGGTCTCTTTGTTACATAACTCAAAACCATTTGATTCTTATAAACGCACAAAAAAAACCCAAAAATTAACAACTATCCTATTATACATATTTTACATTCCGGTTATGCCCTTTTACATCAAATTTTGAGAAACAAACCCAAAACTCACCAGCTCAACACTTATTATTTATTTATTTATTTATTTTATTAAGTGAGATTTTCATTACAACACCAGAAAATGCACCAGAACACACAAACAAAAGTAAGCGACCGAAATAACAAAATACAATCACAAATCAACTCGGTGCTCATACCAGCCTATAAAAAAAAGGGACACTGCAAACACAACCGAGTAATGTATATTCTACCTTTTACTTTGTCCAAAGATCATCCACTATTGATTAATTGATTAATTAGCTAGTAAAATTTGCTATTAATCCTGTGCTAAATTTTATCCAGCAATAGAATAAATCGAATAGATTAATACTTTTTCAATTTCAGAAAAATATAGCATGAGAAGCAGACTAGGTAGACTTTAGTCATCACCAGAAATAAGAGCACTTTTTTTTTTAATATCAAAAAGGATTTGAGGGCTTATGGGAAGCAGAGAGGGGGGTGTCCCTACTTCTTGGCAAGGCATATGGTGCAGTTCTCCGATGTGGTGGTTTACAATTATCAGTATATGCTTGATCCTTAAGTGGCTGGGATTATTTCTAAGGAAATGCAGGAGTCTATTGTGGTGTTTGATGAGGCTCACAGTATTGATAATGTGTGTATTGAAAAGCAGTGTTAATGCACTTGAAGTGTACTGCTAATGCCCTTGAAGCGTTTTAAGTAAGCTATCTAATACATTTAAAAAACACTGCTAATGCCCTCGAAATGTACTGCTAATGCCCTTGAAGAGTACTGTAAATGCACTTGAAATACACTATTAATGCCATTGAAAAGGAGTTCTAATGCACTTGAAATCTACTGTTAATGTCCTTGAAACTAGTGTAAAATTTAAATAAAATCCAAAAACTACTGCAAAATGCAAGGAGAAAAAAGATGATTAGAGATCGGGTAGAAGGATTGTGGAAGATGGATGATGCCTTGGTTTTTGTGAAGTGTCTGTTTTTTGATTTACTTCTATTGGGTTTGGGAGATGCATTTGTTTGGGTTATTTATTTATTTTTATTTGCTTCTATTTTTATTTATTTATAAAATGTGGGTTGGGCTGATTTTAAGTTTTCTTATGTTTTTTTTATGAATTTTTGGTTTGGTCTTGGTTTAAGAATTGTTATGAAATTTATACTAAAAGTGCAATTATTGCTTAAGTAATCATAAAAGCAAAAGTAATAACAATATTCTTTCTGTACATAGCGTACAACCCTCACATATACAGAAATCATTTTGATGTATTCAAAATTACCTTACTCTTTTGCACTCTTACACGAACATGAACCCCAATTTCTTATCAGTATAGAATTACGTTCTATGAGCAAACAATATAGATCAAAATCTATTAGATGACCTACAGAGATAAATATACTCATCCATCAAATAGTTGTCATGCAATAAGAAACAATGGTTGTTGTTCTTATAGACTCCATCTTCCATGTAGAACGTATTTCAAGCCGAATTGAGGCAAAGAATTTTAATGCAATTCCTCCAAATGTCACTTGTGGAGTCTCATAGTATACACCAATCTTGCAAAATGAACGAATGATGCCATTAGTTTCTGGAAGTGAAACAATTGTGATTAGCGGAAAATAACTAATAAAGAAACCTAAAGAAACAATCAAAATCATATACATTTGAAAAATTAATGACTCAAATTCAGCTGCTTAGACCTAGGCACTCAAATCTCAATTATTGCAACGGACCCAAGAATGGGTCATCATAAGTGTCTGAAAACTTTAAGGCTCAAAGTCAGCTGCTAAGATATAGGCACTCAATCTCAATTGTTTCAATGAATCCAAGTACATACCATCCATGGGTTAATCATTTTATTAGTCCTTGAACTTAAACCCGGTTTACATCTGAGTACCGCAATTTTCAAAATGTTTCTCGTAGTCCTTTAACTTCAGTTTCGTTTGGACAAATGGTCCTGCCATTAATTTTGTTAACTTTTCTGTTAAATGCATAAGCAAAATGATATTTTCTTTTATTCATTTTTTTGGTTTTAATACAAAAATATCATTTTGCCCCTGCATTTAACAGAAAAAGTTAATAAAATTGACGGCAGAATCATTTGTGCTAACGAGAGTACTTCCATACCCACAAACTGTTCTGCAATGATCAATCAAAACAATGATTCAACAACAATTTGACTTTACCCTTATTGCATGAGACTCTGCAAACTTAGGAAGGTAGTTTCCCATAGACAGTGACAACACATCAACCCCATCATAAATAGCCTCATCGAAAGCTTTCAGCTGATCAGCCGCAGCACCCACTGCAATTGGTGCATACCAACATGGCCTGTACACGGCCAAATGAGCCCAGGGTGCACCACCTCTAACTACTCCTACGATGAGGCCTTTGTAACTTACATTGGCCACAAAGGAACCAGCAGCGGTTGTGGCAGTGTGTGTGCCATGTCCCATTGCATCTCCAGGAGACAAGAACTCTGGGAATTCAGTGGTGTTGAATGGTCGTTCATTGTCAGCAAGGAAACCATCTTTGAACCACTTTGCTCCTATAAGTTTTCTGTTGCAGTCTGTTGTGGCATTGAAGCGTTCTCCTGATTAGCACCGACCCTTCCAACAGGTTGGGATTGGCCCAACCCCCTCATTATTTAACATTTTTAGAAGAGAGGCCTAGATAATCCCGACTCCTAGTATTTTGCAGCGTATGAAAGCTACTAGGCATGACATGAGCAACCCCGGATAACTCTAAAACAAGATTGAACATAAAGAATATACTCTGTAATTATAATCAGCATATATGCATTGATCAAAAGTACTCATAGAAGAAATTTTTTTTAAGCCTCACTGCAAAACCAGAGAAACCATGTTTATAGCTATAGACTATTGAGCCAATGGCTGTTCTCACAATTCAAGCTGCTTAATCAGAAGTGAAACTGAAGTAGCATGAAGTGTAAAAGTTACTGATTTGAATGAAAGTAAAACTGTTAGGGCATTATTCCTCCCAACAACTGATGCCAGCATCTCATGATGTGAACTGGTTACAAGCTCAGGATGCTCATGCTACTTCTCCCCCCGTATAAACTATGTGAAGCTATATATCAAATAGACAGTAATTAGTGGTAATCCTCCATAAATTAAGAAATTAGAGAGAAAAAGATTTCAGGTTTTTGAAGCAGCACTTACTCTATACTATCGGTGCAATCAGGGTGTCCTGGCCATTGAAAACTAACAAAAGACTACCGCAGTGAAAGTGTGTGGCTATCTAATTGTCATAAACCTCGAGGGAGTTAAGTGTAGTTTGAAGTACTATTTTGATTTGGTGCTGGTGCAAGTGATCCTAAAACATATGAGATTGGTTTGAATGTGAAGGTATATGATACTATTGGGAGCAGAGTGGACAAGGACCCACCTTACAGGTAGGTTGCCAATTAAGGATAAGGTGTTTAAGTGGTGAGGATTCATCATTCGCACATGGCTTAGACTCACTATTATGTGGTTTTTACTGCCCATACTCATTGGTGTTGTAGACTGTTGTTCGCATTTGTATTGAGCCTGAAAAAATTGAGACTTTGAGTTTGAGGTCAGTTCTTGACCTTCTGAAAGGGAGATCAGAAGGTACATACACAAAGCAGAGTCTGATAGGCAGTCCACAAATCCAATTCTTTCCAAATTGTATTTAGCAAATGTATCTCTTGGCTCTTAAAACTGCTGGTAAACAAAACAAAACAACCCGCCACAAATCCAATTCTTTCTAGATTGTATTTAGCAAATGTATCTCGTAGCTCTTAAAACTGCTAGTAAACAAAACAACCCGCCTTAATTGAAAAGTGTTCAAAGTCATCTCTCAATACTTTTAAATTCCACATAAACAAATAAGGTTTTATCAAAAGGTAGAATTGGGAACGGGAGTAAAAATAATTTCCCAAGCTCAGGGAATGGTGTCGCTTCTAGCAAAGTACATCAAGACAGACAACTATATGACACAAACAAATTCATCTAAAATAAAATCTCAAAGGCTGGAACCAAAAGGCCACAATTATAGGCAACTATATGCTTGGTTCATCTATCATGTATTTTTAATGTATAAAATATATCCATTCAACTATAGAACCAACTATATGAATGGTTTATCTATCATGCTTGGTCTCCCCCATCTTGTTTCTTCAAGGCCTTGCCTTGTCTGCTTTCCACTATCTTCTTTCTTTCGTTGAATCTGAGATCAAACAAGATTAATGAAATTCTGAGTTTTAAAAAAAAATCAAAATTTAGTTATTGTTTCATAACAAAAAAATTGGAATGGAATTAGATACTTATATTTAGAAGTATCGATAAAACAATAACCACCTTTCAAAGTAAAGGCTGTGAATGATGACAAGAATAACTCAAGGTGATATAAGGATATCAAATAGCTCAACATGGATAAATGCTCGGGCCAAACTTCACTCATAAGTAAGTCAAACCATGCTTCATTCTCCAACTAAACCAGAAAAAGACAAGAATAAGTATGGATATTAAGCACATCAACAATAATAAATTATTAAGGCAGATGTCATATACTTACATGGGTGTCATACTCCGCACAATTTCTTACAGAGATGAGAAAGTGGATGGGATGTCCATCCACCATCCACTTAGAAATAATGAATTTAACCTCATTGCTAATTTTTTGCTTAGTAACAAGATTATCTCTATTAGAAGTAATAGGATTATGAGCTCTCAATTGAGTATGTCACATCACCACAAATTCAGCTTCATTTGCAAAGCAGCCATCCCAACAAACCTTGTATAATTTTATTGCATTCTCCCTTGCAACAAAATTGGTACTATAAAAAAAAAGTCTCACAAACAAAAACCTAGCTCTCATCTTCTCTATATGTGTCTTCAAGAAAGGGCTATGCAACCATAGGGACAACATGACATTGAAATTTAACAAAAATGACATCTTATCAGAGATAATATGTCGTAAAAGTTTCAAGAGAGACAAACCATTCTTGAAAAGAAATGAGAGCTTTTTCTACTGACTTCCCTCACTCTAAATAATACATACAAGGATACAATGTGTGTTGTTTGTCAATTATCATAATGGGATTATTTTAATAACAAAGTCCTATCACTAGGCATGCAATGCAACGTGGAGAACAGATGACAGAATTATCTATCTATAGAGGTTATTTACTCTTGTTTGCACACTTAGAGGAAGAGACACCAACATTAATTTTCATATTAAAAAAGATGAACAAATCCTTTATGATAGTATTAAAAACGTTTTTGAAAATATACCGACAGTTCAATAATAATGATAATATGTGACTTACGTGACATCATTGTGCAAGATCCTGCAAAAGAAATCTAGCTCATTGGGCAATAAATCATCATGAATGATGTCAAATACGTGTTTAAGCATTCCGGCATCACTGACTCCAGTCAACGAAAATTTTGGACAGCCTAACACCGTGCTTCTATTTCATAGCCATATGTTGTCCACGGTGACATTCCCATGCAAATCACCAATACAATCGAGCACATGAACAAGGGGAGGAATAATAATTACCTGTAAATAAAAAAGAGGAAATGAGTGATATAACCAGTTACCGGATCGGTAATTGGCATTTGTTCCTTCTTCATCATTGTAACCCAAGATGAAAGCGAGGACTCTACTGGCTCAGTGAAGACAATTGTAAAGCCATATGAAGTGGGGTATAATGCCTTGATGGATAGCACATAGCCTGGATTGCAAACCTCCTGTAAACTCAGCCACTTCTGCATGTCTGCAAAATCAAATTTCCTGATATAGTGTACTGTGGCAGGAAGGTCACAGTAAGTCTCGTGGTAAACATGCAGTGGGAGAGTATCATCTTCGTTGTGCTTGAAAATTTCGTACGGCTCAAAATTTAAACAACCGGAACTGCCAAGAGGAAACCTCTCCTGGTCATGTAGATAAGACCCGATTTTGCCCCACCCTAAATGAAGTAATAGCAAGGTTGGGAGAAATAACATGGCTTGAAACGCCAATGCAAATCTGTTTACTCTGTTTGCTTGGAGACAAAAGCTGGTTGATAACACACATCATCTGATAATTTCAAGCCAATCTGTTATCAACTAACTTTTGTCTTCAAGCAAACGGAGCAAACAGATTGGCATTGGCATTTCAAGCCATGTTATTTCTCCCAGCTTTGCTACTACTTCATTTAGGGTGCGGCAAAATCAGGTCTTATCTACATGACCAGGAGAGGTTTCCTCCTGGCAGTTCCGGTTGTTTAAATTTTGAGCCTTACGAAATTTTCAAGCACAGCAAAGATGATACTCTCCCACTGCATGTTTACCACGAGACTTACTGTGGCCTTCCTGCCACAGTACACTATATCAGGAAATCTAATTTTGCAGACATGCAGAAGTGGCCGAGTTTACAGGAGGTTTGCAATCCAGGCTATGTGCTATCCATCAAGGCATTATACCCCACTTCATATGACCTTACGATTGTCTTCACTAAGCCAGTAGAGTCCTCGCTTTCATCTTGGGTTACAATGATGAAGAAGGAACAATGCCAATTACCGATTCGGTAACTGGTTATATCACTCATTCCCTCTGTTTTGTTTATAGATAATTATTATTCCTCCCCTTGTTCATGTGCTCGATTGTATTGATGATTTACATGGGAATGTCACCATGGACAACATATGGCTATGAAACAGAAGCACGGTATTAGGCTGTCCAAAATTTTCATTGACTGGAGTCAGTGATACCAAAATGCTTAAACATGTATTGACATCATTCATGATGATTTATTGCCTAATGAGCTAAATTTCTTTTGCCGGATCTTGCACAATGTTGTCACATAAGTCACATATTATCATTATTATTGAACTATCGATATGTTTTCGAAAACGTTTTTAATACTATCATATAGGATTTGTTCATCTTTTTTAATATGAAAATTAATGTTGGTGTCTCTTCCTCTAAATGCACAAACAAGAGCAAATAGCCTCCATAGATAGATAATTCTGTCATCTGTTCTCTACATTGCATTGCAAGCATAATGATAGGACTTTCTTATTAAAATAATCCCATTACGATAATTGGCAAGCAACACAAATTGTACTCTTGTATGTATTATTTAGAGTGAGGGAAGTCAATAGAAAAAGCTCTCATTTCTTTTCAAGAATGGTTTGTTTCTCTTGAAACTTTTACGACATATTCTCATCTTGAAACTTTTACGACATATTCTCTCTGAGAAGATGTCATTTTTGTTAAATTTTAGTGTCATGTTGTCTCTATGGTTGCATGGCTCTTTCTTGAAGACACATACAGAGAAGATGAGAGCTAGGTTTTTGTTTGTGAGACTTTTTTTTTACAATACCGATTTTGTTGAAAGGGAGAATGCAATAAAATTATACAAGGGTTATTAGGATAACTGCTTTGCAAATGAAGCTGAATTTGTGGTGATATGGCATACTCAATTGAGAGCTCATAATCCTATTACTTATAACAAAGATAATCTTGTTACTAAGCAAAAAAGAGCTATGAGGTTAAATTCATTATTTCTAGTGAATGGTGGATGGACATCCCATCCACTTTCTCATCTCTGTAAGAAATTGAGCAGAGCATGGCACCCATGTAAGTACATGACATCTGACTTAATCATTTATTATTGTTGATATACTTAATATCCATACTTATTCTTGTCTTTTTCTGGTTTAGTTGGAGAATAAAGCATGGTTTAACTTATTTATGAGTCAAGTTTGGTCTAAGCATTTATCCATGTTGAGCCATTTGATATCCTTATATCACCTTGAATTATTCTTGTCATCATTCACAGCCTTTACTTTGAAAGGTTGTTATTGTTTTACCAATACTTCTAAATGTAAGTACCTAATTCCATTCCAATCTTTTTGTTATGAAACAATAACTAAATTTTGATTTTTTTTTTTAAACTCAGAATTTCATTGATCTTGTTTGATCTCAAATCCAACGAAAGAAAGAAGAAAGTGGAAAGCCGACAAGGCAATGCCTTAAGAAACAAGAAGGGGGAGACCAAGCATATATCAAGCATGATAGATAAATCATTCATATAATTGGTTCTACAGTTGAATGGATATATTTTCTACATTAAAAATACTTGATAAATGAACCAGGCATATAGTTTCCTATAATTGTTGCCTTTTGGTTCCAGCCTTTGAGATTTTATTTTAGATGAATTTGTTTGTATCATATAGTTGTCTGTCTTTATGTACTTTGCTAGAAGCAACACCATTCCCTGAGCTTGGGAAATTATTTTTACTCTCATTCTCATGTTTTTCTAATGAAAGAATTCTACCTTTTGATAAAACCTTATTCGTTTATGTGGAATTTAAAAGTATTGAGAGACAACTTTGATCACTTTTCAATCAAGGTAGGTTGTTTTGTTTATCATTTTGTTTTGAATTACCACCAGTTTTGAGAGCTATGAGATGCTTAATTATATTTCTTGGAAGCAGAGATGCATTTGCTAAATACAATCTGGAAAGAATTGGATTTGTGGACTGCCTATCAGACTCTGCTTTGTGTATGTACTCTTTGATCCCCCTTTCAGAAGATCAAGAACTGACCTCAAACTAGTCTCAATTTTTTCAGGCTTAGTACAAATGCGAACAACAGTCTACAACACCAATGAGTATGGACAGTAAAAACCACATAATAATGAGTCTAAGCCATGTGCAAATGCAAACGATGAATCCTCACCAATAAACTTAAACACCTTATCCTTAATTGCCAACGTACCTGTAAGGTGGGTCCTTGTCCACTTTGCTCCCAATAGTATCATATACCTTCACATTCAAACCAATCTCATATGTTTTAGGATAACTTTGCACTAGCACCAAATCACAATAGTACTTCAAACTACACTTAACTCTCTCGAGGTTTATGACAATTAGATAGCCACACACATTCACTGAGCGACACATGTCAAAACTGGTTTAATTTTTAAAAATTAAAAAAAACTGTGGATTTGCTCCATTGTGTTTTCTTTTTTATTTCTTTTAATTTTTAAAAAAAATTAGACCAGTTTTGACACGTGTCGCCAAATCGTGAGGGTCCTTTTTTATATAAAAATATATATATAACCGCCTGGCTATACTCAGATTTTTTTATTTTTTAAAAACAAGTACAGCCGCAGGACTATACTACCAAAAAATAAAGCTGGATATCCAGAGGCAAGAACCAAATTTGAAAAAAATAAATCAACAGCTAGCCCATATTCCTAAGAGTTTGTCCAATTTTCATATCTACAATTTGGAAGGGTCTCATTCAGTTTGGAAACAGAGAAATCGTTTGGTTTGCCATAACAAAAACTACTACGGTTCTCTTTCAGTGAGAAGGTTTCTACATAAAATTGGATTGCTGATTGGTGGTTAAGTTTGATTGTGTTGGTTGGTTTGGTTTATAAAAATGATAGGGCTTTTGTAGGCTTTGTTCTAAGGAATTGTACGTGTTTCTGAAAATAGTGGCTTCTCAACAGGGCTTGTCATGAACAAAAATAATAGAAACAAAAAAATCCATAATTGAGATAAAACTCAGAGGAACATTCATCTACATAAAGGATAAAACCAAAACTAAAAAGTCCAATAATAAGAAGCAACAAGAACCCTAAATGAAATATCACATTTTTCATATCAAACCAGTCTCAACTCTGTAAATGAAAAATGCAAACCGATCAGGAAAAAAATAACACTAAATCCAAACCCACAAAAACATAGAGAGATATCCAGAGGCAAGAACCATATTTTGAAAAACAAAAAATCCGGAGCTAGCCCAAAACGAAAATAAAAGCCTAATACAAACGCATTATCACATAAACAGATATATAGATCAAATTTGAAATATTGAAGGTACAAATTCACCTTTCTTGATTTCATGAGATGAGAATAGGAGAAAACCACTGGAGGATTTCTTGGGTATTAAAAAAGGAATTCTTCCTTTCATTAGAGGCATGGCTTGAGGAAAGAAGAAGATGCAGCCAGCAGCTTGAGGATCACTTCGTGGGGTATGGGGAGGAATAAGAAGAAAAGAAGAAGAAGCCGAGGAAGAAGAAAGAAAGAAGAAGATGGAGAGCAGATGCAGCGGCGGGAGGAAGAAAGAAGAAAAAGATGGAGAGAGAAGAGAAGAAAGAAGGGATGGGAGAAAAGAAAAAGAAAAGGAGAGTCTGTGGGGCAGGAAAACCCTAACTTTTTTAAAAAAATGTTTTAGATTGGGATAAATAGAGTAATTATACAGACACTGCACAACAAGGCATATTAGTCCAGTGGTAGTTGGGCTTTGTATCCGAATACTGAACAGAGTTCGATTCCGGCATTTGTCTGAATTTTTAGGCAATTTAATGGAATCGATTCGGTTCAGGTTTCACTGGTTTAAAAAATTCAAACCGGTACACCATTGGGTGCCGATTTTTCTGCCGATTTCAATAATTTTAATTAAAAAACCATACCAACCCACCAAAATCAGTCCAGTTCAGTCGGTATAAATGACCAGCCCTACTCACATGTATGCTACTTACGTCATCTCCAATCACGTTGAGGTTAATGATTAACTCTTACATTTTTTTTTTCTTGTTACTTTTTCTTGGCATTATTTTTGTTTCAACACTCGTAATTTAATTTTCTAAACATTTTAACCTAAAAAAATTAAAATTCCAAAACATAATAGAATTTCACTTAAAATAAAAACAAGTACAACACCATACATATCCATTATTTAGATTAATTATAAATATTATTTTGACCGTTGTATTTAAATTTGAGCCATTGGATGTGAAATTTTACCGTTGAGATTGCCTAAAATTAATCATGATCATTGATTTTATAGCTGTTGGATTTTTTATTTTTTTTTTAACATAATATCAGATTTTTTGCACAAAGTTGCTACCCAAACAGAAATTGTCAGCAGGCCTAGCAAATTTGGTTAGTAAGTGGGCTTCCAGCTAGATTTAAAAAGAATGATTTTGGGCCCATTAAAAAAAAATCAATTCAGGCAATAATGGGACTGGAATTCCACCCCGAATTTAAGATTTCTCAAATTTTCACCCCCTAAAATACATGGGTTGGAGAAGCTTTTTGGACTTAAAACTCAAATTTTAAGTTTCCACCTCTTGGGTTAGAGATGGTCTTATAAGGTGGAATACAAATTCTACCTTTTACTGGTTTTTTACTTTAAAGAGATAACTTTGACCTCTTCTATCTTTGTTATGGCGACAGCTTATAATTTACTTTTTTTATTTTTATCGAAAGCTTATAATTTACTTTTTTTTTTACAAGATTATATGACAGGACCCAACCCAAATTCCACTTTGGAATATGAGCTGAATCATGTGAGTGTCCGACACCTGGCGGGTGTCAGGCACAAATGACAGAATTGCCCTTTTAACAAAAACCAAATAAGTTGGACTCAAGTTTGACTTATGCTGAAAATTTGGCAAAGTCTCCCCTGTAAATAGTATATTCCCAAATATTTCCACCTATACAAAAAAATAATATATACATATATCCCAACTGTTCAGCATGCATCAACATAAAATTCTAGCAATCCAACA